TTATTTTAGTAAGGATAAGGCCCATATTTTTACTTAAATATTCATATGATACGCCGTCTTCGAAAAGAGATTGGTTCAAATGTTTTTAGGAAAATCATATTTGACCAATGGCTTATAAAAATATCTAATCTTATTTGTAAATCTTTAAAATTGTAAATTTGTTTAAAATCTATAATATATTATTACAATTACTTTAGAAATCTAATGATATTATTTTACAATAATCGTCGACGCATAAGATATTAGAACTGCAATTATTCTAATAAAAGAAAATATTTGTACATAGATAAAACATTTTAGGCATACATTACAAAGCAATGCTGTTGAGTGACATTCGCAAGGCAATTCAAAACATTGTCAATGTCAAATAGAGACATTAGTTTGTTTATTAAAATATGACCTATTGTACCGGCATGATTATCCAAACAAACATTTCGCCACAAAACAATTTCCCTTGAGAAGAAAAAACAACATTTCAAATAAAATTATCGATCGTCATATCCACACAATGCAACATCAACCCGCAACAACTCGGAGAATCGCGTAAGAAGTTCAAAAACGGAATGATTTTTTAAAAAATGTATCCAACCGGCCTCGCTCATTTATAATAAGAGAAACCGAACGGACAGCAGAGTAAAAAGTCCAAAGCGTACCCTTTTCGAATTTTGTTCGAAAAAGAACGATCCCGTGATAAATATTGAAATATGAAATGGAGATATGATACTTTTTGTTTCGTCCGGCCGGGCGCGTTCGGTTTTTGTCTTTGCTTTGGTTCGTTTTTCTCCCGCGCTTTAATTTCACGTTTTTAATAGCGTTTTGAACACGGGTTAATGGTCAGGGCCCGGTGCGTGCACGCTACCGTTTTATTGGGCATTAATTTTACTATTATGGTCTACGTACACGAATCGGTTGTGATACACGGGTTTTATAGCTACTCCAGTGGGCCGGCGTCGTAACGAATCTTTAATTGGTGTGTTAGAATTTGTTACTGCGCTTTCTGAATGGGTCTATTTAAATATTATCCCGTAATATTTTCTAGTATGGTGCTTGGAAATGAATTGGACGACCGAACGGGGAAATGCTTCGGTATCTAATGTTTAAACAGTTTTAGCTGCTCGATTTTTTGAGGATTATCCGTGTTTTTTTTTTTTTTAATTAATCTAATCCACCTTATGACTTTGGTTGAAAACAATGATTCGTAAACGTGACTAATAATAAACAATGCAAATTTTTCTATTTTTGTATATTGTACGTTCGCTAGCTTTTGAAAATATGTGAAATAATTTAAAATCTAATGTAATCAAGTAAACCGTCTTTAGTTCCCCGCATCGTCGAGAATGAAACAGTAGATGGGACGCAATTTTTAAAATATGACTCGTAGATATATCTATTTAAAAAAAAAATATTCGCAACAGGATCGAAACCAATTATTTAGACTTAACTGCACAAAGAGCATGCATTAAGACGTTAAATAAAACGTCTTAATATCCAAATAAAAAGTCCGAAAATCAATCATCAACAATCTGAAGGCAAAAGTTTACAAACATTTGGAAATAAGCAAAGTGGACAAATGTATTTTGGTCAAACATTTTCGTGAGATACACATACACATATGTTTTTACCGACGTTGTACGTAGAAAGAATAATGAATACGCGTTGTGTTCGTACTGAAAGTTGAATGCTTATAAAACCGACTAGTTTTAAATTTGAATAGTCCGAAAACTAAAGAGATACAAAAAGATACAGAACGCCATTAACATAATAAAGAACATAATCCGACGCGCTACGTCACTCCACTCATCGCTCTTCCGATCCGATTTGAAAAAAAGTAATGAAACAAGAATGAAAGGAAAAAACGCCTCGACTCGTTTCTCAGGATTTCATATTTTAAAATAAGATCTGTGTTTTGAATAAGGAGCGAGTTAGTGCTAAGTCACGTTCGGAACGCTCGTATAATGTTATTTCGATTGTTAACCGCGGCCTAGCGTTGTCTGGCGGCGACGTCTGCCTATTTTAATACCTATTATCGGTTGTATATATGTAAATGCAATTGTATATACTAAAAAGATACAAGTTCAGATATTAAAAGCCGTAAAATATTCTCTTTAGGTCCCGTTTGTGCCGGTTTTATACCAGTTAATCCTTTTCTTAGCCGTCTTCTTAGGGAGTTGGTTGAAGGGTTCGACCTCTTAGGGATTAGAGCCAGCTGCAAATATTTTGTACCAGTAATTTTATTGTAATGTCATTATTATGTATCATTTGTATATTTAGCACCATAAAATCGTTTGCATATTCATAATCAATTCGCAGTTTTTGAAATAATATTGTAGCACAGTATTGACTAACAATAAACCCAAGGCCGCAACTTGTTCGGTACAAAATGATGTAATTTAACATCTAGTTTTAGATGTTTATTTAATATTCGCCGAATTGCGTGTTGATTTTGCTGTTAACACGACGCTGAATCAATTACATTATAAATACAAAAATATGATAGATACTTAGCAATTAGTTTCAACTATGCAAAAAAAGCTATTAAAATTTTAATAGAGTAATGAACTCGAATCCTTTATAATGTTATGAGAGTCAGAGCCAAACATTTTAATTTATCGTTTAGCTAGATTCATTACTGGCACTGTATTATAGAGTATTGATACTTTTTAATATCGTTTAAGGTACTGTTGACTATTTTTTTTTAACTTATAAGCGTTTACTTAACATCGTTAAATTAATTAATCGCAATTATTTTGCGTTATAACTTACTGTGTCCATGGTCCACCGTAAAGCGACAACAACAAACATATTAATAGGTCTTTACCTATGAGATTGCCGTTCTTCAGTACTGTCCATTTAAAAAGAATTTTGATTGGCTGTGAATTCTAAATTCAAATTAATTTTGTTTTAAAGACATGAACTTTTGTGTATTGGATACCTTTGTATTTTCATTACATTTGAATATTTTTCGTCGTAATGGATAGGTACTTTAAGAATTTGTGTGTATACGGGATATGAGTTCCGTCGTGATTTGAAAAATGAACCTCGTGATCGTCCGAACACTTTGGTCAACAATGATGAATTATAGGCGATTGTGGAAGCTGATGATACTCGACCTACAACCGAGCTCGCAGCAACTTTTGATGTTAGCATCAAAACAATACTGGTCCATTTGAGACAAATTGGCAAGGTAAAAAAGCTTGATAGATGGGTGCCCCACGAACTTAACCTGCCTCGCGCTGCTCAAAAGCCACAGAAATTAAGGGATTTTGAATTGTAATGTGCGACGAAATATGGATTGTGTTCGACAATCAAAAGCGCTCAGAAGATGTTTACATCCTGGTTCAGCACGAAAGCAATGCCCTAAATGATAAATGCCTCCTTTGTCTATGCTTCGCCCATAAGTTGACTGGGAGAGAATGCCTTAGGCATTAAGTCCACCTATAAACAATGTATATTTTTTGTGTAAAGGTTTAAATAAATAAATAAATGACCCCTAGAAAGGTATTGGTCATTGTTTGGCGGTGTAGTGGCGGTTATATATCACAGCTTTTTACAAAACGGCATGATCATTACCGCAGATGTGTACCTACCGTGAAGAAGTGAAGATAATGATGGAGAAACACGCACATCTGCAACCAGCTTTGGTCGATCGGTCGTCCACGTTTTTCCTTCACGGCAAACTGTAACCTCATACTACAAAAGCATATCCCATACTCTTCAAGCTGCAAGATTTGGGATTGGAAGCTCTCCCTCATCTGCCATACTCACCAGACCTGACTATCTTTTTAGCGGGAAAAAATGTTTATTCCCAAGAGGCAGTACAAAATGCCTTTGAAGAGTTTGTTGCCTCCCGTCCAGCTGATCTTTACAAGAAGGGCATCAATAAACTACCACTTTGAATAACAGAAATAAAAAAGTTTAAGAATTAATAAAAAAGTTCATAGGTAAAGACCTAATATTATGTGGTCTCTTAAAGTATGTTGGTATGTAAACTTTCATTACAATAACTTAATGTCATATCGTTAAAAATAACTTACTTTACAGAAATAATTGATTTACTAATTAGCCAACCATTTGTTCTAAACTTTCGATTGGTTCTATAACTTGAGAAAGTACATAAACTACCGATAAGTGATTGTCGCGACTTTAAAAATAGCGGTAATATTCAAGCGTTGATCATAAACAACTAAACCTTTATATTTAGATTTTTTAGAGAAATTAAAATTAATTTAAAATTGATTTTTTTAAAGATATAAATAAAAACTGGTATGTGTAATGTGTAAATCAAACTTATTTATTTTTAAACTGAACTTTAATAAAAATTGACAAATTTGAGACATGGGAAATAAAAAAACATTTACATTTTCAGGTATACATATTTATTTATAAATTACGCTGTCGCATATAAATTATGTACAATTATTTAATTAACAGTTATAAAAATATTATTAAGGATTTCGGTCGGTCGGCGGGCTACCGTACGCAGACACACCCTGTGGTGGCGTACAGGGTGTCCCAGATACGGTCGCGAACGTTCATACCGAACGACAATCTAAGGCAACATTGATTAAGTTCAAGCTCAAATTTTCCAAAGAGAAGCTGCGATACAATTCTGTTAAGTGACAATAAATAGATAGATAAAATAACAATGGATAATGTCGACGATAGATTAGAAAAAAAAATTAACATGTATAACGTTAACAGTGACTAGAGAGCGAGGATTCGATCTTCCAAGCGACTTCTCATAGGCATTCGACAGGGTGTAACACTTATCATTTACTTAATAAATTAATAAATAATTTATAAAAAAAACTCTTTTATACTAATAGACTCCGAACTGTATAAAAAATTCGTATTCCGTTATCATATTCGAGATTCATTCAGCTCTAGGCTTTGTAAAGTCTTGGAGTACCTCAAGGGGGTTGCTTGGGTACTATACATTTAATATTATATATTATCGTCAGTCCTTGATAAACTTTCGTAGTTACGATCGATCAACTTTAGTTATCGACCACGTTCAGGTAGAAGGCTGCCAGGGAGTCGCCCTTTTGGCCGACAGCGCGCGCCTGGTACTGGCCGCTGTCCTCGGAATTGCACTGGGTGATTTCGAGGCGGTACGAGTTGCCCTCCATTGTGAAGTTATATCTGGGCGAGCTCTCGTCGATCGGCTTGCCGTCCTTCAGCCATTGAAGCTGGAGTGGTGGCTGTTGGAAAGAGTTTTATTATCAAAAGATGGCCACATATAGTTAATTACAGTTAAAATTAAATCTTTTTGTTAACTATCTAACACACATTTTGCCGTAATGTGACATTTACGTAGATAATAATATATATTGCATAGCAAGATTATGATTATTAAGATGAGGGCCTTCCTCTATTTTTTAATTATAGATAAGACTAGCCTTTCTTAATGAGACAGAGATATTCACGTTGCACCTAATTACCTTGCCACACGGCGCAGCTGGTATACACCAGTCATAAAATTACGAAAAAGACATAATGAGGCCTAGTCACTGTCTCAAAGACAAGGTATTGAATGTTCCCTACTCAGTTGTTATGTAAACGCAAAGAAGAGCGTGTGAAAGACGCCAGACGTGCGGCCAGCAGTTGCTCTATTTCCAGAATTCTAATCGATCCACGCCATAGAGCTTGTTAGTGCGGGCAAATTGTGGTATCGTCTGTCTTTCGGAGAGTGGACGAAACTGAATTATTCTGCGATCAAAAGCGCCGAGTTCAACTCTGTTCGGGCTCTCACCTTCTCCAGTTCAGCGGTGAAGACCGCCGGCTCCGAAGTGGCGACGGTGGTGGAGGCGGGGAAGACGGTGTACTGGGGCGTCGAGGGGCTCTCGCCGGCCACGGACACGACCAGCGTGCACGACGAGAACGACTCGCCGGCGTCGTTGAACGCCTCGCACGTGTACACGCCTACCGAGTTACACAATTAGTGACGGTTGTAACAGTCATAATGTTACAATTTAATACGTTTCAATCCACGCCCATCTGAAACAGAGCTCCGTAGACCATTTGGTTAGTAAGTAACAATCTAATTAGTTTCGAGCACTGGATCACAGTACCAGATTGCTTTGGTGACACGAATGAGTCCCCTCTCTACTATTTATATCATCGAAGAATTAGATCGCCTCTGTATTTTTATCAATAACACTATGCAATGGAACTTATTATTGGTTTTTAACATCAAAAACAAAATGGGTAAGCACTGGTCCGCTTTTTTAAAAGGTATCGTAAGGTTACAATTGCCAGTATAAAGCTATTATGGTCAGATATAAAAGAAACTTTTTTCCAGAATTGTGATTTGACAAAAGTTTCGAGCATTTGAGAGAGGAAATTTCATCACCAAAATATGAGATAGTAAAAAAATAGTTAAAAAATACGTCGTCCACCGTGGTCCGACGATTCTATAGTGAAACAGATGAAAATATCGCGACAAACTCACCAGCATCCTCTGGGAATATCTCGGCGATGTGCAGCTTGTGAATGTTCGCCTCGCTCGAGTACTGGAAGTCCTTGGAAGGTTTGATCTCCTTGTAGTTGTGGAGCCACACTACGTCGAACCTCTCCGCACCAACAATTCTGGAAGATATTTGTATTACAATTATAAAACTACTAAAAAAAATGCCATGCGAATACGGCGTTAAAAACAGTTTTTTTTTAAAACATTGCCCTTACTTTAGGATAACGTTATCCTATGATGTAAGGACGCTTTATAATAAAATATAACGCAAAGTTTATGATTACGTCAAGTATTTCAATGAAAGCAATGTCGAAGTGAAAGTGATAGCTCTATCCATTCTGTAGACTGTGACAATGCTTAAATAACTTAACAGTGTATTTTCGACGATCATGCAATTGGGTTAAATTCCATTTCATCAATAGTATTAAGCCTAGTGTTTTCGGTAACTTTTGGAAATTTGGAGTTCGTCACCCATGTGTCAACTTCAGTAATTTTTAGACGGTTCTAAAAGGTCGATCAATGTGGTCACCTGCATGACAACGTGATGGCGTCACCGTCATTGACGTGCTGCGAGACGGCGTGATCCACGATCCTCGGCGGTTTGTCCCCGATCTTGGCAGCGCCGCCAGATGGCGCGCTCTCGGCCGCTGTTCGTATAGTAAATGTCCAGTTAGTGAATTACGCAAGGATATGGGGTAACCAATGACATTTTATAATACGAAAGACGTTGTTAACGTCAGGTGTCTTTAATTAGTCTATACCATTAGAACGAAACGTGTGAATGTGAGGCATACCACCCTGATTGGAAATAGGAACATATTCGACCGGTGATTTGGTGTGCGTATAACATATCTATACTATAAAACAATATTGAAGGTAACAATGAAAATTTAATCTTTATTGTTATTTGAATATTGAATTTGAGTTGATCCGGTACCGGTATGAAAATAAATTTGTATTACATTATTTAAAAAAAAAAAAATTAGAAGAAAAAAAAAACACGATGGACTATTAAATCGTGAACGTTTTCACATAAGAAACACAGCAGTCAGTGACGAGTAGAAAGAAATTAAAAAATTACATTTACCGTAAACTATTCGGGCAGAGATAGGTCAGGTCAATTCTTTGCGGAGTTCAATGGATACGTACGCTTGACGGTGACTTTGCACTTGGTCTCCACCTCGCCCTGGCTGTTGATCGCTTTCAGCGAGTAGACGCCCTCGTCTTCGGGGAACACCTCGTTGATGGCCAAAGAGGCCACGCCGTTCTTGTACTTCAGGTTCACAACCTGGAGAGGTTAAACGTCGCTTTGTAGCCTTAGCTTTTTCTTCCGTAGGTTACGATCGTTAGCTTTTTTAGACCGTCCGCAGGTTATGGTCGCTTCGGTTAGCGTAAGCCTTGCCCTTTTGGAATTTGTATGGCTCGGTGGCGCAGTTGCTAAACTATTGGCTTCGGCCACGTCGGGTTGTTGGTTCGATTCCCACGCGGGACAACTATTCGTGTGGCCAACACATAATTGTGGATGGTGTTTGTTGCAAGGTAGGTTGGCGTCAGACAGGCGCTCGTAAAAGCATGACCAAAATCACTTACAATATGATTTACATATTGTGCCGACCTCACCTAGGTAGGATAAGTACCTTGGGCTTGGCCTTTTTATTTTTTGGCAAAATATACTCTATGTATATGATTGCTTCTGAAAGAATTTTTAAGTTTGAAGAGCAACTCATTTATAGTGATTTATGATATTTACAAACAAGAGAGGCATCATCGTACATTGTAAAAGACATTTTACACGTGCAAGTTACACCATAGAGAAATGGTCTATTTTGGAACAATTACTTGTAAGCTACATAAATACGTCTCTCGACTAAGAGACAAAGGTACGATCTGCTAAGTAAAAGGTTTATATGTCGGTGGCGGTGATAACTTAACATCATGTGAACCGCTTTCGTCCGTCTTTAGGTTGTTTGCAGTAATGGGTACAAGTTCTGAGAAACCTCGGAGGAGTGCAGAGGCAGGCCTACCGTTATAGCCACCTTTAGGTTGTTTGCAATACTGGGTGCAAGTATAAAGGGTACAGTGTGTGCACTAATGGGTACAAGTATAAGAGGTACCTCTGAGGAGTGCAGCGGCTTGCCGTCCTTGTACCACTCGACGCGGGGGTCGGGGTCGCCCCTCACGCTGCACGAGAGCAGCAGCGGCGCCGCGTCGCGCGCGCTCAGCGCGTCGGGCAGCGCGCGCGCGAACGAGGGCGCGCGCATCGTAGAGTCGGACGCGGGCACTGGCGAGGGGGATTTTTACATTTTAATGAGTGCATCTGCTCAGCTTCCAGGCCATTGCTTGCTTACAGTCGAGCAAACAGCATTCAAATCCCGGTGCAGTGAAATTTTGGGGACCGACTTACTTACAAAGCGGAAACTTACTTATTTTCGAAGTTATAAAAAATAAATATTTCGAAAATCTTGTGATGTCCGCTAATCCGAAATGGAGTCGCGCAGAGGCCGATGTCAAGCCGTGCGATATGTATATGCTGATACTTTAAGTACAGTGGGTTTCGATAGTTGCCATTCCTGGCGAGAGGTTTGGATGACCCCCCACTAATTTTTATATTAAACAGGACTTACAGACTAATTCCTTAGTAGCGCTTCGCGACCTGGACGTTGAATCAGAGTCCAGCTTGGATCCGTACTTCTTCTTGCTGGGCTCCATGGAGCTCTGTGGCGAGTATTTCGGTCTCGGTGCTTGGCTCTTGCTGGGCGGGTCGATTGTCACCTGAAGATAGACAACAATTACAAGTTAATAATCTAGCAGCTCGTTATAACATAGTTCATGTATCAAGTATCTTAATATATAAATTAAATTATTTATCCGGCTCCAAGGACCGGCTTTTATAATATATTTTTCTTCAAAAAATATTTGACCTTACCTTACGATAACATTATAATGTGTTGTAAGGACGTTTTTACAAACATAAAATGCACGCAGACAAACACCCAGATGCGACACAACTATCTGTGGGTCACACAAATAGTTGTCTCGTGCGGGAATCGAACCCGCGACCCCCACGGCCGAAGCCAATACCCTGGCAACTGCGCCACAGATTCATCTAGTAGTATCATATTGGTATTAGATTGTGAAATTACTCCATAAAGTTATTCATTTTAAATCATACGATGTTTTTTTATTGTATTATATCACTTTAAGACTCAATATATTTTTTATATTATTGACAGCTACACAGTTAAATCGTTTCAAAACTCAACAAAAAGCCACGTTCTGCATTTAAGCAAATTTGTCATCAAACGTTTATAGGGATGGAATCAAACTCCCTTGTTGTTCCAGTTTACAGCACGTACCTTGGTCTTGGTGATGATGGGAGGTGGTGCCGGTTTCAGCGGCTTCTCGATGTAGCGCCTGTCGCCCGAGTGCAGGAAGTTGTGGGCAAGTTGCGCCTGCTCAGGGCTGATCACCTCGCCTGACGATATGCAAACAAGTTTCAAGTCATCTATTTTCATACACTACATTAATACAGTACGTACAGTACTTGTATAAGAACAGATTCTTAGTCTGAATGTCCGATTGCAGCTAGATTGTCCATTTAACATTTTATGACAGTACGAAAGCGAATAGGTAAATTAAGGTAAGGTAAATTAATTTAGGTAAAATATAAAATATCACGGTAAAGACCAAAATGAACCTTAATCATATCAGAATAGGGTTCAAATCAGATTCCATTACCTTCGACGATGACGACGCACGAGGTCTCGTCGGTGCCGTGTACGTTGGTGGCCACGCACGTGTACTTGCCGCTGTCCTCCGGACGGCAGTCGATGATCTCCATGGTCACCACGCCGTCGGAGTGGGTCATAGTGTAGTCGTATTTGGAGAGTTCCCTCTTATCCTTGTACCTGGTGAATATGAAAAACGTTTGATGTTATGCGACAGGATCAGATGACGCGGTGGCGCAGATGCAAGCCATTGGCTTCGACGCCGGCGGTAGTGGCTTTGATTTCACACATGTGGGACAAAAACCTTTTGTGATATTTTATTTATTCAATATAGAAGCATTACATTTACTTATTGATTGTCAAAAAACACTACTACCAGTTCGGAAAAAAAGCCACCTGTGAAGAACTGGCGAAAGAAACTCAGCGGGACTTTAATATGACAAAAAAGGTGACAAACATGTGTACAATTTATTAAATTCCACTTGAAAGAGCTTGGAGCGATAACAGATAATTGTTCCGGATCAGGGATAGCAATTAGAAATTAAGGGAAAAGTTGCATGTTCTCTTTTGTCGGGTTAGGACGACTTCATTCACGATTCATAGTTCTATGCATAAAAGACGCATTGAAGGCATATAGAACAATGTACAAAAACGGACAGCTTTACAAGCGCCGACTAAGCTGCCGATGGAGAATTTATTCACCGAAAGCTCTAAATCTCGTAGTCTTTACTACGTGTGAGATAAGGAAGAGGCGAAAAAAGGAATAACGTAAAATGAATGTATCATACGAATCACGCATGCGTGCACGTCTGGGTATTGAATCATTTATGCCATGATCGGATTGATCCGCGATTTTACCACGTGTGTACTGTTTGGTGTACATTTATTAACTAGCTGCTGCCCGCGACTACGTCTGCGTAGAATAGGCTGAAGGCGTAACATTCATACAGAAAGACGGATATACATAATATATGTATATAAATTATAGCCTATGTGTTATTCTGATGTATAAGCTATATTATTGTAAAGTTTCATCAAAATCCATTCAGTAGTATTTGCGTGAAAGAGTAACAAACATCCATCCACACACACACACATTCGCGTTTATAATATTAAGTAAGGATGTATAGACAAATGTAGGGTCCACTGACCACTTGACAGTGGGCGTGGGCTTGCCGCTCAGGCAGCAGAGCAGCTTGCACGTGTCCCTGGCCTGCATGACACGCGGCCGCAGCTGGAAGGTGAACACCGGTGCAGTCTCGCTCGACTCCTGCCAGAACGTGTAGGGCAGCGGCTCGCGGCGGCGAGGCGCCTCTGCCGGCGGCGGCCGTTGCACGCGCGGCACCGCTGCGGACAAACGGACGGTACAGTAGGAGCCAACGGACAACAGACAACGACAGTGGTAACTGGTAGCTTTATAAGGATCAGCCACGGCACATCTGTAACCAGACGCACGGTACACACACGGTCCCAGACAGACAAAGAGACGGTTTTAGCTGGTAGCCTTTTCAGCATCGGCCGCTGCACATTCCAACATAGCAGTTTCCAAATGGCACCAACGGATAGACAGAGGCAACTAGAGTTCTAGCTGATAGCTTTGTAAACATCAGCCACTGTAAATATAGCAGTTTCGTAATGGCACCGCGAACGAACAGAGAGATTCGTAATGGCACCGCAGACCAACGGACAGACAAACACAAAGATAGTCTAGCGGGTCGTAGTCTCATGAGGTGAACCAACGGATAGACTTCTTTATTAATCGAAGAATCATTCAAATCCTATTATTCCATGTGGCAACGAATTCTGTAATAATTCATTGCATTTACGCGAATACTATTATGCATGACTATTATTTTTTATTACTGCTAAACTAATTTTTTTTTATTTATTTAATCCAGTAATAAAGTACATTAACATAAATTATTCTCCGCCAAACTGTGATGCAGTTTGTCGGCAGCAGTTCTCGTGAAGAGTTACATAGATGTACTTCAAACTTACTAATATGACACTAAATACAGATTTTTTCAGCATCCCTTATTGTCCCGTTACCATTAACGCTGTAAAGTGTTCAAACCACTCGGAAGTTTTCAAATTGAAACAAAACGCGGTAATACCCGCATAATAGTTTATTTAACCAAAAAGTTATGTGAAAAGTAATTTAAACGCAACACAATCGGTACTAGCTACCAAATAAATTATTGTAATCGCGTTAATATCGACTACAATAAATGAAACGTTTTAATAAACCGTCACAACGAAACTTTATTGAGTTAAACATTGTTAATATAAACGTTGCGTGTTCCTTGGTCGTCTTTATATACCGTGTCAGCAAAGTATTTAGCACAATCTGATACAGGAAGGCTTAGAATCCGCTAATAGTTTGTCGATAAGTAACACTTAAGCATGTGCGCTTGCCCGCTCGGCCCGACAGTGGCCGTTTGATGTGACATTTATTGGCCGAGTGGGCTATAAATATTTCTCCAACTAGATTTATCGCTCAATTGTTGTCTACGGTATACACGACGTACACTCAATAATTCACGCCCGGCGAAGTCTATTCCGAGCGCCGGAAAGTGATATAATGCGTCTATTTCAAAAGCAGATATGTGCATATTTGTTAAAAGTATTAAATTTAAAATTCAATAAAAGTATTTTCAAAATTCGTTATTGTAGTAAAATACTTCACTGATTTTTATCAATACGTAGAATTTAATCAGAGTTTTTTTATGTTTTGGATAAAAAAAAGCACCGTTTGAGTTTGAATTGATTGTTTTCGCCAATACTTACAGTGCATAAATAAAGAAATTGCGATGAATGACATATGAATTAAAAATTTTAACACGGTCAATTCGCATTGTACAAATACGAGTTTAAAGTTCTTTTAAATAAAACAGAATATATATATTTTTAGTCTTTCAAATTTAAAATAAGAATAGGTATTTCGCATTTTTTGTTTGCATTTTTAATAAATGTAGTTCGAATAAATCTCCGTTTAATAAGCACCGCCTTATTGGTCGATTTAATAGGAAAAAATCAATACATTGTAATAATAATATGAATACAACAGAAACGCAACAAAATAAAAACTACGTAACTTTAAAATTCAAATAGAATTAACAAAATACGCGCCTTGTAAGCGACTATCGTAAAAATTTTAATATCTATATTTAAAAAATTTAGCTTCCATCCGTATGTTTGTGTCACAAAACTAGCTAGTTTTGTGGACACATACATACGGACTAGCACACTAACGTATTAGATTCACTTGCTATTTGCTCATAACATAGGTATTGAATAGGAAATTGTTTTTATGCACTTTTTATTGTTAAGTTTTAATGGAAACGAAAAAAAAAACTACGGTGAAGTTTAGCTTTATGATGTGAAGAACTGAAATAATCCCATGATTGTTACACTGGGTTCCTGTTGACAGACAATTCACCCTAAGCAAAATACATCTAAAGACCACTTTAATTCGCTTCTTATAATCTTAAATTTATCTTATAAATCAATGTAACTATTCCGGCCAAAAAATGTCGTTGAGATCGAGTTATATTTATGTCGACTGTACAGAGACAAAGTACAGTCAGCGACCTTTTTGAATATAGAACTTTGAATATCATGATAGCTTACGTTGCACGTTGAGGAAGACCACCTCCTCGCGGAATCCGTAGTGGTTCTCCGCTCTGATGATGTACTCGCCGCGGTCTTCCAGCTTGGTGCGGTTGATGATGAAGTAGTAGTCGTTGCCAGAGTACCTGTGCGCAAGGTGTGAATTCTAGAAACTTCTAGGGAAACCAAAGCAGCTATCCAGCACCAAGGCAGCTACCAACTCCCACACATTAGACTGGTACGTGTTATCTTTACAGTGTAAAGTGTTGACAACTGCGCACCTAATTATTTCAATGTTAACGCAGAACATGAATTGAATTGTTGTAATATATATGACGTCATTTTAAATTTAACTTTATGTATTCTTATACAGTTCTGCAGCGAACATAATCATGGCGGTATATGTATCTCTGAAAATACATCCCGTTTCATGTCACGCCGCGTGATGAACTAAGGTGACGAAACGTGGATGAATATTTGAAAAGAAGTCAAGAAGTGAATTTAGAAGTGTTTCCATGTACCGTCTGTACAGAGGTTTTCTCGAGCAGTGGGAAATGCTTTCTCCAACGCTGTCTTCTATTCCGAGTGAAACTTAGGCAATGCTCCATACCGGGAACCCTTTCCACTTACCATCATAATCGTCATTTCAGCCTGTTTGAGTCCACTGCTAAACATAAGCCACGGACCGGCCCGAAACACGACCTTACCAACCCTTTCCACGCAAAATACAATACAAAAAAAACTGGCCAAGTGCGAGTCGGACTCGCGCACGAAGGGTTCCATAAATCTATAAAAACGACAAAAAAATCATGTCTGTTGTATTGGAGCCCCACAGAAATATATTTTTATTCAGTTTTTAGTGGTGTTACAGCGGCAACAGAAAATCTGTGGTGAGATAGAGTCCGGTGACAGACAGACAGAAAGACAGCGGAGGCTTAGTAATAGGGTCCCGCAGACCGTGGCTCATCTGATGTCCTGTCCCGCCTGCCCTATCACCTGTTCGCAGCAGGATTTGTTGGATGCCACAAATTGTGCTGTCGAAGTGGTAAGTTCTGGTCCGGAAAGATATGATTCGTCATCGACACCTAAAGAAGAAGAAGGGTCCCTAACACAACAGGCTTTTTTTTTGGGCTGGATGAGCCACTGTTGGCCTTAGGGGCCTTTTTTCGCCGGACTTGAGGTGGCCGGGCGCTCGGGGCGCCTAGCCTGACCCTCGGCGTATTATTATTACGCGTTATGGTGACTAAGCTCGAGGGCTCCCAGGGGAGCCTCGGCTCGGGCCATCACGCTGTTATTATCACCGGTTTGGGAGGCCGAAAAGCTCCTAGGTCGCTTTGGCGGGCGCTCCATGGAGTGATCAGGCTCTAGGGTCCCCGCGAGGGGACCTCGGCTTGGGCTGTCACTCAACACGCGATTCTTGGGTGCCCGAGAGGGCCGGAGCTCGGCTCGATCGGTAGCTATTATCTGACTGGACACAACAGGCGTCACCGACCTCTTCATGAACTTGACGGACTGGCGCAGCTCGCGGTTGTTCCGGGACCAGGTGACGGTGGGCGCGGCGCAGGCCACGATGCGGCAGTACAGCTTCACCGACTGGCCCTCGTAGCAGAACGCCGACTGCGGCTTGATCACGAACCGGGGCGCCGCCTGGCGGCGGTCTGCGAGAGCGGAGGTTTTCATGTACTCATTCGCTTATCATAGAATGAGGACCAGATAACTATGTGTGGTTACTTATTTAAACGAGTTTATAATTCTTTGGTGAAAATCCAAAAAAACAGGATAGATCGTTTTTAATATATATATATATATATATATAATAACATAATAGGTTTGATGACTCCGTGGCACAGTTGCCAAGGTATTGGTTTCGGCGTCGGGGGTCGTGGGTTCGATTCCCACACGGGACAACTATTTGTGTGACCCACAGGTAGTTGTTTCGCATCTGGGTGTTTGTCCGCGTGAAATTTATGTTTGTAAAAACGTCCCTACAACACAGGATAATGTTATCCTAAAGTAAGGGCAATGTTTTTAAAAAAAAATAAAAAATTTAATGCATTACTAAGGAATATCTACCATTATCACTATTGTAATACACTTAACCTACGAGAAAATAAATAAGATAGAAATTCCAAACTCCTTTTAAAACAGAGCGGGTAGAGGAATCATTAAAATCCCGTATGGGTAGATTTATAAGACATTAATGGGAGGATGAGCGAATGCTTACCGAACTGTCCATCGTAGATCTTCCACTTCTCGATGAGCAACTTGCGCAGCGAGCTGTACTCGCTCAGCCTGCCGATCGGCAGGACAAACGACGACCAGTTCTGCCGAGGAACATACCATTACGTAGAAAAGCAACGTAACATCGGATTAATACGGTATTATTCATAATAATTTCTTGTATTTACGCGATTACATATTTACGGTATTATTCAAGTAAGTGAGATTAAGCAGTTAGACGTTATCTTGCCTGTAATTAATGTTGAAGACAAGCGTAGGGACCTCAAAGCGGTGACAAGAAAAACATGATATACCGATAAATATGAAGGTAAATATGTTGCAAAATATATAAAAGGCGCAAGAGGGGCAACGATGAAGTGCTAAGATAATCAAGAGCCGAGAGTTTCAAGAGGTGGCAAAGAGCCTCTTATGTCTATCGGAATCAGTCTCTCGAGAAAGGTGCAAAGAACTTGCCGATAGACATAAAGATAAAGGAGATACGAAATGTGCACGAGGTGCAAAAGGGGCCCAGAGGCTCAAGAGCTACAAAGAGGCTCAAGAGGTGCAAAGAGGTGCAAAGAGGCCCAAGAGGTGCGAAGAGGCCTTCGGTACATACCTCGTAGCGCGCGCGCAGGCGGTCGCGCATGAGCTGCAGGCGGTGCGCGGGCACGGGCGTGGTGCGCGCCGCGGCGCCGTCGCCGGCCAGCCAGCGGTGCGCCAGGCACTCGTGCGCCGTCATGCGCTTCCTGCACGCAGCAGACACACACGCGCGTGTTTAGTGTCAATTATTAACACCGCCATCCTCATCATTAATAACCATTCTTTTACTAACGAAAAACAAAACCGACTTGAAATATCTCGCTCTGTAGCCATTTTATAATTATATTTCAGGAGTTCCCCGAGTATCTCCGGATCCCAAGATCCAATACCATTGAAATTAATATAGGACCACTAAGGAAGTACCAGCTCTCAAATAAAAAGAGAATTATCATCAAAATCGGTTCAAGTGAAAAGTTCTGAGGTGACAAATATAAAAAAAATACATTCGAATTAAGAACCTCCTTCTTTTGTCGGTTGAAAAAACTCAATACACCCTAAGTCAGGCTGCGACTTTCACGATTTAATTTAAGGACATAATGAAAGGTAAACAGATATCACACAATGTTTCAACTCGTTTAACCGTCGCAATAGCTTTAAACTAGCAAAGAAAACGTACGCTTATGAATTACTTTACTCGTATTAACTTACTGATTATCGAATAGGTTTTGCTAGTCATAATACTGTCCGACTATTTATTTATTTATTTAGCTTTTACTGCATTCCCTTAAATACGGAACACAATAGGCGGACTTGATGCCTTCAGGCATTCTCTGCCAGTCAACCTATGGTGTGTCGAGATCTTTAGACGGGTGCAATAATAGAACTAAAATTAAATAAGAAAATAACCTAATTTAGACTATTGCCAATTTAAATTGAAAATATCTACAGCTAATATTGAATCTGGTCCCACGAATCCGGTTACAATTATTAAAGACTCCCAATGAGCACTCACTCCTTGCTCTTGACGAGCAGCCGTCTGATGAAGTCCTTGGCGTCGTCGGAGACGTGCTGGAAGGCCTCCTCGTCGAACTCCCAGTCGCAGGCCTTCACGTTCTTCAGCGTCTCGATGTCGTTGTTGCCCGCGAACGGCGAAAGACCGGAGAGACTGAAAGGAAACCAACAGTTGTCATACCTGACACGTCTGGTAAGTCTACCTTTATTGAGGAAGAAGAAGAAACGCTTATTCACGGTCTAAGCACAATGGATACATAGAAAACTTAACTATTTAACAATAAAATATAAAAAAAAAATATTGGAAATACTTAAAATAAATGGAAACATAACAAAAAAAATAATAATAATAAGTGAAGGTCTGTGTAGTTGAATGTGAGCATAGCGAAGGCTGAATGAAATCTGAATGTTTGCTATCATAAGAGTCACAGTACGGAAAAGTGTAAAGCGCACCTATATTTTGACTACAAAAAATTGAAGAAAACAAAGATCTAAAATCAAATTATGCCTAGTATAAATTCAAATATTGTCTGTGATAGATATAAACAAAACAAACGATCTACCAAAACTAAGACGACATACGCCTTACGGCCTTTTTCAATAACCTATCTATCTGTAGATTTGGTTGCTTGATATAGAATTTTGAGCAGTGACCAAATCTACAAATAGAATATTGAAAACGGCCGTTAAAGCCAATGACACTAAGTAATGCTCGTTTCAGGCTTCAAATGTACCAGTGCGATACAATACGAAATTTCGTTTCCACATAATTTTGGTCCACTTGTGATGGTGGTGTCGTATAAGCGAGCGATTCTCGATGTACTCACAGCACGTAAGCGAGCACGCCCACCGCCCACATGTCCGTGTAGAAGCCGACCGGTTCCCTCTCGACGATCTCGGGCGCGGCGAACTCGGCGGTGCCAGTAGAGATCTTCACCACCTCGTTCGGATCCAGCTTGGTGGCTAGGCCGAAGTCGATGATCTGAGGAAAGGATTCGCTCATCCAGCAACCGAATAATATAGAACAGAATAACATCGTGTGAATTAAAACCTACCCACCAACTAACGTCCTTTTCAACAAGCCTAAAAATTTTAATAATGAAATTCATAAGTTGAAAACTACAGATCATGAATGGTTTTTTTTTTACGTGAGAAGGTGGCAAACGCTGTCGGTTCACATGATGTCAAGTGATAATCGCTGCCCTTTGACATTTGCAACACCTGTAGGGTTATCTCATATAGCCTTTTCCTCCTTTTATGCGTTGCATGTAACATTAAATCTTATTAGTTTATCACTACCATTATTGAGGATTATAATAACTAAGGGATGATATCCAAATTCAAACAAATGTGCTCGTCTATTAAAACACATCGATTGCAAAGCTTCGACATTTGTTCCATTCATTTTAAAACAGCCACGATAAGAGTGACGAAACGAGCGACTCGAGGTATAAATCCAGCGAATGAATGAATGAATGAGTGAATGAATGAACGAATGAATTCTTTTATTGTCCGCCCCAAATGAAAGGACACACAAAACTAACAATAAAACAAACGAATCTATGGAATGCGGTATTAATTGAATGTGTGACCTTGACGTCGGTGCCGGTGCGCGTCTGGCACATCACGTTCTCCGGCTTGAGGTCCAGGTGGATGATGTTCTGCTCGTGCATGTGGCGCACTCCCTCGCAGATCTGGCGCATGTAGTGGGCCGCCTCGGACTCGCTCATGCTGTAGCCGGGCTCGGTGATGCGCTCGAACAGCTCGCCGCCGGAGAGGCTGCGAATGACAACGCCGTCACTACCACAAGTTGTGGACGCTTTGAGGGGGGGATGATGATACGTCTACTACTTTCGCTGCTAGAGATAGTCTAGAGTGTTCGCCGTCAGTGTTAATGTTAATTTGATCATTGGGCTAGGAGATCTAGACAGAATGAGGGCCGCACGAAAGGAGTGATACTAGATATATAATCTTGAGAGAGTGAGGACCGAATTACAATGAGATGGCCTTCGTAAATACGGCCAGTATTAATCTTAATTTAGTGATTGTGCTGACTGTTAATGTCGTTAGGATTTTGGTGGAAATTTTGAAACAAGGAATTTAATAGTTTTTAAAATTAATCGTTTGTAACGTACACGTCTAGTTTTCATATAAAAAACGTATTTATCACCGGGCCATTGTACCCTCCTTGTCCAGCGATTACGCAGTAACGTCTTCACAGACCCTCACACAACGAAGCCTAATTGTTTCTCGAGTTTTTTCTCCTTAATGAATGATGTTCTCGCTTTCAGCCCGTAGACAAAGCTTCATAGAAAGCAGAGATCGTGGAACAACAGAATTCCACGAGCCTATACCCCTCCACGTTGGGGGACGTACCTAACAAAGCAATGACATATTCGACAAGTCGTCAGCGTAATAATAATACGCCGAGGTACAGGCTAGGCACCCCGTGCGCCAGGCCACCTCAAGTCCGTCGGATCTGTAAACATCCCTAAGGCCAACAGTGGCTCATAAAGCCCAAAAAAAACCAACGGTAAGAGTGGAACACTCACAACTCGAATATCAGCACCATCTCGTCGTCGTCCTCGAACGCGTCGTGAAGATTGATCAGCTTCCTGTGGTGGAGCTGGTTCATGATGTCGATCTCCTTCTTGATCAGCTCCTTCTCCATAGCGCCGGAGACCGGTATGAACTTCGCGGCGAAGAAGTTGCCCGTGCTCCTCTCGCGGCAGCGGTGCACCACGCCGAACGCGCCTGTGCCTACAACAGTTGCGGCAACCTCACGCCTATGCCCCACGCAATAGGGGCCACATCTCCGCGGCATACCGTCACATATGCGTGCTTCAAACTACTTCAGTTTTAGAATCTACTTAGTGTTCTGTTGGTTACGTTAAACTCGGCGTGCGGCGGACTTAGCGTCCGAGGTAAATACGTTGAAGTAAAATGTTATATCTACAATAATTCTAAAAATTTTTAAGGCATTCGAAATTATTGTTGTTTAAAAAACGTGACGGCATAAGAAGCAAACACGTGCGGCTTAACTTACTAGATAATAAAATATTCATTCAATAATTGTAAATTCTTATATAATACAGTAATAATTACATTCTATAAAAGTAATAATATTATTTTTTTAATGTTCACGAAGAGAATTGAGTAGAGTAGCAGTCCATGCCAAAATAATAATGATTATAATATTTTAAAAGGTATGTTTAGACGAAACGTAAATAAATGTAGGTATTGATTTTTCCTTAAAGAAATTCAATCTTATTCAATAACAGACGCATTTCCTATATGTCAATTTGTAATTCAGCCTAACTCGTCTAATAACACCTTCGTTGCGTAAATATATATATTTATAATAGTAGTTCATATCATATATAGAGTGCGTGTGAGAAAGAGAGATGCAGACAGAAAGAGATGCACTACATCGATCTATTCACACACAGACCTCCAGCGCGTTTCCTTTTAGAAGAGGCTCTCACGAAGTCACCTGCGAAATTCACCACTTTTACTAGAATTTAAAGTTCAAAATAATATGACACAATTATGTTAGTTTAGTGTTAAAAAACTATAAGTAAGGAGTGTCTCCCAAGCCACTTCGTGAGTTTATTTTAGTTCTACTACGTTTACGTTCATGCCAAAATTTCGTTCTTTAACATTTTAAATAGCGCCTAAAATTTTTAGAAACTTAAGTTTAGAACTGAAAAACCATTTTTTTTAATTTATCAACCGGGTTATATCAATCTTATAAATACAGTTGAATATACATGATATAAAAAAACGTTGCATGCAGGTTCCCTTAAACTAAATAATATGACTACGTTTTCGATGCGCAAATTGACGTAATTACTGTCGTCATTTTAAGGCCTGTTTTGTCTTCAAATAATAATAATACTATAGTTCAATTCATAGGAGAAAATAACGTTTCCTATTACAGACTTCAAAGCGTTTTCGGAAACTAACATTTCTGCCGCAATGGATAAATCGAGGCGATACTCATCTATCTTAAAAACCGGAGCTATAATTTTGTGCTAAAGCATGCAAGTCATATTTTAGATACGATATTATTAACTTTAACGCCTAGGTACGTATTTTGATGTATTAATAACATTGGTCGAAGATTAACAAGATACTGAATGTACGTAATAACGTTCGTACCTGTGTAGTAAAGTATAGTAAAAAAACGCAATAGCAATGAAAAGTTAGTGCATTACATCCGCGCTTGTTGCTCGTACACGCAGCGAGTATTACGCGTGAAGTGTTCGTAGAATGCTCGTAGAGCGTGCTTAATATGCTCGTAGAGTGTGTGTAGAACGCTCGTAGATAGTGCGTGGAGCGTGCCAGTACTCACCAATCTCCTCGAGTATGTCGTACTTGTCGTAGACTGAGCACGTGCTGATGTCGACCGGCTGCGGCACGTACTTGCTGTAGACGTCGAACACGTAGCTGTCGTAGTCCTTCACCGGCCCGTGGTCCGCGTTGGTGCGGATTCGCTTTCCGCTCTCGTCCACTGCGAATAAGGTTCATTTTAGCGTGTACCGGTGAAGTGAACTGTTTGATATGACATCTCGACTTACGATATGAAAGAAAGGATTTCTTGTTATTAGGACCTAGACAGTTCTTTATTGATACCCGACTGTCGGCAATATATATGAATAGCAGAACCGCTGGATTTTATGAAATCGAATCATGCTGTCTCTGTCTACCATAGTAAAGTTTAAATATATAAGAGTACATATTTGTTATTGTATTGTTATTTCATCGTATGTATCGGTAGCTGTATCATTATGTCCCTTGTTAACGTGATAAAACATTTTACTATGTTTAATTCCGTACATCAAAGATTCATGAATACCTGTATGTATTCATGAATACGTACAGATCCTTTTCATACTTCACCTGCAATTTTACATTTGAAGATGTTATCTGGCGTAAGGATGGGCTAACTTATTTTAAGCGTGCGCACATTTCCATATTTATAATGATTATTTAAAGCAGGGGTGAGCAACCTTTTTAATCAATGGGCCAATTTAAATTTCAAATTTTTTTGGCGGGCCGCACATAATAATTAACGAAAATTTATTTATAATAAATATTAGAATAAAAATATATAAAATTAAGAAAAAAGTAAAGATTTCATATACAAATTTTAATGCAATGTAAAAACAAACAAGAAAAGAACAGAAAAACGAACAAAAAATATTTCGGTACAGTATGTACTACCATTTTATTATAATTAATTTTATAACAATATATTGATGGGAGAAATTCAATAAAATAAATAAATTCAATTTAAGAAATGCTTGGCGGGCCGCATAAATATGTTTAAGGGGCCGCAGGTTGCTCATCCTTGATTTAAAGAATGAAATTAGGTGTGCATAGGTTTCAATATTTTATTTTCGCATATTCCACGAATAACGTTAGTGAATTTCTAACAGATGGTATTTGGCGATTTGACGCGTCGTGCGGTGGCGCAATATAGCCTCAGAGCTCTACCCGTGATAGACTCGACAAATAACGCCAAGAGATGAAACATCTCAAAAGGAGCTGGTTCCTGGTCCCACTCTTCGAGAAGCTCTAAGTTGGGCCATCTGATTTACCTGGATACTCCTTCTTCTTGAACTCCTTCTTGATGATGGCCTTGGTCTGAACCATGGTGGTGGGCTCGCTGGGATCCGAGCGGCCGTAGATGTTCTCCGCGTACACGCGGAACTCGTACTGCTTGCCTGCCGCCAGGCCGGTCACCGCCATCGTCGTGAACCTGAAGTTCCAAAACTAAACGTGTTAAAATATAGTATTCATTTTCGGCTTATTGCTAACAGGCTTAGAGCTTCTGATGATTTCTACGATTTTCGACTTCTGTGAAGAATCTTATTGCTCGTTTAATATTTTAAAGAAATAGGTGAAAGTTAATACTCTCACATTGCGGTTGACAATAGCATTAGAACTTAAAAATTTACCTAGAAGAGAGCTAAGTAGTAGATGCCTTCCCGAAGTCACTACGACCTAGTTTTTTAATGTGAAAAGTTGGCATGCGAGTAGACGGTTTACCGGATATTAATTGAATTCAGGTGCATTGACAACCGTCAAGAACAGTTGCCTCAAGGGTACCTCACTCACCGGACGAAACGCAGAAGTGTGACACTTCCAATTCACGCCGGTCTTCTGTGAGGCCGCGGTACTTACCCGGACGGACCTGCCCATTCATGCAACAGCCGGAGTTGTTGGTGTGGCCCTACCACAGTCAAATATATCAACTTCTAAATGTATTTATGGCGCACTGACCTGGTGGTGCCGACGCGGATCCAGCTGGTCATGGGGTGCTCCCGCTTCTCCACCAGGTAGCTGGTGATGTCGGAGCCGCCGTCCCAGAGCGGGGCGCGCCAGCTCACCGCCAGAGAGTCCACGCCGATGCTGTCCACCGCTGGGAAGCGCGGCGGGTCCGGCCGGTCTGAGGGTGGGACAATAATGATTGGACGACGGGGCCTATGGATATTTGTTTTAAGTGAGGAAGTGACAAGAGAGCTGGCGGTTGACCTATCGGCATTTGATAACCGCCGCCCAAAGACATCTGTTACAGCGTAGGGTTGCAGATGCGTTGCCACTTTTTAATGAAGTGGGCTCACAAGACGATAACCAAAAATGTGTAAACTACGTCTTCGGGACTTCTGTGTGGTCGTGGTACTACCACGGACGAGTCTGCCCATTTTTGCAACAGCCAAGACTGCTGCGTGGCCTGCCACAGTTATATGGCGACAGAGTGAGCTGTTCACCTGATGCTAAGCAAGGGAAACCGGCTACGGATACAAGGCAAAAGGTAATACTATATTACAAATATTAAAATGTAGCGCTCGTGGTACTTCCCCGTTTCAACTGGCCAACTCATACAACAAAAGCTGTTAAGTAAGCTGTAGCTGTAGTCTTCGATTACAGCAACCACGGTTATGGGATGGTAAGCGATTTAAATTTATATTTAACGCGTCCGTAAAAATTGCCTCATTTAATGTTTGAATCGGCTCATTTTCGACAAATAAACGAACAGACGTACCGCTGATTTCAATGTTGATGACTGCCGAGTCCTGTCCCAGCTCGTTCTCGGCGGTGATCCTGTACGGACCGGAGTCCATCTTGCTGGCGTCCCGGATCGTTAAGATCGCGTGGCGTTCTGGAAATTCATCGAAATGCTATATATCTCGCAAGAGTACAAACTTAATACATCATATAAAATATTGATATACTTAAAGGAAAGACTACAGTAGATCTTCTAGGTCGCAAGGGTAGTTAGGACTTACTGACTTACTACTCAATCCACCTTCCACAAAATTCACAATCATTAATATAACAGAATAATAGCGGCATTTAAAATTTGTAGAAAAACGTACGAAAAGTCTTTCGCTGCTGTGGGTATCGAACCCACGTCGTCGAGATTCGCACCCAGACGCTTTAACACCTAAGCTGGCTAACGGCTGGTTGCCATGCCAACGAAAATCTCAACATCTTTTGTCTACATTGTTTTTTCGCATTTCAACCAATGCTTGGCGCATCCATTGTTATATCCTTTACAGATTTATCCATTTTACAAAGATAATTGGAACGGGGAATTTTATACATTTTAATGTTAATATTTATAGAAAACATTTTAATGTTTCGTCTTAAGTGACATAAAGATTTAAATTTCTAACAGCGACATTTACTTCAGTTTCAGCAGTAAGGCTTCTAGCACCCACCTTTCCTCTCAACGTGGTAGTGCAGTCCGGACTCGATCGTCTCTCCCTCTCGCACCCACGTGATCTTGGGCACCGGGTGACCGGTGAAGGGGATCTTGATGACCACGTTCTCGCCCTTGTCGAAGTAAGCGGTGTCGCGGAAGCGAGGTGGCACGTTCAGTTTCGGTGCGGCTGGGAACGGGCAAATACGTTCCACGTGAAAAATATTGTCCTACAGTAGGATAACATCATGTTGTGTCTTTGAGACAGACATGCATTAACTTAATAAGGACAACATTAATAACCAAATTGTGCGATGCGGTGCAGAACTAACCATCTTTGGTGCCATTCAATTGACAACTTTATGAACGAGCCATAAGCTAACCTTAAAGCGAGCAGCTAGGCGGACGTGCTCAACTAAGCTGTTCACCCTGCAGAGTTGTGACAACGAACCCACGCGACACTGAACCTTACGTTGAGGGAATAAGACAAATTTGCCACACGTTGGTGGCGCGGATGTAAAGCCCAAGCGATAAAAGACCGTAACACATGGCGATAGGACTCACTCATGATGAGCAGGTCGACGCGATTGCTCAACTAAACTGTTCACCTCACAATGTACACGACATTGAACCATAAAATAACGCGATAAGGCTCATTCGCCACGTGCCGGCGGGATGGACGCAAAGTCCAAACGACAATAGACCTTAAGCCGGGGCGTTAGGACTCACTCATGATGAGCAGCTCGGCGCGCGTGCTCTTGACGCCGGCGCGGTTGACGGCGCGGCACACGTACTCGTCGGCGTCCTCGCCGAACACGTCCATCACGGTGAGGAAGTGGTTGTCGCCCTCGCTCCAGATGCGGTGGCGCGGCCCGTTGGTTATTTCCCGGGCGCCTGCACGGTGGGCGGGGAAAAGGAGTAAAGTAAATGCTCGATTGAAAATTCCTTACTGTACCAAAAGTTTGTACCGAGGCTTTATCTCGAGAAAATCTTAATTGAAAACGGAATTTAAAAAAAAGGCCTATACAAGTCCCACTGCTGGGTAAATGCCTCCTCTGGAGGGTATCAGGTCCACCACGCGGCCCCGCTGCGGATTGGCTGACTTCTTCACATATCTTCGAATTTTTCGTTTATTATTATTTCGAAAATGTGCAGGTTTCCTTACCATGATTTGCTTCACGGCTGAATACGTGATAAAAAAAAATATAATACCGTAAATAAACGTACCCTTGTACCACGTGATCGTCGGTTTGGGCGATCCAGTGATTGTGCACTGGAACTTAGCGTTGTGGTTCTGTATGCAATTGGCGTTCTTCAGGGGCTTCACGATCTCCGGTGGCGTGGCCGCTGCAAGAGGAAGATTTTTACGTTAAAAATTTAACCTTAAATGCCAGTTTAGCACTAAAATTAATCGTACTTAATATATTCTATTTATATTTATACAGTATTTCATCATCAATGACATCAGGCATGCTTAACTGTTTTCTTTCTTTTCTCTTTTTTTATATCTGTATATTCAATAAGTTTTTTGTTCTCTCTTGTATTGTCATACTTTATTACAACAGAACAATAATTGCATGTAATCTTTATACATACGAGTATAATTTTTCGGTACGTGTATATGTCACTGAAGTCCTTGTAAACGGCTGGGCTGATTTTAATGAAATTTTGTGTATGTCTTCTGGTCGATTCGAGAATGGCTTAGATTCACAATTCAGTCAACATTTTTTTTATTATAATCTGTCCTCGGATTTAAGTCGTGTGTATAAGACAAAGTTTGTCCGGTCCGCTAGTTTTTTATCGACAGCGGATTTATTAACAGAGCATATACAGAATTTGACTCATTTTTTTTATTATTTTTATTATTAATACAAATATTATGGACCCCTTAAGAAATTCCTGCCTTACGGTCTCAATACAATAAACTATTAATAACGAGCGCTAAAACTTCGCTGAACACACAATTACTAAACCGCTCATCAATGGGGTGACCACTCTTAACGGGTTAAACGAACAATGTTTGAATTGATATTTTTCTCGTTATTTCTTGTCAAAATAAAATATTAAAATTTTTTTCGATTATGGAATGCTCAATTAACATTATGTCACCAAGTCTGTTCTTCGCGTAAAAAAATCACCCTGTATATCTAGTTGGGAGGACTCACCCTTGGGGTCGACGACCTTGACCTGCTGCGAGGCGGTGCTGGGCGGCGAGGGGCCGGCCTCGTTCTGCGCCGTGACGCGGAACTCGTACTGGCGCCCCTCCACCAGGTTGGCGCAGTTCAGCTGCGTGGGCAGGCACAGCGACGCGTTCACGCGCTGCCAGCTGCTCGAGCCCACTTCGCGCTTGTCCACCCAGTAGCCTGGCGGGGGAGGGGTCGGTCAGTTCCGTTAGGTACAGCACACTCCACGAACACAAAAATGTAACTGTCGAGGGAAACCATTTTAGAAGGAAAATATACATCCTGGTAAAAAAGTACATTAAAATTAACTTTAGGTCTTAACTCGACTCAGTGAACCTACAGTTTTTCTACATATTTTAATGTTCATTGAACCCTATTACACTACGAGTCGGGGGGAAAAATATCAAGAAAAATGTACCAAGTATTTACATGACATGAATAAAATATTTTAAATTTTATAATATTTTACGGATTTCTAGCATTTAATTAGATTTTTGAATTCCCGATGTTTCGAATCCTTTTCAGCGGTTATGGTCAGAGGACAGACTGTGTTTTTTCACGCCTCAATGTCAAAGTTAACTCGGGCTACCGTTAATTATTTAATTATTTTCATACCCCGTAAAATAGTTTCATTTAACAATGTCTATATAACATTCACATAAAAACAAGAAATCAATACAAAAGTGTAAGTTAAAAAATATTCGATGTGAACAAAATAGTAAAAATTTTATGATTTTTAAATTAAAAGGAAGGCTGTTGCGTTATGAGTGCAAGAATTAGAAAGTTAAATTTTCTTTAATAAGACTTAATTAGACAATAGATAAGTGAAATATTTCGAAATTAGTCACTCGTAGTCCGACCTCATTACAACAATCTTCTTTCGGTACACAAAAGAAGCAATACGTATATAGTGCAATTAATTTTATAGGACGCTCACCTTGTATTCTGGCGCCACCGTCGCTCTCGGGTTTGTCCCATTCGAGATGGACGAAGTGACCGCCAACTTCCAGGATTTTGGGAATGCCAGGCGCCGATGGGGGATCGAACGGTGCCTTGGCCTGAAAAATGACATATTAGTTAATTCAAGTAGCGGACAATCTTTTACACTATGTTTTACGTTATTGCATTAGTGAAAACAACAGCCATTACAGTCCATTAAAGCCAATTACAGATTACGAAAATGACAAAGATAAAAAAATGTAATTAATGGTAAAATTATAAAATAAAAATATTAAATTTTTTCTGATAATCTTCTTGCACTTATTCTGCCGAAGTAGTAGGTTCGGAAGAACCAATCAATTGTGTCTTCAGTTACGCTTATCGTCAGCCCTCCTTTGGAGCACACACCCAATCCGGAACACCGTGTATATAAATAAATAAATGGGAACACACCTTGACGGGGTTGGCGCCCTCGAGGCCGGGCCCTAACCCGTTCTCGTTCGCGGCGCGCACCCTGAACCGGTACTCCTGTCCCTCCGCCAGCCCGTGCACCGTGTAGCGCAGGTCGCGCACGCACGAGGCGATCGTTATCCACGCCTCGCGTGCCGCGTCGGCACGCTCCACCGCGTAGTGCGTGACGGGCAGGCCGCCGTCGTGCGCGGGCGGGCGCCACGCCAGCGAGCACGTGTGCCGCGTCACGTCGCCCGCCTCGAGCGGACCCTGCGGCGGCCCCGGCAGCCCCGTCACCGTCACGGAGAACGTGTCCGACGCCTCGCCCGAGGCGTTCTTGATCGTCAGCTTGTACGTGCCTGCGGCGGGGCAAGTGCGTCTTTACCTCGGGCGGTAGTGCAAGTAGTGGGGGGATGTGTATTTACGGGCGGTCGAGTGCAAGTATACTACTTGGGGCCATCGCGGGGCAGAACAGAATGGCACTGTCGCAAAGCCACTTTTGTGGATTCTGCGGTGATGACGAGAGACCGCGTCACATAGTTTTTGTATGCGATGCCCTGGTCAATTGGGAGTCGGGCACTGGGGGGTCCCAAGTTGGCAACTAAGAAAGCTTTTATCCTTTTATCCTCTTATCGACAGTAAACTTCGTTAGGATTATTAGTTTGGAAGCTATGTTACTTCGAAGGAAAGACTATAATAGATCTTCTAGGTCGCAATAATTGTCGAAACTACCCAACTCCTTCCACACAGAACATAATCATCTTTACCGTTATTCTGTATAATGGCTACAGAGTTTGTTGTAAGAGGCGTGCAAAGTGAGATTTCAAAATTTTACCACAGCCCCAACTTATGTAGCTTTTTAACCATTCATAAAATATTATTATAACAATACATAAACTAAAATGTATGACAGCTCGGCCAGCACGGCCAAACCGCCCAAATTGACAGCGACAAGGCAACGCACCCATGTCCTCCTTGGTGATGTCCTTGATGAAGATGAGCACGTAGTCGTCGAAGACGGTGAACTTGAGGTGCGGCGTGTCGCTCAGCTGGCGGCCGTCGCGTGACAGCGTCACGTCGGCCGGCTGGTCGCCCGAGTACAGGATCTTGATCTTGGTGTTCTCGTGCTCGGGCAGGTGCAGGTCGCCCGGCATGCGCGTGATGCGCGGCGGGTCTGCGGGCGCGGGCCGATTTAGGCTTTAACGCGAGCGACTTAAGGACGCTTTTTCAAGTTCTTCTAAGACTAGATCTTAACACCTATGCCCTAAGAACACTTTTAATTGTTTATAAAACGAGCAGTGTGCTTATAAGAGTCGTATGACCTTCTATAGATTGTCATAGTCATGATAGCTTTTTATCGTTTTTGCAAAATACCGTTAGACATCATTTGTTATTGATTATAGCTAGACAGGCATAGGAGCTATCTCTTTTTCTGTCGGTAGCGCCATGTCTGCTATGTATGTGCATGTAGCACAGCTACGGAATCGGTATCAATATAAGACATACATTTGTAGAAAGAGATACAAAGAGTTATTGAGGTACCAAAAATAATTCCGACTATATAAAAACACAGACTTATCAACCATTACATATGATATAACGATTATCGTTTCAAATTTGTATATATAACTTGTTCGTGTTGAACTCACTTCCAATCTTCAGGTGTCCAATGCAGTAGATGAAGCCGAGGCTGTTAATGGCCTCGCAAGTGTAGTCACCCTCGTCCCCGTCGGCAACCTCCAGAATGTTCAGTTTCAACGTGCCCTCGCGAGATTCGGCTATGTACCTGCGTAGAATTAAGTTAAGTAAGCGCATATTTTATTAAGGCAAGTAAAAACTAATACGTTGTAGCGAAAGATAAGGAAAAGAACGCAGTATTGTGCAGATTTCATTTTGACCGTTTTTAATTTGCTAAGTTCAGACGAATTTCAAAGAGGCTTATAAAGTAAATAAATGTCGGCCTCATCATTGACACTATACGAATAGCGAGATCTAGTATGTCACCACGAGTAAACAATCGAAACTAACGTCGAAATGGTCATTTATTATTTATTACTAGCTGACTCGGCTAACGTTGTTTTGCCATATAAATTATTTCTAGAGGAATCGGAACGCACGCATAAAGTGTTTGACAGGTTACATAGACATAGTTGACAGGTTGACAGGTAGTTTGTATGAGAAAATAAAATTGTTGCCACAAATATTTCAAAACCAAAATTAGCCAAAACGGTCCAGCCGCTCTCGAGTTTTAGCGAGACTAACGAAGAGCAATCCATTATTATATATTAGATTATAGCTTAACATCTAGAGATTACTCCATATAGACTAGTCATTAGCAATACCGCAATTTTCTACAATCTGTTCGTTGTTCAAGAGCGGCGGTGATCACATACCATCAGGTGAGCCTCCTGCTCGTGTTCCCCTTTTTTCCATATAATAACCATTTTTTTACTAACGAAAAACAAAACCGACTTAAAATATCTCGCTTAAGTATCCCCGGAGCCCAAGATCCAATACCAATGAAATTAATATGGGTCCACTTGGGCAGCACCAGCTCTCAAATAAAAAAAGAATCAACAAAATCTGTTCACTCTGATGTAGCAAACATGAAAAGAAATACAGTCGAATTGAGAAGCTGCTCGTTTTCGAAGTCGGTTAAATATATAAATATAAATAAAAGGTCATTACTTTGTGCCGAGCACGATCTCGCGGCCGTTCCGCAGCCAGCGGCCGGTGGGCACGGGCGTGCCGCTGGCCTGGCACTGCAGCGTGAACGGCCTGCCCAGGGGGGCGGTCATGTGCGCCGGGAGCGGCCTCAGCCACTCCGGCTTCACGCCGCCCGCCTCCTCGCCGGTGCGCACGGGCGTGGTGCAGCTCGACGGCTCCGACTTGCCTGCAGATAGAGACACAACATTTAGGTATCAACTTGCCATTCTAGATTGATAACGATATGGGATATGTTCGATCGTCTAACGGTTTATATTAAGTTCGGTTAAGCACGAAGATCAAGTTAAATAGATTTATTAAAATAATTATCTGTTAAAGGAATTGTATGTAAAGTAAGATAAGGTAATAAAGTTTTGTCTCCTCAATCTACATATTAGATACACAGTGAGGTGTTATGCGTCAATGCAAAAGGCGTTGACATCTTCAACAAAATTTTTAGCATTTTAACAATATTTTTTTAAAAGTAATTTTTATTAATCATATTGCTGATTCATAAAACTATTTTTACATTCAAATCTACACAATCAATCTTCAAATAAAAAAATCCCAATGCTATTGGGAACGCTATAGTTATGATAGCTTTTTCATGATTGATTAAATGAAAAAAAAAAAATATATAGATTGAATGAATGAGAACTGTATGAAAAGAACGAGTGAATGGCTGTACGACACTTTCGAGTTCTCGTGTAGTAATCAATGAATGAACGAAAAGAGAAGAGAATGAAGAGAAGAGGACAACACTCACCGGCCGAGTTGACGGCGATAATGCGGAACTCGTAGTCGCACCTCTCGTGGAGGTTGAGCACCGTGAAGCTCGTGTCCTGCACGTTGTAGTCGTTGCACTTGAGCCAGACGGAGCTGCTCACTTCGCGGCGCTCGATTATGTAGCCGGTCACGCGGGCGCCTGTAAAGGGATATCGGTCGCCGATTATTCATGCCCCGCTCGCACAGGGTAGGTAGAAAATAACTCTTAATAGATAGTTTCTGGCTTTTTAAAATGATCAATAAATAAGTTACGCTTAAATTAAAAACGTATGTAAGCGTGAGGGACATTTTATTCTAAACTTTGATAATGAAACGATCATTTGCAACAGTAGTAGTTATGATAGTCATATAAAGCTGCAAATGGTGGTCACGCATGAGGACATGTGTGCATAACCAAAGAGAGCACTGCCGGCTATGGTGCGACCGTCCTAGTCTGTTGACAGTTGCGACTGCACTCGTTTAACGTTTTCTCACGGAACGGATAAGGCGAAAGAGCGCACTCACCGCCGTCGGAGGCGGGCGGCTGCCACGCGAGGTCGACGTAGTTGCGGCCGACGCGCAGCACGCGCGCGCCCTGCGGCGGGGAGGGCGGCGAGGCGCGCGCGCGCACGCGGAACGGCGCGGAGCTCGCAGAGTGCTTGCCGAGGCCGGCCGCGTTCTTCGCGCGCACGCGGAACTCGTACTCGTGGCCCGGCTCCAGGTTGTACGCCTGCCGCAGGGGGACGGGGAGGGTTACGCTACGACGCTAACTTGCGGACGCTTCGACAACGTACAACGCCCAGGTCCCGGCCACCCACTCGGAAGCAACTCCCTTCCACTTCTCGCGGACCTTCTGTGAGGCCGTGGTAATACCCCGGTAAAGCCTGACCATTTGTGCTAACACGCAACAGCCGCGGCAGCTGTGTGGTAGCATCTTCGTCTTCTTTCTAAAACTACATAAGATTATTGTCAAAGCACGTATTCAGTATCGCTGTTGGAAATTTTTCTTAGTTGAAACAATGGCTTCACCTATAGAAATGTTTCTATTAATTTATCAGCCTTTAAGAAATAAAATCTCGTGCATATTTAATATAAGTAGGAATTCATTCAGTCATTCTTCCGCCCATCCGCAGTGGGCCGCGCAGTAGACTGCGCCCAAAAACCCTCTGTTCAGAGGAGGCAATTGCCCAGCGGTGGGATTTACTTTACTCGATTCCTCGCTCACCTGGTAGTTGCAATCCTTGACCAGGTAGTCGGCGCTGGACCAGACGGCGTCCTGCACGTCGCGGAACTCCACCTTGTAGCCCTGGATCCTGGCGCCGCCGTCGGAGCGGGGCCGGTCCCAGGTCACGTTGGCGGTGGAGCCGTCCCAGTCGAGCACGCGCGGCGTCCCCGGCGCGTCGGGCACCGTGAACGGGTACTGTTAATACGCGACACGCGATCACGTCAGAGCCCTCAGCCCGTGGACTATCGAAGCTTCGTCGATGTGAGCACGATCTCCTTACATTAACTGTGGTAGGCCCACGCAACACTCTTTGTTGCACGAATGGGCAGAGCCGTTCGGGTAAGTACCACGACTTCACCGAAGCCCAGTGTAAAGTGGAAGTGTTACATACTTCTGCGATTCGTCGATGATGGCAACGCATCGACAAATGTCAATTTTGAATTAGTGAGATATGGTCAGAATAATGCTTAAATGAAACTGTTTTACGCATTTTATTGTGTATTATTTTGATTTTAAAATTCTCGAACGCTACGAAGTTAATTTTTCACCTCACAAAGATCGGTGAGAAATGAAAGTGTTATACCTTCGTGTTTCGTGTAGTGAATGAGGTAATCGGAGGACACATTGTTAACTTTGCCTGTTGTTAAAGTTGCATTGCAGGTCCGTAACCCATAAGGTGTTGTAGATTTATATGTAATCACTTAACATCATAGATTTATATATATATATATATATATATGTAACCACGTAACATCCGCCATCTGTCCGTTTGCCAAGTTTTTACATAAAAGCTTAGCTATTCTACCAAAGCTGAAAAAGAAGCTTTGATAATTTGATAGCTAACCTTCACTGGCTGAAAAGACACTTCACAGTACCAACCTTCGCAGTAATGGAGTCGTCCATTGTGAGCGGCTCGGAGACGCCATATTGGTTTTCGGCGCGCACGCGGAACGTGTATTTGCGGTTCGGTTCCAGGCCCATTACGTTGTAGTGGCAGTTGCGGACGAAAGACGATATCTTTGACCACACCTGTGAACGGAAATTTCACAAACACATAAATTTCAAGAAGCGACATACAAATACGTTTTCAATGTGAAACTAATCAACAAATTGAAAAAAGAAAACAACAAACACTATGTCTAATTAAAGTAACATTTTTTGTTTAGTTTTTAGTTGGAAATGGATTTTTAGTTCATCGATTGCAATGGATAAGCTAAAAAGCAGATAGTTTTGTTTATACTAGTATGTAAAACTAAAACCTTTTATCTATAGTTTATACATTTTTTTTTAATATAGAGTTATGTACTTTGTAGGCAAGCTTTACGAGTTTTAACTTACGCCTGTGGCGTCCATCTTCTCGACGATGTAGTTGGTGATGGGCGATCCGCCGTCGTCCAGCGGCGGTTTCCATGACAACGTGCACGTGTCCGGTGTGATGTCGTAGCAGTCCAGCGGGCCCACAGGTGGGGACGGCTTGTCCACTACTAGAACCTGCATTGGGTAAAAAAAATATATTAAACTATAGTGAAATTTAGAAATTATCTCAATCTATCTCTCTATTATCTAGGTTCAATTCTACTAACGAGTAAGAACACATTTATGTTGTTACAATTGCTGAACTGAATTGTACGAAATTTACGAACACACAATAGCTCGTGTTGGTTTTCGGATAGAGTTTATTTTGTAAAGGCTAGTTTGATATAATTTGTAACTCTATTTAAACTTTGAAGGTACAACAAGCTCCTTATTACTAAGAGCTATTTACTTCAAATCAAATTCTAGAATGTTCTAGAGTGCGTCTTCTGGAATGTTGGAAGGCTCCTTACCCGGCAGGTGCCGCTGTCGGAGCCCTCGCTGTTGACCAGCTGTACCGTGTAGGAGCCGGTGTCGGAGCGCTTGGCGCTGGAGTTGTGGAACACCGTGTCCCGGTCTGACATCACGAAGCGGATGCGGTGGTCCGGGAACACCTCGTCGTTGTTCACCACCCACGACACCTGAAGCAGATAGGCTGGCGTCAGTTTCTGATATTTTCTCCGTTAAAATACTTTTTGCTTGACAATTATAAACTTAGGCATGCGATGGATCAACCTAAGTTTTCAGCACGATTCTCCCAACTTTAGTCCATGTCATTGAAATACGAGTACAAGAGATTCTATAATCTCTGCGGGCCGTAAAATTCGTAAAAACCTGTAAGGCAAATTAACAGGAAGGTCGAATATAGAATAGCGAAATATGATGATTATAGTTGTTTAAGGCCTAGTTGGAGTTGAGCATTAAAGTATTACTGTTAAATTTAACTTTAGAATAGAAATACATCTCCATCGTATCTGACTTCTATTGGGAGGACGTCTTACCTTGGGTCTGGGGTTGCCGGTGAAGGGCACGGTGATCTTGATCTCCTCGCCGGCGATGACGACGATGTCTCGCAGGCTGAGGTCGCTGGTGATGCGGGGGCAGTTGGGCGGGGCGCAGGCGCGGATGGCGTCCGAGCTCTGGGACCAGGGCCCCTGGCCGGCCGCGTTCACCGCCGACACGCGGAACTCGTACTCGTGGTTCTCGATCAGCCCGGTCACCTTGTACGTGGTGTCGGGGATGTGGGCGTGCGCCGCCTTCGTCCACTTGTCCTCGGTGATGAGCCTCTTCTCCAGTATGTAGCCGGTGATGGGCGAGCCACCGTCGTGGCGCGGCTTGCTCCACGTGACGGTGATGGAGGACTCCGTGGTCTCGACGGAGCGAGGGGCGCCGGGCGCCCCTGGCGGGTCGAACGGGTGGCGCGCCTTGATCGGCTCCGTCGTCTGCGCGGGCTCCGATTGGCCGTACTGGTTCTCCGCCATCACCCTGAACTCGTAGTCCCTGCCGACGGTGAGGTTCTTCACGCGCAGGAACGGCGTCGTGACGTAGCCGGACACCTTGGTCCAGGTCGGCGAGCGCGCCTCGCGCTTCTCCACCACGTAGTTGGTGATCTCTCCGCCGCCGTTGTCCTTGGGCGGGTTCCAGTACAGCGTGAGAGCTTCGCCCTCGAACTCGTCGGCGCGCAGGTTCTCCGGCTTGCCGGGCCTGTCCAGCACGCGCACGTTGATCGTCGCCGTGTCGTATCCGGACGGGTTGCGCAGCTGCAGCCTGTACTGGCCGCCGTCCGACCTCTTCGCGTTCTTGACAACGAGCGACGCGGAGTCGGGTGTGATCTTCTGGAATATTCTGGAATCGCCCTCGACGTCGAGAAGATTGTCGTCGGCGAACCAAGAAGCGGTCGGTTGCGGGAAGCCAGTGTACGGTACGTGAATGGAGAAGTCCTCGCCTGCACGCACCGTAATATCGCGAACACCGCCGAGATCCATGCACGGCTTGTTCGGTTGTTCAGCAATAGTGATGTCGGAGGTCGGTTTGCTTGGTTCCGAGTTGCCGACTTCATTGACGGCAATAACCCTGAACTGATATTCTTCGCCCTCCTTAAGTTTTGGCACGGTATGAACAAGACTTGGAATCGGTACATCATTGACGTCCTTCCAGTCTTTATCGCCCTTGGCCTTCTGTTGAATGATGTAGCCCTTGATCTTGGCTCCGCCGTCGCTCTTCGGCGGTCTCCACGAAAGAGTGACAGAATCTTTAGTGACTCTATCCGGCTTTGGTGCCTCGGGAGCACTGGGCTTGAGTCTCTGTGTTTGGGCGGTAATGGGCTCAGTGGGCTTGCTCGGTTTGCCCGGGCCGGCTTCGTTGACGGCGATGACGCGGAACTCGTAGCGGTTACCCTCGCGCAGGTCTTGAACGGTGTAACACGTGTTCGGCGTGGGATAGTTGTTCACCTTTACCCAATCGCCGCCGCGTTCCCTCTTCTCGATGTTGTAGCCAGTGATAGGTCTACCACCAGTGTTCGCCGGTGGCTGCCATTCGAGGGAGCAGCTGTTAGCGCTGTAGCCGGTGATCTTAGGCGTTTCCGGCGCGTCTGGTGGATCGAACGGCAACTTCGCGATTATCGGTTTGCTTTCGAGCGGTTCTGAGAGTCCGTACAGGTTTTCGGCGCGTACCCTAAATACGTACTTCTTGCCCTCGGTCAAGTTCTTGACAGTGAACGAGCACTTCGGACAGAAGCCGGCGACTGTGCGCCAATCGTTGACTCCGAATTCGGCAACTTCGACTACGTAGCCGGTAATTTCGCTTCCGCCATCATCTGCCGGCGGCAACCAAGTCAAACTCATAGTTTCGTGTGTGACAGGCGTGCATGAAAGTGGTCCCTTTGGAATGCCTGGTTTGTCCACAACAATGACCTCGATGTCAGCGGAGTCCTTTCCGTATTCGTTAGTAGCTGTGATGGTGTATTTGCCGGCATCGTCCCTAGTAGACTTCTCGATACTGAGCTTAGTCTCATCTGGGCTTGTTTCTGTAGATATCCTGTGAGAGGGCGCAAGTGTAACGGCACCCTTAGTCCAGGTGACCTTTGGCGTTGGTGCACCGGCGATTGGAATGTTAACGTTAATCGGTTCGCCAGCACGGACCTTGATCTTGCGGCCGATGAGATGATCCAATGAAAGTTTTGGTTTCTCCTTCATTGGTTTAGCAATAATGACGTTTGATGGGTCAGAAGGCTGACCGGGTCCAGCTGCGTTCACAGCTGATACTCGGTACTCGTATTGGTGTCCCTCTTGTACCCTGTCATCGTCATATTCGTTAAATCTGATGGGATCTTTGTTTAGTTTGATCCACCTGCCAGTAGCCTTGTCCCTTCTCTCCACGTCGTATCCCAGAATGTTGGAGCCACCGTTCGAGATTGGCGAGGACCATTTGACCTTGATATGGTCCTTATCCGCAGAAACGAGCTCTGGCTTGCCAGGTTTGCCAGGTACGGTGTATTGATTTTTGGCAACTACTGGTTTGTCCGTTACAAGAGGCTCGGAACGGCCTTGCAAGTTCTCTGCAAACACTCTGAATTCATACTTTGTACCCTCGGAAAGACGTGGTACTGTTGCATGCGTGTATTTAGGATTGACGTAAGTGACAGCCGGCACCCAACCACCGCCGTGTGTCAAGTCGCGCTTTTCAATAACGTAGGCCGTCAATTCACTGCCACCATTGTCTTTAGGCGGTTTCCACGATAAGGTAACGGATTGGGCAGTGATTTCTTCGTACTCGAACGGCGGTTGAGGCGCCCCGGGTACATCCAGCACAATCAGTTCGAAGCTACCTTCGTCGGATCCGGAGTCGTTCTTCAAAGACAAGTTGTATTTGCCAGCATCAGAACGCTTGCAGTTCACGGTGTGTACGATCGTGTGATGTCCCACAGATGTCACCGTCGTCCTTTCGTTAGTGACGACGCTCTTTCCGTCGCAGGTCCATTTAACCTCGGGAATAGGCTCTCCGATGAAGTCGACGTCCACGTGGAAAATGAGTCCGGCCTTAATGCGGACTTCCTTGAGCGGAGTGAGAATCTTTGGTGCAACAAATCTGTCCTTAGCCGTAATAATGTCGGAAGGCTCGCTGGGTTCGGATTGGCCGGCTTGGTTGACCGCAATCACCCTGAATTCATAGTCCTGGCCTTCAATTAAATCGGGCACAGTGGCCTTCGTCTGCTTAGGTGGTACGTGCACGGCGTTCACCCAGTACGGGCTGCCCTTCTCTTTCTTTTGGACAATGTATCCGGTGATGGGGGCACCCCCGTCGGATTTCGGCGCGGCCCATTCCAAATCGACGTGGCTCTTGCTCCAATCGGTCGCAACAGGTTTTCCAGGAGCGGAAGGCTCGTCGAACTCGTTCTTGGCGACGATAGCGCGGTCGAGCTCCAACGGTTCAGATTGCCCAATGGCGTTCACCGCGCTCACTCTGAACAGGTATTCCTTCATGTGAATAAGCCTAGTCACCTGGTGCGAAAGGAACGTGCTCATTCCCGCGTCCGACCAAGTGCCACGCGATAAGTCCATCTTCTCGATCACATAATGCAGGATCGGTGATCCACCATCGTCAAGCGGCACCTTCCATGACAGAGAGCAAGATTCCTTCGTAACGTCGGAGACGACGAGGGGCTTCTCTGGCCTGGACGGCTTGTCCAATACGGTCACTTGCGCTGAAGCGGAGCAAACTCCGAGGTCGTTCTTCAAGGTCAACTTGTAAACTCCTCCGTCTGAGCGGACGGAGAATGGAATGTCTAATATGACCCTGTTGTGCAATACTTGAATGTCAATCCTGTCTGACGGTTGTACAACTTTTCCGTTAATCTGCCATTCAACAGTCGGTTTCGGTGACGCTTCTATCGGTATCTCATACTGTATGCGTTGTCCAGCCTTAACAGTCTTGTCGGCCAACAGCATCTTATCGAACTGTGGCGCACAGAATCTAGCCTTAGCCACTTGGGGAGTGGACGCATCGCTCGGTTCTCCGTTGCCTGCTTTATTGACGGCAATGACCCTGAACTCATACTCCTCTCCTTCTTGTAAGCCTGGGACAGTTGCTGTTGTCTGGTTCCCGGGGACAGTAGCGGCGACCTCCCAAGGTCCGTACTTCTTCTTGGCCTCGATAATGTATCCTGTGATCGGAGCGCCGCCGTCCTTCTTCGGCGGCACCCATTCCAAGTCCATGTGGTCTTTGTCCCAGTCTTTGACGACCGGAGTTCCCGGTTTGTCCGGTGTCCCGTACGGGTCCTTGGCCGTGACTGGTTCTTGGCCGACGAGGGGCTGCGACTCGCCTTGCTTGTTGACGGCGCGAACACGGAAATTGTAATCGTGTCCCTCTATGAGATGGTCGATGCGAATGTGGCATCCTTGTACTTCTCCCGCCGGCACCCAGCGTAGATTCTCCTGATCCATTTTTTCGACAACATAGTGGCTAATCTCGCAGCCACCGTCGTCCTTGGGTGGTCGCCAGCGCAATGAACAACCAGATTTCGTAATGTCGTCAACGCGAAGTGGTCCTTCGGGAGGCAGAGGCACGTCCATCACTAGCACCTTCACCGTTGCGGAATCGGTGCCGTTGATGTTCTTCGCCTTGAGTGTGTAAGTGCCAGAGTCTGCTCTCTTCGCGTCGATCACGCGGAACTTGGTGCTGTGGGCGTCGTTAACGATCTTGATTCTGTCGGTGTTGAGAACCACATTGTCGCCATGCAACCATTCCTTGGTGGGCGTCGGTTCTCCGGCAACGGGCACTTCGAGATCGAAGTTCTGGCCGACCTTGATCTTGATATCGAACATGTAGTTCCTGTCGATCTTGGGTGGCAAGTTCTTGGGCCTGGCGAGATGAGGCGCTGTTCCGTCGCTCGGCTCGCCCTTGCCGGCTTTGTTGACAGCGCGCACGCGGAACTCGTACGTGTTACCCTCAATGAGGTCCGGTACTTTACCAGTTGTGACATCGCCTTCAATCTGAAAGCGTGTAAAGGAGAAATCTATTAATTTATGTCCCTTTAAAAGGCTTACCAACTAAACTAAATAAAAATATGTACTATATAAAAAGATCATAACCCAGTTCATATCGTGATACGGACGCGAATGGAAATGCTGCTATATTCAGTGATGTATTAATGTACTCGTCAGCTAAAGAAAACATCGTTGGAAACCTTTCATACCTTAGAAATAATAAAATAATATTCAGGTTGCTCCAAGCTATCAGGGCTCTTTTAATAAAACTAACAAATGTTTCTCTCACATGTGCGCACTCCTCCCAATCGGGTGAGAAGCGATCCTTCTTCTCGATGACGTAGCCGGTGATGGGCGCTCCGCCGTCCGTCTCCGGGCGGGTCCATTCGAGCTCCACAAAGTCCTTGTCGAAGTCCTTGATCTTGGGCGTGCCAGGTTTGCCGGCCACGTCGAACGGATTCTTCGCCTCCGTGGCGTGTGGGGTCGTGAGAGGCTCCGATTTGCCTTGTCTGAAATTTTATACACGTTTTAGTTTTAGAATTTTTTTTGACAAATTTATTTGTCTTATTGGATTTAATTTTCTTAGGCCCTCCAAATTTTCAAGAAATTTTCTAAAGTCCTAGTGCTATCTTAATATAATCATTATTATATTTTGATTTATTGTATGGAAAAACTTGGTCAAATTAAATGTTATTACGATTTCCCGGAAGTGATCTTTCAGCGACAGTTCAATCATTCATTCATCCATTCGTTCATTCAATCATTCATCCATTCGTTCATTCCATGGGCGGCGGTTGTCACTTAACATGTTCATACACAAAAAGCGAAACAATGTAACCGAACCGACCTGTTGACCGCCCTGACGCGGAACTTGTACTTGTGTCCGGGCTGCAGGCCGTCCACCGCGAGGCTGGTCTCGGGGCCGAGGGTCTCTCCGGCCTGCACCCATCGGCCGGTGGCCTCGTCCATGCGCTCCACCACGTACTTCTCCACGGGCTGGCCGCCGTCGTCGGCGGGCGGGTTCCACGACAGCTTGGCGCCGTTCGCGTGCACGTCCGAGACCTGGACGGCGGGGTGACGTTAGTCGTGGGTCATTTTAGGGCTGCCAAAAGGAGATCCGTGCTAGTTAGGCGTTAAGGGCTGCCGAAAGGAAACTCGCACTTCGCGTTAGTTACTTTATACTTTGTGTTTTTAAGAGCTGCCTAAAACAAACTTGCGTTAGTTGCTTTAACCTATGAATGTTTTTAAGGGCTGCCTAAAGCATCGACTCGCATTAGTTACTCTATACTACGGGTCATTTTAGGGCTACCTAAAGTAGACTCGCATTGGTAACTTTGAACCATGGGATTATTCAAGGGCTGCTCAAAGGAGATTGTGTTGTAAGCCCTTTTTACGTACATCAATGTGGATACGAAACAATCCGAAACAATTTGTTTTTTACACAAACAGTTGTTTCGTGTGGGAATGGAACCCACAGCCCCCCTCGCCGAAGACAATACCTTTGCCGCAACTGTGCCACGGGTAAACCCTGATAAAAAACGAAGATTCACCTTAAGCGGCCCTCCCGGCGGGCTGGGCACGCTGAGCACGATGACCTCCACCTCGGCCACGTCCTTGCCGTTGGCGTTCTCGGCGGTGACGGTGTACCGGCCGCTGTCGGCCCTGGTGGCGGACTTGCAGTTCAGCTTCGTGTTGTAGTCCGAGTGCTGCACCTTCATGTCGCCGTACGACTTAACCTCCTTCTTGGCCAGGTACCACTTCGTCTCGGGCATCGGCTCGCCGGAGACCTGCGAGATGTTCAATCGTAACATTAACTAATGTTTCAGGATATAGTTATTCAAAAGGGCAGGGCCACGCAGCGGCCTCGGCTGTTGCACTAATGGGCAGGCTCGTCCGGGTAAGTAGAACGACCTCACAGAAGACCGTCGTGAAGTGGAAGTATGATAAATACTTTCGCGTTTAGTCTGATTAGTGACTTAGCCGGAGCCCAATTTTCAAAAGGCTGTCAAAGCATCTGTAACCCTCGGGTGTAGCAGATGTCCATGGGTGGCGGTATTCACATAAAAACAGATGAACCGTCTGCTCGCTTGGCAACTTTTCACATAAAAAAATGGTTTTGTAACCCCATTTTAAGACAAGTTTATACTATGGGTACTAGATAACTGATAATATACTTGAACGTACTTCCCTTTTGTAAATAATAGTATATACATATAAAACTGAGACACTAGACGAAAACAGCATAACAATCACACATTAATTTGCTAGTATCAGGAATCAAGCCCACACCCTCTGCGTATGAGACAAATTCAGAATCCACTACACCGATCGGTTTCGAATTTGAAAATAATAGATGCGTTGCGAAGATTGAACACAACTATGCGGAAAAGGACAAAATGATAACTTGAACAACTTCAAAATATTATTTTTTCACATCTAACGAATACAGATTACTTATAAGTAATTGGAAAATTTATGTATATCAGTAAACTTTTTACTTTATCTTTTAACATGCATCAACATCCGCCATTAAACGCCTTTACTGACAAAATGGCTTCGTAGATATTAATTATAATAAATAGATTAGACTTACTCTCCTCTCTCCCTACTCCTAATAATTTGAGTTGGTCATAAACGCCAGCCTGAGCAGAGAATATATGACTGCTATTTGAATAGAAAGGAATACCCGGTGAGAATGTAAAAATCCGAATGAAATGCCGCACCTTGACATCGAATCCAAACTTCTGTCCCACTTTGATCTTGATGTCGATGAGGTTGGTCCTGTCGATCTTCGGCGCCGTGTTCCTGGGCTTGGCCACGATCGGGTGTGTGCTGTCACTGGGCTCTCCCGGACCAGCCTTGTTCACGGCCCTCACCCTGGAACGAAGCGTAGTTAAACCCTCAACGGTATTTTTTAAAAATTAAAAAAAAAATTATAGTGCTAATCTCTGCATTTAAGATTAAACATTAAAATTTGTAGAAAAAGTACGGAGAGATCGTCGCCGCTGTGGGAATCGAACTCACGCTTTCGCCATTCGCGGAATGACGCTTTAGTCACAAAATCTAAACGGCTGATTGCCACACCGACGTAAATCTTTACGTCTTCTTTTGCTTACATTGTTTTTTAGCATTTGAAGCAATGCTTGGCGCATCCATCGTTATATCTTTGTGTATTTTTTATTTCATCTATTCACAAAATCATCAGTTGTGGTTATCTGTGTATAGTAAAGTATTGGAATTATTTTTTCAGTATTTAGAAAGACGAGATTAAATGTTAACTGCTCGCTCGAATATCACTTTTCTCGTCCCACAGACTGGATAGATCTGATTGAAATTCAGAACTGACATGTGTTATAAGCCCAAATTGTTGGGATAAACAATTTGTCCAGCTTAGAAAATGTATCACACATATTTCAGGGATATTTTGGACAAAATAAACTATTTTGTTGTGAATGAACCACGCGTCAAGTGCTGTTAAAATATGAAAGAAAGCATGGATGAAGAATACCTGAATTCGTAGGTCTGACCCTCGACAAGATCGGGCACGGTGGCCGTGGTCTTATCGGCGGGTACTTCGAGCGCCTTCTCCCAGTTGCCGAATTTGTCCTTCTTCTCCACGATGTAGCCTTCGATGGGGGCGCCACCGTCCTCTTTGTGGGCGGGGTCCACTTGAGGTCCACGTGGTCCTTGTCCCAGTCGGTGACCGAAGGTGTTCCGGGCGCGCCTTTATAATAAAACAAGTTATATAACATCTATAAAGGTCAAATTTCAAATAAATCCGGGATAATAAAATAAAATAATAATAATTTCAATAATCATATAACGGGTTTTGAAACTCTATTGATTTTTCAATACATTTCCGCCCTAACGGGGTGTTTAAGTTGAATTTGGTATATATGCATATATCGACGTAAAAAAATGTATTTGCTGTACAAACCACATACAGGATAGTAACATACAAATAAGATATATTATGTTACATGCACAAGAAAAAAGCTAGAAATATTTTTAAATTTATGATTTATTATACAGAAAACTATTACCTGTAAGTTTTTCATCCAAAAAAGTTTAGGGATTTTGGCGAAAATCCTATGGTTATGGGTTAAAGCCAAAAGTTTTTTTTTGTCTTGCGCCTATACGTACTTATAATTTCATATTTGTTTATATACATTAAGTAGTAAAGAGTCCGGTTAACATGTTAAATTAAGCTCTATGGTATGTTAGCTCACCAGGCTCGTCGAATGGATTCTTGGCGACGATGCTGGTCTCCGAAACCAGTGGTTCCGATTCGCCCTCCGAGTTGACGGCCGACACGCGGAACTTGTACTCCTTGCCCGGCGTCAGACCAGTGACCTCGCATTCTGTTGAAAAAGTTACATTGAACAACGGAGGGGTGGAGCAGTGATGTGCGTATATAGACAAGATAAAGCCAGCGAAATGTAGGCTTTGTTCGTTATGATTCAGAGATATTCACAAAATTATTTTACTAATATAGATTTTATGCTACGGAACATTCTAATTCCGTCTATTAACACTATAAATGAAAAAATCTAATTAAACATAATGTTATATAATTTGCTACTTTTTTTTGGGAAAGTCTAGACAGTTCTACAATTCAATAGCTGAACGTCAACAATCGTTTTATCGCTGCACAGGAGCGTGCTTGTATCGGTGGCCATTGAACTCCTCGAGCTGAACTGGTCCAGGGCACTCACTGGGCTCCTCCGAGCGCGCGCAGGGCACCCAGCAGCCGGTCTCCGTGTCCAGCTTGTCCACCTGGTAGTACTCGATGGGGGCGCCGCCGTCGTCCTTCGGCCTCTTCCACTTCAGCGTGGCGCCCTCTTTGTGCACGTCCGAGATCTGAACAAATTTTAATTTTAATGCACTAGGTCCATAAGTATGAGAGGAGAACGTTTTAACAATTCTGCAGTTAATGATAAAACTCCTTTACTAATACTAAATCCGTCAAATAAACTATGTAGAAATTTTAACAAGGTAATAATCAGGATTTGGCCTGTTTAAAGTACTGTTAGTGTTTTAAACTAAGTGGGATTCACAACAATGTTGACACAATCACAAATGTTACCACGACCACCTCAGTCAGTAACTGTGCGCATGCTGTAGGCAAGAACTAGCCGCGCCAGTTAAATAAATATTTCAGGGCGTATTTAAACAACGTTATCTAGTCCCAAAGTAGGCAAAGCTTGTACTATGGATTAGGTAACTGATAACTATACTTAAGCATCCTTTTTTTTTTTTAAATACATGCTCTAAATACATAAGCACCCAGACACTAGAAAAACAAACATATTTTCCCAGTAATGGAGATGGAACCCACAACACCCTCTGTCGCATGGGATAGATTCAGTTTTTTTTTTTAAAAAAAACATTGCTTTTACTGTAGGATAACATCATCCCGTGTTGTACGCACGTATTACATACACAAACTCCACATGGACAAACACCCAGATATAGAAAACATAATCTGTGCCGTCGACAAATAGCTGTCCCGTGCGGGGATCGAACCCGCACCACCGTACGAGCCGTCGAGCCGGAGCCGGAGCCACCAACCTGCAGCGGCCCCTCGGGCTTGGCGGGCTTGTCGGTGACCAGCACGGTGACGGTGACGGCGTCCTTGCCGCTGCTGTTGGTGGCCGTCACGGTGTACTCGCCGCTGTCGTCGCGCCGCACAGGCCGCACCGCCAGCTTGGTGAAGTACTCCGGCGAGTCGATGCTCACCGCCTTCGAGGGGCGCAGCGGCATGTTCTGGAACCTGGTCACCGAGGATGCTCGTGAAAGTTGCCTTGGACACGTTGCGGTTGGTCTAATATACATCGTCATCGTCGTTTAGGTCTATGGCCTCCCCCATACCACGAAGTACGATCCTGAGCCACCTGCATCCATCGACTTCCCGCAAATTTGCACAGGTCGTCACTCCATCTAGTAGATCATCCTAGACTACGATGGCCAGCACGAGGCTGCCACTCAAGAAGCTGTGTGGCCTGCCCATCGCCACTACAGCTCACTAGTCTTTTGAGCTATGTCGGTTACCTTTGTTCTAATATGTTATTTCTAATCCCAAACTGAGCAACGCTTGTAATATATGTACTAAATAACTGTTAAATATACTTTTCATATGTAAATAAATAAATATTATAAGTAGTATATGTATTCTATTTTGAATTCTTAAATAATGTAATATATTTTTGTTATAACGGGTTTAATATGTTATATACTTTAAATATTTTGATATATATGTTTTAAATTTAACTATATAATAATATGTATTTAACTTTTATTTTAACTTAATATTTAATTTGAAACGTTTGACACCTGTCTCTTTTGTCTCTCACGTCACGTCTCTCGCCCATAGGTTGACTGGGAGAGAAAGCCTTAGGCATTAAGTCCGCCTATACACAATGTTTATTTTTTTGTGTAAAAGTTTAAATAAATAAATATTACAATTATATAAACACTATGACCATCAGTGTTTCTCCAGTAGCCGGAATCGAACCCACACACAGCATCAGGCTAGACTGACCTCCACTCCACCACCGGCGCGGGCTCCCCGGTGATGGCCGCCTCCAGCTTGAGCGTGGAGCCGGCCGAGAGCGTGACGTCACGCAGGTGGCGGCGGTCGATCTTGGGCGCGAGGAAGCGCGGCTTGGCCACGAAGCTCTTGCTCGCATCCGAAGGCCTGCTCTGGCCCGCCTTGTTCACGGCCACCACGCGGAACTGGTACTCGTTGCCCTCGATCAGCCTGCGGATAGACATTGACATTGCTGATGTTAGCTAAAGAAAATAAAACTTGATACGCATAGACATTGGTCATGAGCTGAGGAGATTTAAACTTGTAGAAGATATGCACGAAGTTTTTCGCCGCCGCGCGGGTCGAACCCACGTCTTCCGGATTCGCGCCCAGACGCTTCGACCGCTGAGCTGAACCGTATTTCTATCTACATTGTTTTTTTTTTCGCATTTATAGCAATACTCGGCGCATCTGTTGTTATGTCGTATACAACACAGGTTTTTTAACGATAATTCGAACGAGAGATGTCGCCATTGCTATTTGAAATTAAACTTTTTACACTACTAATAACTGCACTCAAGAAGAGGCAAATAAAATTGACGAGTAGCTACGGTTAAAATGAAAATGCGACAGAGAATTGACGGTTACCGACATGGTACATTGAATTAAACAACACCTATCATTTAGAATAAACAGTGCTTGAAGAAATTCAATAGCCGTATAGTGTCAAAGGGAGCTGCTGGCTAATGGATATTACTATACTTCGTTGGCCATAGAAATCTCTAAAGTATCTTAAAAAAAAGTGAAATATAAGTAACATATCTCTAAAGTAAATCTTCTTTAGGAGAAGTCTTCAAGCAAATAATACATTTGACAAGCATAAATCTTTGCTTGCCAAATGTATTCACACCTATTTCAGCATCCTTACTAATATTATAAAGGCGAAAGTTTGTTTGTATGGATGGATGTTTGTTACTCGTTCACGCAAATACTACAAAATGGATTTTAATGAAACCTTACAATAATATAGCTTATATATCAGAATAAGACATAGGCTATAATTTATACACATTTTTATGTATATCTGTCTTTCTGTCTGAATGTTACGCCTTCAGCCTATCTACGCAGACGTAGTCGCGGGCAGCAGCTAGTAAAAATATATGTTAACATAATTATAGCGCGTTATATAAAAAAATCCATCTATTATCATAGCTCTTAACATGAATAAACATTTCGCACTCACCCATTGATAGTAGCACTCGGTGTCGGTGTGTGCGTTTCGAGAGCCTTCTCCCACAGGGGGCTGTACTTGTCCTTCTTCTCGATGATGTAACCAACGATGGGTGACCCGCCGTCCGATATGGGGGCCTCCCACTTGAGGTCCACGTGGTTGGCCGACCAGTCGTCCGGCACGGGCGCCGACGGGGCGTCTGGGACCGCTGTTGTGGAATCACAGTGTTAAATCAGTAGTAAAGTGAAGTAAAGTATCAGCCTATTTATGTCCCACTGCTGGGCCACGGCCTCCTCTGTACCGAGGGTATCAGGGCATAGTCCACCACGCGGCCACACTGCGGATTGGCTTGGCTGGATTTTACGCGAATATTATACATATTAAATGATTTAATTTTATATTATATAATAAAATATGATTATATATATTGGTAATCGAGTGATAAAGCACTCAGAGTATGGACTGACTTACTGAATGGATCCTTAGCGACGATAGCGCCGAAGGTCTCCAGCGGCTCCGACTCGCCCTCCTTGTTGACCGCCTTCACGCGGAATTTGTACTCGTGTCCCGGTATCAGGCCGTCAACCTGCAAGTTCAAAATGAAACACATGGATAACTGCCACCGAATACCATTCTAGCAATAGAACATCCCCATTGCCACTGCAACTAGCAAATCCGGAGCTGTGTCGGTGACTCTGGTTCATTCCTCGTTTCGAATTTTGTCACGCAAAGAAACTCCGAGCTCTCCATAGCTTCCGGTGGATGCAAATGACCTTTGTTCGACAGTTTGCGTCTATTAGCTGATGATGAGGATGATAATGAATAGCAGATGATTCAAGCGTTGTTTTGGAGTCAACGTCAAAGTATATTTATTCAATATAAATGCTTAACTTAAGCTCTTATTGAATGTCAACAAAAAAACCACCAGTTCACTAAACTAGACCTGAACAGGTCTTGTTCTTAATCAAGCCTCCTTCGTGATATGTCTCATCAGCTCAACAAAAAGGCACCCATGAGATGAACAACAGCAATAATCATTATTACTTTGTAAAACGAACTGTATAAACAGAATAAAAGTAAAAAAAATAAATCGAAGAACGAATGTACCACATTTTGAATGAAGACTAAAATATCCGAAATCTTCAACACTGATATGTCTTACTTATTTTTTTATCGAATGAATGAGTGAATGATGACTGGATGGATGAATGGTGAATGAATGAATGAATGAATGATAGAAGAGAAATCAGAAACCATTAAAATCTTCAAACGAATAGCCACACACCTCCATCTCGGGGACGTTGCCAAGCGTCTTGCCAACCGGCATCCAGGTGCCAGTGTCCGTGTCGTACTTCTCGACGAGGTACGCCTCGATGGGCTCCCCGCCGTCGTCCTTGGGCCTCTTCCACTTAAGCGTGCACCCGTCCTTGTGCACGTCGGACACTTCCAGCGGACCCTCGGGCTTGTCTGGTTTCGCTGTGCCAATGAATGGTGATGCGATTAGAAAGGCTTAGTTTCGAAATAATCGTTCCGGTGTAATACACAGTGGGCGTCCTCATTCTTCATGTCAGGTTTTAAGGAGAAAATTATACTGTTTTATACTTGGTAGCTTGATAGTGTGAAAGTAAGATAAGAGAACTATTGTATATTTTAAAAAAAATTCAGTAATCAATCAATTTCAGATCGTATCAAAATGTCGCCTTAATCGGGAACACTACTGAAGACATTTTTATTTTACGACATTTACAGTGGATGCAAAACGTTTTCCTGTGCAGGTTCCACCTCTCATTTCACGATTGGCGGCGCTGCAGCCAATAGTTATGTCTGATAACAAACACCAAATGATGTGACCGAGCTATTAGAAATTACTTTAACTGTAGCAAAGTCGCGACTTACAGGTGACCGTGATCTCGAGTTCGGCCGTGTCCTGGCCGTACTTGTTGACGGCCTGGATCTTGTAAGTGCCGGAGTCCTTGCGGCGGGGGCTCGAATGCTGGTACTTGCTCAGATAAGGCACGTTTACCACTGGATAAGTCAAACAACAATTTTAGTTCAAAGCTTTCGCTTTTTCCCTAGTGGTCGAAACTTCAATGGATTTTAAAGGGATTTATTGTTGACGATATTTAGGAAATATGTAATAAGCGTGGTTCGTGATAAAAACAAGTTTCTATAAAACTGTTCATCTTTCCAAATAACTTGCAATAACAAAAGTAAAAAATATAGGTAAAATTAAACAATCGAGAAAATCATATTCGATTCACTAATATTAGTATAATTCAAAATGGGAAAATAATGAAACGAATACGAAGCGATGAAAATCTAAGATATCATCATTAAATTAGGCGGTTCACAACAGGAAGCAATAAAGAAATCGTATGAAATCATTGAAATGAGTTTTATTCATCATCTGGGAAACAAGTTTTAGACCTTCCCATATGTAGTAAGATGTTCAGATAAAAAATGGATTCAACGTTTACTTTCCAGACATACAGATGTGTAAGGACACCTTAAGGTCTAAAACAGATTATAGATAGTTTTAAAAGGCACGCACGTTTGAGGCCATTGCCCGAGCTGACGGTCTTCCCGTTGAGGGTCCAGCTGACCTCCGGCGCCGGCTCGCCGGAGACCTTCACGTCCAGCGCGATGGGCTCGCCCTCGCGCACCTTGATGGCGCGCAAGTTGCGACGGTCGATCTTCGGCGCCACTGGAATGAAACAACCTTTTGTCACAGTACTTTTAACGGTTTTGATGTTATAAAACGCGTTGATGAACATGCCAGACACTTTATCTGTCTCTATAATATTTGGCTATGATTTAGGAATACTTTACATGCTCCCCAAATACACTACAGATTTGCACGTAATATCTTTTAAGGCTATTCAGACCGGCAAGAACTTCACAACATATATATATGTGTATCGATGTACCTATCCATGAATTCTATTAATATGCAAAAATACGATTTGCAGAAAGTTTTGATTGCGACAAAAGTTTCGTAAGTAACTGACTTTTGTCGGCTTTTGGCTATTCTTCTCCGTTCTCCTGCCCTTATCCCACCGTTGCAAATTCTAGGCTAAGTTTTTTAGGAGCAGACGTCTGATTGACGCCAAGCCCCCTTAGGAACAAACACCCAGATCCGGAACAATTATGGGTCACAAAAATACTTGTCTCGCGTGGGAAGCGGCGCAGAAGCCTACCACTTAACATTGCTAAGCTATTAGCGAATGTTCTACAGAGAGAGAAAGAGAGAGATGAACTGATATCGAATGTATTCCTGTATATTTGCCCTTGAGAAATGTCTATCGGAAAGTAAAGAGCGGTCGAGAGTAGAACATAGAGGTATGGGGCCAGGCCACTCACGCCTCCTGGGCTTGCAGAGGACGGCCTTGCTGGCGTCGCTGGGCTCGCCGGGGCCGGCCTCGTTCACCGCCTTCACCCGGAACTCGTACTCCACGCCCTCGTCCAGGTTCGCCACCGTCGCCTTCTCGTTGTCGTTGGGCCCCACCTGCGATGACCGGCCCACGTTACAGGTTTCGACATTGATACCTTACTTTACTTCAAATCCACCTCATACAAAACTCATCATTGTAATTCAATTAATTTATCAAGGTCCGTACCAATCATTTCATATATACGTAATTTGTAAAGTATTGACGGTTCAAATGTATGCTAGTTAACAATGAAATTGTGTATTCATTTCGTAATTATATGCTAACTCGTATAATTTAATAACTTCTTTTATTTACACCAATATTTATAAATTTTAAAAATACTTTATTTCCCATTTTAGCAGGGTTACTTTTATTTTAAACACCAATCATTTAGTTGATCTGCAATTCAATGTGAATTAATTATAATGATTTTATTATTTGTATTGAGGTGGAACATCTTACCTCGCAGGCTTTCACCCATTTCGGTGAGCCAACTTCTCTCTTCTCGATGATGTAGCCAGTGATGGGAGCGCCGCCGTCCTTGAACGGCTTCTGCCACTTGAGGTCCACGTGGTCCTTGTCCCAATCCACCACCTCTGGAGTGCCAGGTTTACCGGGCTCATCTGGAAACAGAAGTGAGCATACGTCAAGGAACGTAATGATTTTAGGCACGCTTTTACTACAATATTCTTTCTCATTTTCCTTGACCGAAATAATTCGGTATGCTGGAGAATACAAAAGCAACTCCTGCCTTTTTCTGCTCTTAACCAACATTTTTTTATTGTAATCTTCATCTTCAAAAAATTTATCACTTAATAGTGATTGCCATTTTGGTTTTGTCTATTATAAAAGTTAATACTTATTATAATGGACATAGCCAAAATGGCAATATGATGTACATTACATACCATATTTAGATTCATAAATAACTGTATTATTAAAGGCATTCTGATCGTTTAAAACAATACATCCCAGTAAAAAAGATTTTTTTATTGGGGTTTTTTAAAGATTTGTTAAGTGATAACCGCCTGCCATTTGCAAAACCCTTAGGGTTGCAGATGCGTTGCCACCTCTTAATAATGTGGGCACCGATTTGAATTACCCCGCTTGTTTTTTTATCGACCAAGTTATCGAACGATGAAAATGAGCCTATATTCACCTAGTTAATGCGCATATTCGTTCAATGAACAGCGCTAACAAGTAACGTAACAAGAAGGCAGCCGGGCTCACCGAAGGGATTCTTGGCGACGACGGAGTGCTCTCCCTCCAGCGGCTCGGAGACGCCCTCGTTGTTGACGGCGGAGACGCGGAACTTGTACTCGTGGCCCGGCACCAGGTTCTCCACCTCGGCCTTGGGCTCCTTGCTCTTGAGCGCCGGCACCCAGCGGCCCGTCTCCGTGTCCAGCTTCTCCACCAGGTAGTGGTCGATGGGGGCGCCGCCGTCGTCCAGCGGCGCGCTCCACTTGAGCGTGCACCCCTCCTTGTGCACGTCCGAGATCTGAAGGTAGCGTTACGAACAATCAAAACCGTATATACATTTTTTTTATATTTTCATTTTTTCATTTCACGGATATGTAATGGTTCACGGATAGACCATTATCTGCCATGGAGATCTACAGTAGGTACTTTTCTACTTTTATAAGTTGACTCCGTTTATTTCAGTCACCAGATAAAACGAAAACCTATATTACTCCCATTTCTTACTACTCCATGTTTTTTCACGAAAGAGCTCACTCATTTTTGCAACTTCAGAAGGATATGACTTATCTATGTTATACTTTTAGCAACATTATTTAATGATTCCGTGCTTCATAAAACTTAAATCTCAAACACCCTACACCAGGCGCAAATACACGAAGAATCCAAGACCGACAAGTTTATACTACATAACATACAGCCACTGAGACACCTCCGGCAGCTGTTGTAATTTTTACATAAAAAAACAAATAGGCGGGAGATGGGCGGTCACCTTGAGGGGCCCCTCGGGCTTGGCGGGCACGTCGAGCACCTTGACCTGGAGCGAGGCCTCGTCTCGACCGCTGCTGTTCTCCGCCTTGAGCACGTACGTGCCGCTGTGGCGCCGCGACGCAACCACCACCGACAGCTTCACGCGGTAGTCCTCCGTGTCGATCGACAGGTCGTCGCGCGTCGACAGACGCTCCTTGTTCTGGAACCTGCGCAGGAGCGACGGCTCGTGTCAACTTCGGCGACAGATCTCACCGTGACGGGTGAACTTTTTTTTTCTCTTTCGAGCATATCGTACACTATTCCGGTAACAAGCAATGCGCGGCACACGAGTGTTTGTTCGTGTCGCAGTGAAAAAAACGCATTCTGTCTCGCTCCCATTGCATTTTGCGTACGGAAAGCGTTGTTTCTTTTAGGTGTAAGGTGGGGCAACAGGGGTTTACTTGTTTTTTTTTTCACACGGCACTACAAACACAGTACTCATAGAGGCAACTGCAGTATTGATAGGTACATTAGCTAAACTCTGATAATTCTCATTGTAGTGATTTATATTGTAAATATTTATTAAAATTTGCTTGTTTTCTCCATACGAAAAGTGTCAAATAATCTATAGCCAAGACTGTTAAGTGAATTGTCTCAGGCTCTGGACAATTTTCTAATGTAGGAGCGAATACAAAATTTAATGCAGCCGTTTGCTTACCAGGTCTTGGTCGGTGGCGGCTCTCCGCTGACCTTGATGTCCAGCCGGATCATCTGGCCCGCCTTGATCGTTATGTCGCGCATGTTGGTGCGGTCGATCTTCGGTGGCGCTGCAACATACGATACCATAAGCTCTCTGTTCTATAGACGTCGATACCAATACAAATACCTGTAACATTATATTACACAGCATAGCATTAAGCTCGCCTTTGTACAATTTAAGTGCAATAAAGATTAAATAAATAATAAACTACATAAATAATGTGATAAAGCCACGCAATAGTCTTCGCTGTTGCACTAATGGGCAGGACCATCCGGAGAAGTACTACGACGGCAGTTATCACTTAACATCAGGTAAATAGGCCGCTCGCTTGCCATTTTATCATTAAAAAAAATTACAAGTGAAAACTTACCAAATCTATCCTTGGCGAGAAGGTTCTCTGTAGGTTGGGAAGCTTTCCCGGGGCCGGCCTTGTTCACGGCCTTTACGCGGAACTGGTACGTTTTGCCCTCGATCAAATCGGGTACACGCGCCTCCGTCTTGTTTCCGGGGACCTGAAGGATAAAAAGTAAAAAAAAAAAATTCCACCGGTTAATGACATTTCCACGGCAACTAGCTTACAAACATGAGGTATCAACATAGATCTATAGCAACATCTATGAGCGAGAGTATCGTGAATGCAACCCACCTCTACGGCCTTCACCCACTTGCCCGTGTCCCGGTCCTTCTTCTCCACGATGTAGGCGGTGATGGGGGCGCCACCGTCGTTGGCCGGCTTCTCCCACTTGAGGTCCACGTGCTCCTTGTCCCAGTCCTTGAACTCGGGCTTGCCGGGTGCGTCCGGTTCCCCTGATTGCCGATTAGCGTTGAATAATGACGTTAGTCATCAGGTTGCGTAACCATACCACTATCACCCATTGTAGTAGTTTTTACATTTTAAAAGAACATTAAGGGTGTTACGAAGACCAAAATGAATAGGAAACTTTTGCAAATAATTCAATATCATGCATCTGCAATCATTGGATGCTGTAGATAATATCCATGGGCAGCACAATTTTTCACACAAAAAATAAAATAAAAAAGCCACTATTTATATGGCCTTATCACGATAATACAATCATAATCAAACACCAACTCCGGAATATTACCCCGCCATCAAATCCCATTTATGATCACAAATGATCACACTTGTAACAAAGTCAGCAAATCCCATTTATGATCACTCACGATCACAGTTGAGACAGAACCCGTTCGTGCTCACCGTAAGGGTTCTTGGCGGTGGTGGCGGTCTCCGTGACGAGCGGCTCGCTCTCGCCCTCGGGGTTGACCGCCTTGACGCGGAACATGTAGTCCTTGCCCTCGTTGAGGCCGGTGACCTCGGCCTCTGGCCCCTTGACGGTGCAGACGGGCACCCAGCGGCCAGTGTCCGTGTCCATCCGCTCCACCACGTAGCTCTCCACCGGCTCGCCGCCGTCGTCCTCGGGCGGCTCCCATTTCAGCTTGCAGCCGTCTGCCTTCACGTCCGACACCTGAAGCCGTGGTTAATTTAGGGTCAATTTATGATCAATTACGATCAATTAATTCATGGTCAATTTACGGTAAGTTATGATCGATTTATGGTTAAACCTCTTTTTGCTTTCCTTTTTAAAACATAGGATAACATTATTCCGTGGTGTTCACGTGGACTAACGTAATCATAGAGAAATCGGGAAGCATGCAGAACAGATAAGGAATGTAAAGACGATCGTGACGATAGTCAAAACCAAAGATTACACTACCGGTGTTTTAACTGTATACAAAAAGTGTTAGGTACATAGAAATATTCTTTATATTTCTGTATATAGTATTCATAACAATTTAAAAAAAAACATAAAAGATGAAAAGACACATTTATTAATTATTAACAAAACCATTTTTGGAAAATTAAGATTATATTATAGACTTTAAATACACTGCAATTATTATATCCTTTCCAGTACGGTGTTTTCCACAACGAGATATAAGCTATAGTATCAGCGAAACAAATTTATTATATCGTTGTATACGTCAAATTAATGATTATATGTTTAATTTATTACTTATTAACAATAACAACAGATAATAAATAAAAATTAAATATTAAAATGAAACTTTAAGAGATGATGAGGTAGATTACATACTTAAAAACGCCACAACTCACCTTCAACGGTCCCTTAGGCTTGGCGGGTTTACTGACCACCAGCACTTCGATCTCGACCGTGTCCGTTCCCGAGTCGTTCTTCGCGGTCACCACGTACTTGCCGGAGTCCGCTCTGGTCACCTTCATCAGAGCGAACGAGGTGTGGTAGTCCTTGTTCTCGATCTTCAGCCTCTCCTCGCTCTTGAGGGTCTTCTCGTTGAAGGTCCACGTGATGGTCGGCTCCGGTTCGCCCTTGACGTCCGCCTCCATCTTGAGGGCCTGGCCCACCTTGATCTTGCGCTTCTGGAGGTTCTTGCGGTCGATGTGCGGCGCCACTGTAGGTGGTGCCAAGTATTCAGCGTAAAATGTAGATGAAAAAAATTGTAATAATGACTTTTGAATTGAAATTTAATGTAGATGTTAGATTTCTAAATAGGCAATTGTCGCCCTGGGTTACATTTATTTATTACAAGACAGATATTAAAAAATAGAAATTTGAACAGAGAATACTATGTATTAGGGCCACACAGCTTCATCCGTTCCAGGAACGGGCAGGCTCATCCAGGGTAGTACCACGGCCTCAGAAGACCGGAATAAAGTGAAAGTTTTATACTTTCGCGTTTCATCTGGTGAGTGAGGCAGTCGGTGCCCACTTTTCAATAGATTGTCAGCGCATCAAAAGCTCTCGGGTGTTGCAGATGTCCATGGGCGGATTTATCACTCAACGTCGCTTGAAACGCCTCGCTTGACAAATTTGCACATAGAAAAAAAAAAAGAAACATACAACAGATGGCAGCACTTACAGAAACGTGGCTTGGCGACCACCGAGCGGCTGGGCTCCGACGGCTCGCCGGGGCCCGCCTTGTTGACCGCGATCACGCGGAACTCATATTCGTGGCCTTCCTCGACGTCGGTCACGCGACCAGTAGGGCGCTCGCCGCTGGTCTTGAGGCAGTCTTGCCACGACCTGGGACCAACAGAGCATGATATGGTACACTATAGAATAGATGTTGCGTTCGTACGCAGGAGCCTGACCGCTCTTCCGTAATGAGTATATGGAGTGATTATGTAGTGAGCAGTTAGATTAATAAATCCATTGCGAAAATATCGACCACTGTCTACTTTTTATTTTACATTTTTAGCAATGCTCGGCGCCGTGAGCATATCGGGCCCCTTAGTTCAGTTGGCTAGAGCGTCTTGGCGTGTTACCCAGAAGACGAAGACACGACCCGACAGAAACTTTTCTACAATTCATCTATTAAAGTAACATTTAAATTGCTAGAATTTTATATTCTGTTCGAGTACAATGCGAATGTCTTAAAGGCAAGAGAGAATAGACTTTTTTACCATCAGGTTAAGTTACATTCCAAAGCACTGGCTATTAAATAACGATGTGAATTTCTTATTAGAGATAGCTGTCCAGATTCTTTGTACCGTCACACGTCTCATAGTTTTTGTATACGCTAATACGTCGCTAGAGTAATACACCCTCAATGTATCGCAGTCTGCGTCAGCGGCCAGCGCAATCCTAAAGATCTACTAGGGAGAGAACCCATCAGCTACCTTCCGCCCTTCTCGCGCTTCTGCACGATGTATCCGGTGATGGGGGCGCCACCGTCGTCCTTGGGCGGCGACCACTCCAGCTCCACGAAGTCCTTGTCCCAGTTGCGGGGCTCCGGCCGCCCGGGCTTGCCCGGCTCGTCTGCAGCAACACAAAGCGCACGGTCAGCGAACGTATATCATCATTTTGATGAAAGAAAAAACAATGTAAGACCTTACACAAAATAAAGTCCAGATGTGAAGTTAGCGAACATAACAATGTTCTTTTCGTCATGTTATTTGCACAGATTACAAAAAAAACTTTATAACCTTTCGTGGAGCGTAATACTATAGGGCAGTGTTTCCGAACGTGGAGCCCACGCCCCACAGGGTGGCAATTTGATTGTTAAGGGGGGCAATTCGAAAATGGACTCGACACGAGTTTCGCCAGGCTATTTAAATGAAATGCTAGATTTCGGTGTAAAATTTAACTTAAATAATTGCGGTAAATAATTATTAGGTAAGTAAAATGTTACATAGCGGGGGCATACGAATTTTAGAAAGTCTAAAGAGGGCATGCCACAAAAATGGATGGGAAACACTGCTATAGAGGATGATTGCATAATATATTAATTAGTGTTAAAAAAATAGAAAAGAAGAAATAATTATACATAAATAAATTCACGTGTAAGTCAATAACCGCGGAGAGGGGTAATATCTCACCGAAGGGATTCTTGGCGATGATCGGCTTCTCCGTCTCCAACTCCTCGGACTCTCCCTCCTTGTTGACGGCCTTCACTCGGAACTTGTATGGTTTGCCCTCTTGAAGACCAGTAATGTTCGCCTTGCAGTCCTTGGCGGTGCCACAGGGTAGCCACGTGCCTGGGGAAATTGATCAATACTGAATTCACCACTCCGTCATTGAAAATAAGGGATAAAAAATAGTGAAGTAACCAAAACTCAAAATAAAAGTCTGACGAAAACTACAAATTACGTTGTCTAACAAACTCGGCTCATGGCATGGTATCAAGGACGCTAGCAGCATTTCCTTGCTGAAACCGACTGACCCTAATATCACGAGACGTAAAAAAATACACAATCTACAAAGAGATATATATTTGACTTAAAAAAATGTCTACAGAAGTCTACAGAAGCCGTCGATGAAAACGCAGCTTATTTTATTCTACCACATCTAACACATTTTGTCTACAACAACTTCGCGAACTGCAGCCTATTTATTCTACCATAATTCGCAGAGGGCCGACGTAAGGTTAAGTATTGATATTTTTGAGATTTTCTCTGGTGAATGAGGTAACCTTTATAAATATAACTTAAACTTTAAATAGTATTCTAAGGTTGCCTGGAAGAAATTGCCACCTTAGCAATAATACCGGCCGTATGTACACTGTTTCCTGTATTCTCTTTCTATGCATTCCCTTGTACGCAATAAAGTATATTCTATTCTATTCTACTCTAGTATTCACTACATACCAGTAAGAGGATCCAGCTTCTCGATCTCGTAGTACTCGACTGGGGTACCACCGTCGTCCTCGGGTTTGTCCCAGGTGAGCGTGCAGCCGTTCTTTGTGACGTCCGACACTTCCAGCGGACCCTTCGGTTTCGATGGTTTGCCTGGATTCATCATAAGAGGAAAACGACAGTCAGTGTAAAAACTTAGCACTAACAACCATCGTAAAAAAAAAGTTATGGAACGCTAGCCGACGCCTCGTTACTCGTAACTAAGAAACGTATCGTAGCTTTTACTAACGACCCTTCATGAATATAGGAACCGCGCGGCCGCTGAACTATTTCATGCTTAGTTGACACTTATGATTATCTATATTTTGGACATACACACAATTTCTTTATAAATTATAGCCTATGTGTTATTCTGATGTATAATCTATGTTATTGTAAAGTTTCATTAAAATCTATTCAGCAGTTCTTGCGTGATACATACAAACTTTCGCGTTTATAATATCAAGTAAGGAAGTAAGGATACACTCGTAAGTGAAACAAGTCTAAGAAAAAAAAAAATGGAAAAATAAACCCACCGAGCACCGTTATCTCCACTTCGGCCTCGTCCTCCCCGACCTCGTTCTTGGCCTTGATCACGTACGTGCCGGAGTTGGCGCGCTTGCTCTTCGTCATCAGGAACTTGGTGTTGTAGTCCACGTTGATGATCTCCAGGTTGGGGCCGTTGGCCAGCTCGTCGCCCTTGAAGTGCCACGTGACGGTGGCGGGCGGCTCGCCGAACACCTTCACGTCCAGCGAGACGGGCAGGCCGGCCTTCACCGTCAGCGGGTTGAGGTTCGTGCGGTCGATGCGCGGCTTCACTGCACATGGTGGATTTATCGTGAACTCTCAATTTATCTCTCAAGGATCATTGTTATTATAATACGTATATATAAACTAGTGGACGGCGGAAGGAATATTTCTACCAAAAATTCTACTCTTATAAAAAACAAGTCTCTACGCCTATGGTTCCAGAGATATCGTGATGAGTCAATTATCGGTGGAAATCTCTTATATACATATATATACTTGGATATATACATAAGACTTTGTTTTATAATTGTGTTGATTGCTCTCCAAGGAAGTTAAAATAATATTCAAAAACTGAAGATTCAACAAATTTTACAAAAGAGTAAATCACTTCTCACAAAAAAATTTTCAGACGCCACAAATGGATAGTGTTGTCATCATCATCATCACCTTTGGCCCCACCAAATCACCAACGCCAACCAAAGCATTGTTATTTGATAAGTGTGCCTGTATTATTAAATGCTGCAATATGACTGCAGATGCTGCAATATGGTCCTCAGACTAATGCAATCTTTGTTATATAAAACATATAAATACTATTTTCATAGCGTTTGGTACTTACAGAAGCGCGGCTTGGCAGTGTGCCAGTTTGTGTTCTCCGAGGGCTCCGACTGGCCGGCCTTGTTCAGGGCACGGACCCGGAACTGGTACTGGTTGCCCTCCTCGAGCTTCGGCACAGTTCCTTGGCAGATGTTGCCGTGGATTTCAGCAGCCTAGCACAAAAAAAAAGCTTATGAGTTCGGACATAACACCAAGCTTTCCTTTGCACTTTGTTTTCTTCGCGTATTTTAAATAGAAAATAAATTCCACGTTTACAATAAAATAAATTACGTCTATTTAGCAATGCCTGAAATAGAAATTTATATAATTCAATAAAAAAAAGAGATCAACAAACAAATCCCTATATGATTGTCTCTTAGGCATCTAGGACAAATTCGTAAATCATTATCTATTGATATGTTTTGAGTACCAATGCTAATGCTCATAATAAAATATCCCATACTTTTACGCTGGTGTCCCCCAAGGCACTCACAAGTGCCTTAATTCTACCATTATAAGATATCATTATCCCGCCTTCAATCCTGGAGAGACAGCGATACGCACCTTGACGAACTCGCCCCTGTCCCTGTCCATGACCTCGATGATGTAGCCGGTGATGGGGGCGCCGTTGTCCCTGATGGGGGGCTCCCACTTGAGCTTGGCCGACTTCTCGTCCCAGTCGACGATGTCGGGCAGGCCGGGCGGGGCGGGCACGTCGTACGGGTTCTTGGCCAGGGTGCCGTGGTCCGTCTCCAGCGGCTCCGACTCGCCCTCCTCGTTCAGCGCCTTCACGCGGAACTGGTATGTACGGCCCGGCTCCAAACCTGGCGAGGGATATCATAGTGTGTTTAAAGACATAATTTAGTAATGATACTTAAACATTAATATGTATATCACTATAGAAATGTTTCTTGTTTGAAAGAGATTATCTAAATAACGACGAGAAGACCGAGACGAGTTTCGTCATTATTTGGATTAATTTACACCGCAACGGCCACAAGGATTTTATTGAAATTTATTATAAAGACCTGGATTAAAGGGGAACTTATAAATGGAGGAGTAGCAAGTACCGGTGACGGTAGCTTCCGTGGTGTCCGGGTCGACGGTGCCGGCCGGCTGCCATTTGCCGGTGATCGTGTCCATCTTCTCCACGACGTACGCGCTGAGCGGCAGCCCGCCAGTGTGCTTCGGCTTGTTCCAGCTCAGCTTCACGTGCTCGGCGTGCACGTCCGACACCTCGAGGGGGCCCTCCGGCTTGCCGGGCTTGTCTGGAAGCGGGACATGTTTTATTTTCAAGACATATTTTTACAGAACTATATCTAGTCCCGAACTAAGCGATTCTTGTACTATAAATACTAGATAACTGATAAACATGCTTTCATAGAAATTTAAATTTTTTATACTGCTAATCTCTGCACTTAAGATTGAAATTAATTTTCTACAAATTTAATGCTTACATACTTGTCTTTTGTAACTAAATACATACTGTAGATATATTAACTAGACACTGGAAAAAGACTATGTTCCTCAGACAATACTTTTTTTTCAGTAGTGGGTATCGAACCCACACCCTCTGGTCTAGGAGACAGGTCCTCTATCCACTACGCCAAGCAGGTAGTCAAATATAAATAAGTCACCAATATAGTGTCGAAATTGGCGATTTTTTATTGATTTATTACTATTTATATACATCAAGATAAATCTACACATTTTAAGGATACATCTTGAGTGTAGAGACTAGTGCTAAAGTTTAAATCTAAACAGTAAATAAATAACCAGATCATTGCAAAAAAAAAACTCGGTGGCTTAGTTACTCAGCCAATGGCTTTGGCGCCGGGGATCGTGGGTTCGATTCATACACATGACAAGTATTTGTGACCCCCCAGATGATTGTTCACTCCCAGATGATCTTAGCGTTTTTTCGTCAGACTAGCATCCGGTAGTAAAAAATAATAGCCCATACTCTAACAATATCGTTCACGTGGCGCCCAGTAGTAAATAAAAGCTATCCAATTCATTTAACAATATAATTCCAATGTCCTGCCTACCCCACCTAGCGGGGTACACCTGTGCTAAGGGCAGGAGAAATAAGTTGCAAAGAAAACACAAAAGTAATCCTTACCGAGCACGGTGACCTCCACCGTGGCCTCGTCCACACCGGAGTCGTTCTCGGCCTTGAGGGTGTAGATGCCGGAGTTCTTCCACGAGGACTCGAAGATCTGCAGCTTCGTGTTGTAGTCCTCGTTCTCCAGCTTCACGCCGACGCCATTCTCGATGACCTGGCGCAATTTCAATATTTGTAGCACAAGAGAACAGAAAATTTAAGAGAAAATAGGGAGTAGAGTTAGAGTAGAGTAGAGTAGAAGAAACAGATATAACTAGAATGCTATGAGATTCATAGAAGAATAGTAAATGCAAAATCTGCGTATGGATCAGTATATGTAGTAGATTTGATTATAATAGATGTGATTCTTATATTATTTTTACAATCGCTCCCATGTTTGTACAAAAATGTATTATTCACTTTACGGGCGTAATAGAGCAATAAGTTTTGCTTTGTTAAATAAACCTTTGCGAGTGGTTACAACATTTACTTAGCGAAAATCATAAAGGGTATACTTTTGAACGAGTAAAAGAATACTATGAGCATAGAGTAGACATTCGTTTATGATAGAAGGTGGCACTTCAACCCAAGGCTTGGGGTGGCCGTTACCTTGTTGGCGAAGGTCCAGGTCTTGGTCGGTGGCGGTTCACCCCGGATGTCGACGTCCAACTTGATGGTGGTGCCCGCGCGGACGCGGATCGCGACCATCTTGTCGCGATTGATGTGCGGTTTCACTGCGTAATAACGATACGATTGATTTCTATCTTATACGCTGTACAAATGACACTTAAACAAAAGTGTGTCTTTGAAACAAATGCAAACGCAAAAGTTTGGGTAGTTTCGCGAAGCATTTTTTTATTAAGCATTTATGGCAATTTTAAAATTCTTTTCTAATAGAGGTACGTGCCATATTATTTGTAAAAGTTGTACATCGGGTATGTACAACTAATCTATAAATAAATAAATTAATGTCTAATAAATAAATGAATTAATAAAGAAATAAATACAGCCTTATTCGCTATAAGAGAGGTATAACAGAAGACGTGGTAACTTGCGGAATCTGTTGAGAATAAAAGCGGAAGGTGTTGGTACTCACGGAATCTGGCCTTGGCGACGTGCGGCTGCGTGGGCTCCCCGGGCTCGCCAGGGCCCGCCTTGTTGACGGCGCGCACTCGGAACTGGTACGTGTTGCCCTCTCGCAGCTCGGGCACGCGCGCCTTGCACTCGGGCGTCTGGGAGGGGGGAGGGGAGAACGAGTAGACTTTTATTTTTTATATGGGAAAGCGGCATGCGACCTGGCGGTCCACCTGATAACCGCCAACATTTGCAACACACATAGGGTTCCAGATGCGTTGCCACCTTTTAATGAAGTCAGACGCACTGCAGAAGTATAGCACACTTCACGCCGATCTTTCGTGAGTCGTGGTACTTACCCGGACCGGCCTTCCATTTTGCGCGACAGCCGAAGCTGTTGCGTGGCTCTACTACATTTAGATGAAAGAGAGGAGGTCTATTGACCTCGTCCCTGGACAACAACCTTCTCTAACGCAGGTCTATGCTAGGTAGGTAAGCTTCTTCGTGTATAGTGCCGGATACTGGTTTGAACTCGAATAATGTGAATCTCATATAATGTGAATTTATAGCAGCAACATACATTTAAATAAATGCGATTACACATTTATAATAACATCTTTGTTTCCTGCTTTGAGTCAGCAATGACAATGGATAAATGCAGGTAACAGAAAGAACAATAAATCAAATACAGTGGTTAAAAAGTAACAAAAATAAGCTCTATTACTAATTTTTAAAAATCGAATCTACAGGCTGAGAAGCCAGTAACGCGATTATCTGAACCTTTGTACTTTCCTTTGAGTAAGTTGCCATCACATTCATTTTTTACATCGACATCAGCGGAGAATAGAATTTAATAATAGAAAGTCACTCTATGTGGTGATCGCTAACCATCAGGAGGCACTTGCCACCTCTTCCGTAAACAAAAAGAACCACCAACCGTTGTGACAAGCGCCTCGTGCCACTGGCCGAACTTCTCCTTCTTCTCGACGATGTACCCGGTGATGGGGGCGCCGCCATTGTTCTTCGGCGCCTCCCACTTGAGGTCGACTCGGCCCACATCCCAGTCCTCGATGGTCGGCACCGAGGGCTTTCCGGGTATGTCTGCAAACAGTGGCGAAATTTAAGAACGCTTCTGCAATGTTAACTGTGGTAGGCTCAACTGGGGAAACGTCAGGGCCTCACAGACGACTTGAGAGAAGTGCAAGTGTTATACTTTCGCGGTTCGCCTGGTGAGTGAGGTAGCCGGGGCCCACTATTTTAATGGTTGGCTTAACATCAGCGAGCCGACTGCACGCTTGCTAACTCTTCACATAAAAAGTACTCATTAAATATTCTATATTAAGATAATGGTTGAAATCGGACAGAAATCTGTACAAATATTAGAAAATGTAATTATACCCAATATCAAATCCATCACTCAACTTCAGGCGAGACATACTTGACTTCGATCGAATGCAAACTATACTTCCCTATAATAGGCAAGGCATGAGAAGCCCCCTAGACTCACAAAAGACTGACGTAACGTTTAAAAATTAAAATTTTTATAGTGCTAATCTCTGCACTTATTATTTTATGTAACGTTAAAAGTTTCGTTTGGTGATGTTGAAACTCCAACTGCACGGGTGTTGTGGGGGACATTTGACACCATGGGAACCGCTTTGATTCCAAAACAAGCGCCTCGCTCACCGTACGGGTTCTTGGCGAGTATGGAGTGGTCGGTCTTGAGCGGCTCCGACTCGCCCTCGTCGTTCACCGCCCTGACCCTGAACTCGTACTCCTCGCCCTCCTGCAGCCCCTTGATCTCCATCTCCGTGTCGTCCGTCTTGCCCACGGGCACCCAGCGCCCGGTGGCCTTGTTCAGCTTCTCCACCACGTAGCCGGTGATCGGTTTGCCTGAATTTTTATAAGGGAAAGTGCACAATTAAGTAAGCACTGTCGTAAGTATTTTCGTTTCAAAATATCGTTAAAAATTCTATAAAAACATTGGTCACGGTTTGTAGCGACAATCATAAAGTACTGTGTACATATAATAAACAATATTTAACAATCTTTAATATAGTTGCATAAACAAATAAAGTAGCAAAAACCACTCAAATTAAAACAGTAATATTATTATAATATATTAATGTTTCTCTTCTGTAATATTTTTCTTTTTCTGTACGTAAACATTTTTCTTCTGCTTGTTTATTTTTGTAATTTTAATGTTTAAGTTTTGTATCATCATTGCAAGGTGACGAAATAGATGTCTTTAACGTGTGTGAAAAAAATAACTTCGCGACCGCAACTCCACACAGCTAAATAGCAGCAGTATGACCACGGCACACTCGAGAAGCGACCGTGGCGCGCGGCGATAGGGTGCAAAATACAGGACCACCAACCTCCGTCGTCCTCCGGCTTCTTCCAGGCGACTTTGCAGCCGTTCTTGGTGACGTCGCTGACCTTGAGCGGCCCGCCCGGCTTGCTGGGCGACGAGAGCACCGTCACCTCCACCTCCGCCTCGTCCTTGCCGTGCTCGTTGGTGGCCACCACGCGGTACGTGCCGCTCATCGCGCGCGCCGACTCCTTCACGTCCAGCTTCGTGTTGTACTCCACGTTCACCACGTTCTCGGTCACCTGGAACCGTTTCGATGGTACACGTACTGCACCGTTCTCCGTGAACTGGGGCCTTACGTCCACGTGCAGCATTGACCTTAGCCCCTGGAGGATTGTAAGCGTCGCAAACGGTCTCGCCGCCGCCGGAATCGAACCCCCACGTCTACCGGATTTAGAGGCACCGAGACGCCTTTTTGATCACCAAGCTGAACGGCTGATTGCCACGCCGACGAAAATCTCGACTATTTTATCTACATTGTTTTTTTTTTTTGCATTTTAAGTAACGGTCGGTAAAATTTTCTTTATTTTTTTGGAATCTGTTGTCGATTCTTAGGATTCTATCACAGCGTTGGTCAACGTATTACTATATTACGTAGTTAAATCACCTCTATATATTACGAAAGTGATTCGATTCCTCCGGCGATTACATTTGCGAGCCGCCTTAACTGATGCAATAAATTTTAAAAAAAAAAACTTCTTTCCTCTTTTACTGATCAAAATTATAAAAGGTCGATACCTATAGGAGAGCATTACCTCTTTCTCCTCGGTCTTCCACTTCTGGAACCACTGCACCTTGGGGGCGGGTTCTCCCTTGACGTTCACGTCGAAGAAGATCGGCTTACCAGCGCGAACCACCAACGGCTTCAGGTTGGTACGGTCGATGCGCGGCTTCACTGCAAAGTGACAAACGATCTTGATCATTGAACGTCAACTGAACCAAAGTCGAAAGTTACGAACCAAAATAATAAGACGGTTGAGTTCAGCCATCTTATTATTTCTGTAAAAATGGCTCTAGAATTTTTTTAATAATTTTACTTTACTCCTGTTAAAACCACTGAGCTAAACGGCTGAAGCCGTAGAGCGTCAGGCCGCGAATGCCGAAGACGTGGGTTCGATTCCCACAGCGGCGACAATCTTTTCGTACTTTTTCTACGTTTTAATGATCAATCTTAAGTGCAGAGATTAGCACTATAAAAACTTTAAAATTTACTCCTGTTTCTAAAATTTATTTAAAGGTGGACGAAAGGTATTTGTGCCACGAAGTTGTTTAAATGTATATACTACTCAGGAACAATATTGACAAAATACTAAGGTGTTTAATTTTAAATTTTAGTACTAGCCTTTGCACTTAAGAAGAAACTTAAAAATGCGTAAATAACATAGTCGTATAGTTTTCGCTGCTGCCAGAATTCGAACCTGCATCTACCGGATTAATAAAGAGTTAAAAACGGTTACAGTCTTTTGAGGCTATGCGTTCACGTGGCATCTGAATTTGGATAGTTCCTATACAGCGTTAAAAAATTTCGACCGATTTCATAATAACCGCTATTTTAGGGAACATTACTGACGCGCCATGATATGTGGCCGTATGTGGTGGTAGGTAAGCGTCCGGGCACTCGATTTCAATATACTCGGGTTCAAACCCCAATGCCGGCACCAGTGATATTGTCAATTGCAATTTTAATTGCTGACTAATCACGTGCACAGCGGGTTACACAAGTAACACCGGGGGAAACCGGATTGGAAGAGATCTTTCATCTCTACCGATCCGCGGTGGGGTTGCGTGGTGGACTACGCCCTAGCCGCTACTACGCCTCTGTACAGAGGAGGGCCTTTGCCCAGCAGTGGGACATATATAGGCTGTCACCTTACTTCTTCTGCTTCGGTCAAGTTGTGGCGCGTTACTTACGGGCCTTGTGCCTGATTGTGGTCATCTTGGTGGGCTCCGACGGCTCAGAGGGGCCTGCCTTGTTGACCGCGATCACCCTGAACTCGTATTCGCTGCCCTCAGGCAGTCCCTCAACTTTGCCCGACGTCGCAGTGCCGGGCACCTGCAAAATGACGCTTATGGCTTAGGAAATAGAGTCCATTGGAGTGGTCAAGTTATTGTTTAATCTACCGCTTACTACATTAAGTCGTACACAACATTTCTAACGAAAATCTAATTTGATGAGTAAAACATTTTTACTTGCTTTATAGCATAGGATACCGATATGCAGTTTTGATAGAGACGCCACTAATTTTGGTCCAATGTTCAGTAGTTGATGTATTTGGTTACTTTTTGTATATTAATTATTCGACCAAATTATGAGCGACGCAATGGCAAATATGAACAAGCACCAAAGCCTATTTTAATCAAATATAATCCTTTTTGATCTTTAAGGCTATTTTATTTATATTTAAAACTGTCTCCAAAGAATTTTATTATGTCAGATCGACATAATAAAATTTTTTGTTTTGAAAAATATGATTTTACTAAGCGACCACTCGTTTTAATAATAATTCGAAAACGTATGGGATGGTTAATAAAAAAAATTATAAATATTTTAGAACATATTTTTACACATCACTCTCTATTCCCAAACTAATAAAAGCTTGTACTATGGATACTAGGCAACTGATAAACATACTTAAACATACTTTTGTGCAAACAAATACCTATTGTAGATATATAAGCGTCCAGAAGCTGTAAAAACTCTATCACGCGATATTGTTCATTGTTGTGGGGATCGAACCCACACACTAGCTCAACAGACCGGCACACAGTCCACTACGCCAATTGGGTCAAAGTCGTCAGGTTAACGAGAGCCCACCTCCGCGGCGTTCTCCCAGTCGCCGCCCTTCGGCCTCTTCTGTATGATGTACTTCTGGATGGGGGCTCCGCCGTCCGATTTGGGGGGCTCCCACTTGATCTCGGCGCTCTGGTTGTCGTGGTCGGCCACCTCCACGTTGCCGGGCTTGTCGGAGACGTCTGGAGAAAATACGTCGTCGGTGCTTACTTTGGAAACGCCGTGAAACCCACATAGTATAAAACAATGTCGTCCCGCTGTATGCTTGGATCTTTAAAACTACGCAACGGTTCTTGATGACATTTTTTTTACTAGATAGTGTGATTCAAGAAGAAGGTTTGTATGTATGTTTGTATGTAATACGTTGGAGCCGTGCGAAGTCGGGGCGGGTCACTAGTATAAAATAAAACAAAGTCGCTCCCGATGTTTGTACTCTTTGATATTTAAAACTACGCAACGAATTTTAATGCGGCTTTCGGCTATAGATATACTGATCAAGCGGAAGGATACTACATATTAGTACACATGCATATTATAATAGAGAAAAGCCGAGAAATTAAAACATTTGTAATATGATATCGTAACAAACATATTTTTGCGTGCTTACATTGCAAACGCTGTCTAAACCTTATGAGATAGATCACATTAATGTACTACGGAATTGTATGTCTTAAAATTATCGATTAAAAAAAATCTACAGTGCACCCGTGCGAGGCCGGGGCGGGTCGCTAGTAGTACATACTGAAACACACTTTTCTAGCACCACATATTGAAACACACAATTGTCGGCACGCACCGTATGGGTTCTTGGCGAGCACCGCCCTCTCGGTCTCCAGGGGCTCGGAGTCGCCCTCGTCGTTGACGGCCGTCACGCGGAACTTGTACTGGTGCCCTGGCTCCAGGCCGGTCACCTCCATCTCCAGCGGCTTCTTGTCGCCGGCGACCCTGGACGGCGAGAAGCCCATTCAAAACCTCAATATCACACGCATTAATAACAAACACTGGACAAATTGGCGTGATCTCACAGAAGGTTCCAGAAGGAAAGAGAATAGCAGCTGTATTAGTAAGTTTGATAGCTTTAGACTTTTGCGTAACGTGCCCAACGCTCCAGCTTTCTTTCATAAGAATACGAAATCAAGAAGACATGCGTACACCGAAGATCTTATGTTTAGTCGTTGACGTCTTACGGCCGATTACAATATTCTATTTGTAGATTTGGTTACTAGCGATAGCTCTGACATTTGCTCCATAACTGTTACGTCAAAATTCTATCACCAATAACCAAATCTATCTGCAGATATAATATTGAAAACGGCCGTTAAACACATTTGTCGACGGTTCAACAATTCGCCGACCTTCCAACGCGGACCCATTTGCCGGTGGCGAGGTCCATCTTCTCCAGCTCGTACTCCTTGACCGGCGAGCCGCCGTCGTCCTCGGGCTTCTCCCATTTCACCTTGCATCCCTCCGCGTGGACGTCCGTCACCTCCAAAGGTCCTGGAAACAGTAGAAACGAACCGTAAGAATACTAAATTCCCATAATCGGTTGTAAAAAAATAACGCTGGTAGGGAAACGCAACAGTGTTCGCTGTTGCACGAATGGGCAAGTCCGTCCGGGTTAGTATCACGACCTCACAGACCTGCGTAAAGTATAAGTGTTGTACTTCTGCGCTTCATCTGGTGATTGAGGTAGCCGGGGCCCACATTATTACATGTCCATGGGCAGGCGGTTATCACTTTACATCAGGTGAACCGCGTTTGCCACTTTCTCACATTAAAAAAAAATGCAAAAAAATCATATAGCAATTAATGCGATATTTCAAAATGCACCATGAAAACAGTTGAGAGACAATAAATTCAGTCTTAGATCGTTCAACTCAAACGGGTTAACTCCTAACCACCCAATGCTCTTCGCTCAACCAATCAAATCATAAAAAAACGGAAGCGATGTTTTGCTCCTAAAGATCCGAATTAAATCCTCATATGTGCCGTCTTGAATATGGCGGTCTAAGCGGTGCGGTCTAAGGGGGAGGCATTTGTTCAACAAATGTTGTTGTTGCTCAACAACAGTGGTTGTCTTCCAATCGAATTTGACTTTAGTTACCATCTTTATTCGAATACTCTGGGAGGCTAACTAAAAAAAAATCATCGTCATCGTTTCTGAATGAAGTTATTTATAACTGTAGTAGGGCCAGCATCTGCTCGCCTGGGGAAGTACAATAGCCTCACAGAATAATTATTTTAATAATAATATACTTTCGAGCGTTTCGTCTGGCTGAGTTTAGCGCGGCCCACTTCTTTTAAGGTCAAATAAAATCAAACGCATGTCAAACCTAACGTCAATGGTCGGCTGTAATCACTTACCATCAGGTGGTCTGCTTCTGCATCTGCATCTTATCACGTAAGAAAATTACTTATCTGTCAGTCAATTATTACCTGCAAACTGGCAAAGGAAAATACACACCTTTGGGCGCGCTGGGCTTGCTGAGAACCGTGAGCTCAACGGTCTCTTCGTCGAACCCGTTGCAGTTCTCCGCGCGGAGAGTGTATTTGCCGGTGTCCCTTCGCACTGCGTTCACAATCGTAAAGTCCGTGTGGTACTCCTTATTCTCGATCTTAATGCGCTCGGTGTTCACCAGCTTTATGTTCTCGCGCCATGACCTAGAATATGATACATGATCGAAGTTAATTAAATAATCTTTCTGATCACTAGGGTCACGCTCCTCTGGACAGGTCAAGTTTGAGAAACGAAAATTTTTGACGTTCAACTGCGCTCGAAAGGCCCAAATTGATTAGAGCAATGTTTATTTTGTTTTTGATACAATTTAATTCATAAAAAAATAGTTAAGGGTAAATTCGTGCATGTATTGCTAAATACAACATCTCTGAAAAAATTATCACTACATAGTATAAAACAAAGTCGTGCCGCTGACTTTCCGTCCCTATGTATGCTTAGATCTTTAAAACTAAGCAACGGATCTTGATGCTGTTTTTTTTTTACTAGTGATTCAAGAGGAAGGTTTATTATATGTATAATACATTGCACCCGTGCGAAGCCGCAGCGGGTCGCTAGTATATGCTATATTCATTGATTCGTCAGTAATAAGTTGTAAACTGTTGCATTTGAATGTATTTGTAACGCATTTACGGCTGTGGGTACAAACAAAGATTTCTTGTACGCCAAACGCCGTAAATGACGGGTGTTTACTAGTGATAGTCAAGACCGACAATCACTATAAGATAGAGTATTATTTGGGGGACAGCGCGCACGCAGTCCCCACTACCAAAAATTACGCGTCCGAGTTATCCACATTAGGGATAATCGCAAGGGTCAACCCAACCGGTGTGCAATGGATGGGTCTCGCCCTGGGGGAACCGCCTTCCTGATCACGGTGTCCCCTACGCCAGGTAAGTATGAGTTGCAAACGGATCGCGCGCGACCTCATCCTTTGCGAGAAAATCTCAACAGCGCGAGTTAGGAAATTTTCGCAACCCCTACAGCGCCATCTAAGGGCGCTAAACGGAATTCCGCGCGAATTTTCATAGGGGTTGTAAAACGCGGGGAAGGTTTTGCGCAGATGGCGCTGAAAGACATTAGCCCCTTGACGATGCTATGAAGAATATTCGTAAAATAAAAACTTTTCACGAATGTACCAAATTTCTTAGGCATTTTTAAATATAAAATTTGTGTAAATTTAGCCACCCATAAAACTTTAAATGACATTTGAGCATAACAGTGAGACTTTGAAGGAAACAAATATTTTTTTAAATAATAGGAAAACAATTAGTATCACAAGTATCATTGGAGACATCCTATATTGACAAAATCGTAGTAAGAGACATGTAATAGCAAAGTAATTATATTTTTTTAATTTAATTATATTGCTATATATTTTAATTAAATTAAAAAATATATAATATTAATAAATTTAGTTACCTAATGATAAATAAACTTATTAACTTGAACATACAATTGTAAAATATTTAGACATTGATTCATTATCATACTCAAAAATTCATATTTTAAAGAGACTATGACCAGAAATTATACAAATTTTGTTCAAACCTTAATGTTAACAGTTAATGTTTGTGCGTATTAGTAGATAAGCCAAAAACAGTATTTTTTGTAAGAATTAGGAACACATTACAATTAAACTAACTTACCATGTGGTCTCTGGTGGCGGTTCACCAATAACATCCACAGACCATTTGTGTGTGCGCCCTGCCTTGATAATGACAGATTTAAATGTGCTACGTTCAATACGAGGTTTCACTGTAAAAAGTAAATACATATTAAAGATTGCTGTGCTAAGAACAGATTAGAAAAAAAATATTTAGTAATACATTTATCATTATAGAAATATAATCAGATATATAACATTCTAATTTTCTAAGACTGGAATTAAACTAAAATTTAATATTTAGTTTATATAAAGCGAAGCTACAATATGTCAAAAAATATTATGTATTTTAAATTACGCTTTATTTTATTACAACAAAATATACCTTATTTATACGATAAAACATTGATTGACTTTATTAACAAAAAATTTATTTACATTTGAAGATTTAACTTACAGTTCCTGTGTTTGCAAAGATGGTTCTCGGTTGGTTGAGAAGCATCACCAACACCAGCCTTATTATAAGCTTTTACCCGGAACTGATATATCATTTTCTCCTTTAACCCTTCTACCTTATATTCTGTCTTAGGTTCTGTTAGTTTTCCAACCTGAAAATAAATATTATAATCATTCATAATATTGCCAAAACAAATAATGGGTATTTACTAATCACAATAAAGTTATGCATTGAGACCACCTAACGTAGATTTATAGAAATCAAGAAAAAGCTGGTCATAATTAATATAATTTTTTATTAAAGTATAAACTAACTCATAGGATTTTACCTTGTCTTCTAAGTATGATAAACATAACAACTTACCTCTATCCAGTCAGCAGTAAACTTGTCTTTCATTTCAATCACGTAGCCCAGTACCGGTCTACCTCCATTATCACTTGGCGGCTCCCATTGAAGTGTTGCCGACATGTTGTCGTAGTCGACGATGTTTGGCTTGCCAGGCGCTTTCGGTGGGTCTGGTAAAACATATCATGATTATCATCACTAATAATCATATTTCCAAAAATACCGCGCAGTCGCACTGTTTGTAAACAATTAAATGACAATGGCAGCTCAGTGATCAGTTTTGACGTTCGTTTGTGTCCAGTGTGTAGGCATAGCTAACAGCTAGCGCGCAGTGTGCGTTTTTGACATTCGTACATGAACAAAAATTTTGAAATAGCTTATTCATCTGACATTTAATTATGTTAATTTAATAAAATTAAGGGTATAGGAAATAATTAAAATTGTTCTACAGGAAAAACATTTTCTTATTAATATAAATGAATGTATACCATATGGATTCTTGGCCACAATGAATCCGTCGGTTTCCAATGGCTCGGATTCACCCTCCTTGTTCATTGCACGTACTCTAAACTTGTATTTGTGATTAGGTGTTAGGCCCTTGACCGTGAATTCGGTGGGCTCTGGTCCAGTTTCCCCACAAGGTACCCAGTTGCCAGTGTCCTAAAAAAGTATTATAGTTATAATATAAACCTTCAAAGGTTTTACTAACAAGGTTCGTTAACGTATACTTCATATATGAAAGATATTTTTGTTCCTAAAAAAATTATTTTCCTTTTCCAATTAAATCAAGATGAAGAAATAGCACCTCAGTGGGGAGTGGAAAACTTACCAAGTCCATTTTCTCAAGAGTGTATCCAGTAATGTCAGACCCTTGCCAATCATCAGGCTTCTGCCATTTAACAGTAGCCTTTTCTGCTCGCACCTCAACCACTTCAATTGGACCATTGGGTCTGTTAGGTTTGTCTATAAAAAATATAAGTATTAAATTTTGATAGTACCTAATATATCACACCAATAGGAATTTTTGAGGTAATGGACGGCTGCGATGTAATATTTGTTTTTGTGAGAAGGTGGCAAGCGAGCGAGCTAGCTGTGGTTCATGTCATTTTAAGTAGTAACCACTGCCCATAGACATATGCAACACCCCTATTGTTGCAGATGGGTCACCACCTTTTAGTAAAGTGAGCACCAGCTACCTCACATGCCACACAAAACGCAAAAGAAAACCTTTCCACTTCACGCCAGTCTTTGGCACGGTAGTGGTATTTGCTAGTTTTTATCGAGGTTATAAAATATCAAACATGACAGAAGATTAATAGATGTTATATGATTCTTACCAAGAACAACCACATCCGCAATACTCTCGCAAGTCCCTGAAGAGTTGGTGAGAACCAGTTTATATTTTCCACTGTCCGGCCTCGTGGTTCTCCTCACAGTCAAGACAGTGTTCCTTTCGTATTTATCGATTGTAATACGGTCGCCATCATCCCGAATTTCCTATAGTGATTATAATATGTCAGCATAGATATTGTAAATTAAACACCATGTCACGTTTGGTGGTATCGTGAAATAATGTAATAATAGTACATTAAACTCATTCAAATTGCCATAGAAGAATAATAACTATTGTATATATGGCACATATACATATATATAATAATTATATGTATTAAAATGAGTTTAATTTTAATTCGATAGCGATATGCAGGCCGTTATATTGAAACGCTCCTTGAAAAAAGAATGAAAGAAGTCGAAAGTATCAAGTGTTAAACATAAAGTTCATACATCGAAAGAGTTAAAACGTGTTGTTGACAGTAACTGTTGAATAATGTAACGCCTCACTGTCGAGATGTTATTGAGAGCATATAGAGATATATTAAAACACATAGTGAATTGCCACCACCGCGTTTCGCGTGAAACACTTTCAGCGGCGCCAAGTGCCCATCTACGTTTTCAACGAGTAGTGAGTGACTTTCGTCTGTGATGAGTTTTTTTAGAACAGAGTGTTTGAACAACATCGAAAGCTTCAAATTGTATGTGAATACATGTTAATGATCGCGTCGTCTGCGATTTTTCATTCGGAGTTATGCTCTACTGTATGTATATAGTTTAGATACAAGATATACATTTTTTATACATAAATACAACCACCGTCATAGGCAAGACATAATTGGGATTTTTATGCCACATTACAGTACAGCATACCTCGTATAGAGTACGTGTAATCAAGTTAGCCACATTTGAACGTGTAAATAGTAAGTTTAAGAGAATTTTTAGAACATATAAAATACAACACTGATTTCACCCAGCTGACCTGTTCCTTGTACGGCTTTCCACGTTTCTTTTTCGGACAAAATAAAACCAATATTAATTTTCGTTTTTCTTATTTTACAAATTTTGAATGAATACGTCGTTTCGAAATTGAAAAAAATCGATAAGTAACTGATTTAATTAAATAAAAATGGCAATAGTGATGGTTTGTGAAATATGAAAGTATCAGTGTTTTGTTTTAAAGTTTTTTAATGAGTATAAATTTAAATGTAAAATTAAAAAATAAAACAATCACCTCTTCCCCGTGCATCCATTTAACTTCGGGTTCTGGTTCACCGCCATACTTGATATCATAGGAAATGACTTGGCCCTTTTTAATTATCATACTTGTGAGACCCTCGCCAACAATGTACGGCTTAACTGTAAAATTATTTCATAATAAATAATAAATAACATATTTTTTTACTTATTTAGTAAGAAATGTCATACCAAAACTATAAACCTGTGTGACCAAACCCGTATATAGACTGTGAAATTATGCTTTAATACTTCAATTTGAAAGGAATAAAAATAAGTATGTAGCTATTAAATGAATACACTCGAAACTGAGTTCAAATTGCGTTGCCAGCACCAATGAAAATGTTTATAAGTGCTGACAGATCACAAACATTTCGATGAAATAAAACATCGGGAGAAGTTCTGCATATTTTAGAAATAATAATGATAAAGAAACATATCTCTTTATGTTATTTTGCTCTTTACATATTTCATAATTAATATTATGTTCATTATTAATACAATATTAAGGCATTATTGATCCAAGTTGTCGAGATGAGTTGTTCAGCAGTTTTTGAACATTTCGCAAGGGAGTGATCGATGCTTAAATGAAACAGATTAGTTTTATATTTCAATTAAATTACCAAGCAATTTCTAGCATTACTTTCAAATGCTAAAAACAGTATGGACAAATGACTATTCCTCGGTGTGGCAATCAGCCGTTTATCTTAGTGGCTAAAGCGTCAGAAGGCGAATCCCGAAGACGTGGGTTCGATTTCCACAGCGGCGAAAAACTTTTCGTATTTTTTTCTACAAGTTTTAATTTTAAGCAAAATATGCTTACCGAATCTGCATTTGGCGACTATTGGTTTCGTGCTGTCGCTTGGCTCACCGGGTCCTGCCTTATTAATGGCACGAACCCTGAACTCGTAAGTGCAGCCCTCTTTAAGACCGTCCTGTGTAGCTTCCAGGCAATCTCCAGGCACCTCCTTGCCCGTCACCCAGTCCTTGCCGAATTTCTCCTAAACATATATGTAATATAATCGATGTTCATAAACTGTAACGAGAAATAACTAAGCGAGAGGCGTCAGGGCTGTGAATTGAGAAGTGTATGTTTAAGTCTATTACAATTCACCTATGACCATTTATACCAATGCGTCATGCTATAGGCTATTATGTTATAGTTTCAGTAATCCTTACTAATATTATATAGGCGAAAGTTTTTATGTATGGATGGTTGTTTGTTACTCTTTCATGCAAATACTACTGAATGGATTTTAATGAAACTTTACAATAATATAGCTTATACATCAGAAGAAGATATAGGCTATAATTTATATACATATTTTATGCATATCTGTCTTTCTGTCTGAATGTTACCCCTTCAGCCTATTCGACGCAGACGTAGTCGTGGGCAGCAGCTAGAATGTTATATTTAAAGAAACACATTATTAAATGTGTAACTGTTTCGACGAAAACGTACCTTGTACTCAATGACATAGCCCGTGATCGGTGCGCCACCGTCGTTATCGGGCTTTTGCCATTTGAGATCGGCGTGGTCCTTGTCCCAGTCCTTCAATTCTACGCCCTTTGGCTTTGACGGTTCGTCTGTGCAAATTAAGTCATTTAGAGAAACTGTATTAGCAATAATCAACAAAAAAAGCTTACGCATCCTTAAAATAAGGAATTAAGAAGCCTTAAAATAAGGAGCTGTTCTTCCTTGTAACTTTGAAATACGCATCGTTAGATGCAGAGAAGAATACATACCCCACGGATCCTTAGCCAGAACTGGTTTGGCGAAAAGACCAGGCTCACTGGATCCGATTTTGTTGACCGCCCGAATCCTGAACTTGTACGTCTTCTTGGCGACTAGGTCCTCGACCTTGAATTTCGTCGGTTGACCGTGAGCCACCTCTGCCACGTTGTCCCAGCCGGCTTTAAGAGACAAGTCCTGCAAAGTCAACACATAAAGTTGTTTTAGCATAGTTTTAACGTTTTAGAATGAAAAATGGGTTATATCTAGTTAAAAGAAGTATTAAACTACGAAAGCTAGTGAGATGTCGATAGAGAAGCGGCCAATATTTATTATTTTATGATTTTCTGGGTATATAGATTCGTTCGAATATTATTAATGCTACTACTTCTATATATATATTATATTTTTACTTATTTTTATAGGGTTAGAGATAAATGGTTTTCCATAGTGACGAGGAGATGAGATAAAACCACGCTGCTATTATACAGGGAGGATTTTCTAAGTACATCCATTTTTTTTATAAATTCTAGACATAAATAATGTTACATAAAAATGATAAATATTTAAAATCACTAGTAATTAATTGATTACATTCATTTGAACTTATCTCAAAAAGTGTGTGATTTATGGGCAACTCATTTATTTTACCCGCGATCATTCATAATTAACACGCACACAAGTTCCTTTCAAAAGTATACGACGCATTTATGAATGACTACCGCGTTGTCAACAAGTTCTGTTTTTTAGGGAATAGAATTGTAATTTTTTTGGAAAAAAAAAGTTTGTTAATATTTCAATAAACGATTATACTGTCGAGTTTGAACCTCCTGTGTGAATTTGGGCACCTTAAGAAAAGCCATCCTGTATAATAAATAATACTAATAGTGATAATAATAATAAAAAAATAATTAAAAGGAACAAACAATTCGAACATATAGAAAATCTAGGTTTTGACAAAAAATCACAGAATTGGCTAGATTTGTGATTAAATATTAAACGCCCACCTGTCTCTCGATGACGTATTTAACGATAGGCGATCCACCATCGTCCTGTGGAACCTTCCACGACACGACACACGAGGTCTGGAACACCTCTGTAACCTCTACATCCTGAGGTGGAGTAGGCGCGCTTTGCATGATAATGGTGACGTCCTTGGAGTCTTCGCCCTGGGCGTTAGATAATTTGATCTGGTATTTACCAGATCCCTCCCTGGTTGGTTTCTTGAGTTTGTAAAGAATTTTCTCTTGCTCAACGACAACATCGACCTCTTTCGCGGGCAGAGCTTTGCCGTCTTTGAATAATTTCGCCTCGATCGGAGTTTGTCGGGTGCCTGAAACTGCATAGTCACAACACGTTAATGGGTTACCTAAGGTACTTTATCTTAAGTTTTTAGTTGGTGTTTTAGCATATTGACTTTTTATTTACTTACGACGTTATATTTACGACTTAGGTTTTTGCATATTGACTGCATTGTTTTGAACCAATGCGTTTTCGAAAACGGAACATTATTGTGAGTACGTTAGAAAGCTTATGAATGTTGAAGGTAAGTATTATGCGTTATGAATAACAACGGCTTAGTAATAAATTACTTTTGTAAGGCACTTCAATGACAAACGGATGTCCGGCGGGCCCGTTGAACTCATCAGGGCATTCGATCGAGGGTTTAGACTCTCCCTTCTTGACCGTGAGTTTGCACGAAGAGGTGAGTTTGCCGGATTCGCAGAGGATCTCGCCATCGTCTTCCATCTCCAGTTTGTTAAATATCAATTGGTGTTTGCCACCACCCAGATTCTTTATTTCGATCCTGACAAAAAAGCACGAGTGAAGACGCATTGTTTTCATATATAATATGTATTTACCAACGAATGCATTATAGGCAGGTCTATCTAGGGAAGTACCACAAACTCATACAAGACTGACGAGAAGTGAGTGTTATACTTCTGCGCATCGGCTGTGAGACAACCTGGGCATGTTACCCCTGTTAACCTTGGGGGACGGTTATCAATTAACATCAGATGAACCGTCAGCTCGCTTGCCATCTTCTTACATTAAAACATTTGGATAAGATCATCAAACAGGAGTAAAATATTAAATAAGAACGCAATAAACTAATTATGAAAGTAACGACTGGCGTTTGTTTTTACTGCTATCATTTTTATCATTTCTTCAAAGTTCTCTTTTGTTAAAAATTAAATCAGTACATAAAATAAAAGTTACCTGTCATTCGGTACAATTGGCGTACCGTTGAATGACCATACAGCCTCAGCGGTTTGATCCTGTAGTTCAATCTCTAGCACTACCTTGTCTCTCTCAACTGCTTCGGTATCCTTCAACTTCTTGTTGAAGCGATTCGAATCTAAAAGGAATTAAATAAATATAATTTGAATAAATTTCAAGGTATCACATGTCATTTGTTGTTTAATATCTAGATATAACGGAAAGAACTAGAACAGTTAGAGCATGAAATATCATTTGAAATATTCCATATTTTAATCATGATCAAGTTAAAACTGCTCACATTTGACGATCAATTCGCAAGTAGTTTCATCAGCATTACTGACGCACTTGAAGTTGCCAGCGTCAGTAACTTTAGCGTCTTTGATTACCACTTTGCGTTTACGACCCTCCTTCACTATAGAGATGCGCTTATCGGCCTTCAGTGGCTGATCGTTCTTGAACCTGAGAACAAGAATTATAAATTAAAATGTTGAGACAAAAAAGGTAACCCATTCACATTATTAATATTAATTATTGTTACCAGAGAAAACAATATAAATATTGTAACGGATACTAACCATTTGACATCGCCGGTAGCATCGTCAAGTTCACAGAGCAGAGTGATGGTATCTTTTTCAACAGCTTGTTGAGACTTGAGCACCTTGGTGAATTTGTATGGGTATTCTGAAATGAAGTAACCAGGTTGAACAGTGGAAAATTAAAAAACTATTCCAATTGCGTATTATAATTTTTACTGTGCCACGCAGCGGCATTTGCTGTGTTAGGCGTGCGGACAGGCTAATGACCATAATACATACAGCATAAAGTAGAAGTATTATACTTTTGCATTTCACCTGGTCCCTTAGCAATGGGTAACCGGGAGCTATCCTTTTACAAGTACTTTGTAGCGCATCTACAACCCCTCAAGTATTATTGATATCAACGACGATACGGTATGATCACAATATGTCTGGTGAATTTACAAAAAAAAAATATACTATATACTATATACTATATACTATATATTTTCTAAATCAAATTTTTCTGACTTTCGTGAACAAACAGTCACAACTCACAGCAGCGATTACATATACAAGAACACTTACCGATAATCTTTACATCACATTCCGTCTTATCTGGCTGCTTCTCAATCTTACACATGAATTTACCGGCATCCTCTAATTTAGCATTCTTTATTGTCAGCCTACACACGCCAGACAAGTCCTTTGAAGTTTGGAATTCCTCGCTATCTTCCAATTTCGTGTCACCCTTCCACCAAGATACGATAGCGAGGCTGTTGGAGACAGCGCATTCTAATATCACTTCGTGCTTTGTGTATCCAGTGAGGGATTTCTTCAGGTGTTTCGTGAAGCTGTATGTAGGGTCTGGTTCGTCGACTTGCAAAAAGGCAGTGCTAGTAACGCCACCAATTTCAATTGTGATCTTGCCAGTGTCTTCTACTTTAGGGTTCATAATTATTAACTTGTAAGAATCCTGTTCATTCGTCATCTTGTATTTAGAGCCCGGGAAAAGTTCCTGTACAAAAATTTAATATCTTGTAAGTTAAAGGCATATATAGGCTTTCAGCTAATTAGTTATTAGAAACAGTTCAATTATTATAATTATAGCTTCATTGATTGTTACAGATTGATGAATAATGCAAATAATATATATTTTAATAATCAGTTTTTCTTATATTATCCGATTTTCACTAGGAATATCTAACCATGATCATTTATATTTCTTCATAATCAATGTCTAAGATTATTTTTTCAAGGTTTTCAATAAAATTTTTTTTTTTTAATAAGCTCATTTTTTTTTATTAACCATTGTAAAAAGATCAAAATCTATAAGCACTTATATTCTGTAAAACTCTGATAAAATGTTATTTTAAGCTCATAAAAACTATTTGTACTTACATCCTTTCGGAAGAACCATTTCGGCTTGGCATTTGGCTTAGTGAAGATGGCCTCAAATGTTACCTTCTTATCTTTGCCCTCTTTCGCAGATTGATCTACAAGAGGCTTCAGGAAAGATTCGGGTTTCTGAAAGCAACGCCCGTGGCCACAATTAATTCCTCTATTGTGAAAACAACTTATGACGGGTGCATTAAAAAATGGTGCTGTCCAGAAAAAAAAACTCTCAGTGCTGACCGTATAAGATCCCTATTTGAACGCCCTCAACGAACATTCAAACGCATGACAATAAATATCAGTCCATATGAAGTAACCGAGGCGTTAGATTTCAGCCATTCGATCGTCACGACCACCCTTCACTTCAAAATCCATGCCACTGTACAGAACTTGGAATTTCCACGTTGGAATAGAAGACGTGCTTAGTCTTTTGGCGATATATAGATACTACTTGATGGTGGAAGATTATCGGCCAAAAACGATGAAACTTAATTGATGAAAAGTAAATTGATAAAACAAAGAAGGATCGTTCCGGTAAATACATCGTTTTTGGTGTGCGATATGCAGAACTTTTTAAAATAGATAACTGTGCATTACTGTGACCGGTGCGTTGTGCTACTACTGAAATACCGTCGATAAAGTGCTCAACAGGTTTTGCTGAAGAAAAATTCTAACAGAAACATAGAAAAAAGAGACAGATCAACTCTGTGCTATTTTGTACAACGGAATAAGGGTGTCAAAGTTTTCAGAAATGATCCTAGTAAAAGTAGAAAATTTACCACAAAAGCTATCGATACATTCGAGAAGAACAAGTTAATAAATGAATTTAAAAATTAATAAATATTTAAATATTACATAACAGTATCATAAATACAAATTTTATAAAAACTAAAACATTAACCTACGCTTCTAAAATAATTTGCCATAATTAGTAGGTACGTTTTTCACATAAAGATTCTAAAGTATAAAACATTTAGTTCTACGTTTCATTAGTATTTTTATACTGTGATTACAGTATCAATTCTTCTCACAAAGTTGAAAGATAATGTTATGTTATTATTCCCTTGAATGCATCAATTATAAGAGAAAATTGATAAGCCAAATTATAAATATATTTTCGCATGGTATTTTCTACTTTTTCTAGAAAAAACAATATAAGTGTTTCGTGAAACATTTCTTTGTGCGACAATAATTTGCACATAACACAAGATGCATTGTGTCGTGTTTGACGTAGAAACGTTCGTTGTCAAACCTCGTTTCTTTTGAACGAGTGCAGTTTCGGCCAATCCGGAATCAGTTCCGCCAGAGACTGCTTTCTACTATGTGATTTCTACAAAATTTCCATAACTCTTAGTAGTATCAATATCGGCACTGATAGCTTACTAAATTGTTTAATTTACGTTGAATATACACATTTAGTAACAAGAATTAACAACATCATATTTATGTGATCTTGAAATCATCTTACAGTTAGATGAGATAAATTGTAAACATAAGAATAGTTAAAATATAATTAGCACAGTAATACATTGCCAAGAATTCCAAAATCTGCAAACATCAGATAAAATTAATAATTATATGAATGAAGGGAGAAATACATTTTTTAATAAAAATGACGTGACAGAAGCTCCTCAATCCGACGTCACAGATAAACCTGTAAACAAATAAAACGGACAACAACGCAAAGAGACAATAATAACCAAATTCATTCCACTTACATTCCCTGAAAATGGTGTTAAAGAAACGTGAAATGGTGATACAAAAACTTTGTGCAAGTTATTTTAAATTCATTATTTAGCCATTGTTTTTTTAAATCGCTCAGAACTGATTCCATTCACTTTAATTGTTTATACATGTTTATATGATTTTCAAATATTATTTAATTTTTTTTCTTAATCACCAAAAGCTTTAATTGCTATTTAAAAATTTTGTGAATGAAGTCAATTAAAGACGACAAATTTAGTTTCGTTATTTAATGGTTTATCATTTTATCACTCCATGATTTAAAATAGAACTTTCACCCTTTTAAAATAATGTTATATATATAGCATACAACTGTGCACAATTAAAAAAATTAAACTATATAACGTTCTCCAATTTTAAAAGCGTGAAAATCTATTGCTTTTAAGGTTTACTTTTATTCGTCCATTTTATCGAACCTTTGTTTTGACAGCCTCCATCAAAGCGGGCCAATCTGGTATTATTTCGGGTAGAGACATACGTCTCCTTATTTGATATATACCCTAAAATTGATAACATTCTTCATGTTTTCTTCTGAGATTTTGTAATTCAACTAATCTTTTTGAAAATGGTGCAAAGCTAATTTGTCAGTAAGCCATGTTTAGAAATAAAGACTATTTGAAAGAAGAATAAAAAAATACTAACAGAAAAGTGATGAATTATTTTTTTTAATAACCATCCAGCCATTTCTCCCGGAGAAAGAATTTATCAAAGAACCACTCCACAAGATGAAACAAATATTATTTACACAACACTTATATGAATGTTGACGTTGTCATGAAAACGGGATTTTGTTTTTTTGGATGTCTGTTTATACTATAGAGGTTGAAGGGTACAATTGTATTAAAATTTAACGGAAAAAAGGAGAGCTGTAAGTGTAAGTAGTTTTGTAAGCTGGAATGAACGACGCTATTCTGAAGTTTTGAGGACCTTAACCCAGGACCAGTTTGAAGAGTTTCTGCGTCTGTCAGCTGGGAATCTATACATCTCGAGACCTTCTGACACGACCACCATGAATCCATCATCTTCAAAATAGCCAGTCTCTAATCCCTAAGGATCAAATTTATGGTGTAATGAATACGATGGCACCTTTAGAATTAAAGGGACCTAATTAAGAAAATCATGATTTTGACTTTATGTCAGGAAACGACTTCAAACGACTACCTTTTTCAACTCTTATTAAAAAACCTGTCAGGTTTGATAAAGCTACATAACGTATTCTTCGCTCTTTTTCACTCCCCTCCAATTACTGCGTTTGTTCATAAGTGCACAAATCTTTATTTTACGTTTTGCAAAAACTGTTTTTTTTTTAATAGGTCACTATAATTCTAAAGGTGTGAAGTGTGTTTGGTATGGTTTTTCTATTAGAAATGTAAGGACGTAATCCTTCACGTATACAATGAAACCTATAAATAAGTATTTTTCTTAACACAAAAATTGGTATTAATTTATCATTTTTCGTTACCCTCTTTTTACAGTTAAATAATGTATGTCAGGAGTTATCAAAACAAATCGGAGTCTTTCCGTGCAACTTTCACCATGGACCTTTTGGAGTTTTATTTTGTATCAGCGTTTAATTCAGATTTTAGATAAAACCACCTGGATATTTGCTTTATATTATATTTCTCAATTACCTTCATATGACATAAAAAATATCCACGTGGTTTAATTTTATCACTTTTTAGGTTTAGAATTTATATCACCATCTTCGTTAGTTCTTGAAAGTGGTCTTGAAATTCGGAACAAATTGTGGTAAAAACATTTAAAAGTATAAAAAGCGACAGTAATAAAAATCTTACCTTTTCGACCTTCTTTAGAGGAGGAATTGGCTTTTCAACTTCTTTAAGGTCTCCCCAATCGGGGTCTTCGTTCTTTTCACCCCACTTTTGATATTTCCTTTTTTTAAGCATCGCTCGGAAGTCCATTCCACTGGCATCTTAATGTAAAAGTTTGTTTATATAGTTGATATTATACAAAAAAAGGTTAAACTTCAAAAGGATTTTCCAAAATGGCACTTCATGGTGGTATAAATAAGTAAGACTAGATTTGACTAGACTAGTAGACGTTGCTACTTAAGGTTAATCATGAATTTCAATTAAATTATTTCAACTAAATACCGTAGATTCTAAGATTTCCAAAACCAAAAGAAAGTTAATATGGACCACGGTAGGGTGTTCTAATCACTTTTTCAAAGGTGGCTGTAGAAACGTTTATATCTTACCGGACACGTAAAGTTGCATCTCCGCCGAGTCCTCGCCATGGATGTTGCTGACGACGACCTTGTACTTGCCCTCATCGTTTGGCTTCACTTTTCTCATACACAGCGTGATGAGACCTGTTCCTCCATCGGTTATGTATTTGAAACGACCACCTTCAATAATTTCCGTGACGCCCTTGTAGAACTTGAATGTCGGCGCCGGGTTGCCTTCCACTTGCACGGTAAGGTAGCCGACTTGATCTGTTCGGGAGGCAATCGTTTTTATGATGTATTTGGTACTTCATCTTGAAATTAACTAAAGGTCATATAACAATAACCATAGTGCTCACGAGAATGAAAACAAATAAAGATTACTATTGATATATTCTTTGCCATTTGATGACGTGTCTGCTAGAGCAACCATCATGATTATAGCTGCAAGCTACTCGATTACTACTATATTCAAAAACGATATAATATAAAATATTGTTAAAAATCATTGCTTATGCGAGTATCTTGTCAAATGAAGTATGTAAGTTTCAGTTACGGCAAACATATACATTTATCATTTTAATTTCGATTCCGTGATAGCTCAGTCGTCAGTTCGGGCGCTCGCGCTTAGATTCAATTTACTCAAGCAACCTGAGTTCGATCCCCGAAGGAGAACATCGTGAGGAAACCTGCATGCATTTCGAAACAATAACAATAAATAAAAAAATATTTCTAATAAATGTGGGAGTCCGTCAATCCGGATGAGGCTGCATGGTGGTAATGCCCTATATACCCTCTGTACAGAGGAGGCCTTTGCCCAGTAGTGGTAAATGTACAGGCTGTTACTTTACTTTTTTTTTAATTTGAAAATCATGTTTTACTAAGTTATATATAGGTTTAACTTAATGAATGTATGTAATGAAATGAAACAATGTTTATTTATTTATTAATGAATATCGATATAATGATCTGTTTGTGATTCATGACGTATCGAAATGCACAGCAGATCTCTCGACTACAGAGATATACAAAAAGGATTTTAGTCTATATCGTCAACAACTTGTTATTAAAAAAATAAAAAGTACAAAAAAGTAAACGTAAAAAGTTCTCAAATTATATGAAAATGGAAGCAACACTAGCAAAGAGCGTAAAGCTTCTATAAAGTGAGTATATTATACATAAATATGTAAAAAAGTTATTTTAAACACTAAAACTTCGTGAAAATTCACGGCTGCGCCTAGCTTCGCCTAGTAGAATTTTGTTTCAAAGATTATATTTAAAAATAACTAATCATAAGTACACACACTTTCTTTGATATCAAAAGAAATAGCATACGAATGTTTCTTTTTATCACTTTTATTAAGAATTGCTTCATTGGAACGGGTCTTTAATGTTTCGCTATTATTTTTGCCTCTCAAATTCGTTGGCAGGCGATCAAATAACGTCCTAAAATAATCTCAACAAAAAGTTCGCGATGCGTAATTCAATCTTACCTTCAATAGCAGAGTTGCTCTCTGGTGCATCAACGATGACTGGTGGACCCTCATTTCCGATGGGTTTCAGAGGAATCGACGGTTTGTTAATGAGGCCTTCCAAGTCCTGCACCGAGGGCCTCCTCGAGTCACCGGATTTCCGTCGCTAATTCATTATCACATAATTAATATTCATTCTACGTTTGTCAGGGTTGTAATACGTAGACACTAAGTTAATGGTGTGATTTCAGCAGTAATATTTCTAAGTGTCAAGGAAAGATTTCTATTTTATTTTTTCTTAATATAGGGTTTTAAGTATTAATAATACATAATGTACTGCTTTTTACTTTATCACATTGACCGAAGATATCTTTTTATTAATAAAACAAATGTATGAAGCTTCAATATGCAACGACGCCGTAAACTCGACAGACAAATACAAAGTCATTAAATTTCTAACGGAGCAAATGGTCCAGAATTAAATTTAGATTGAAAAATTGCCCCGTAACCAAATACAAGGGGCATTGGTAACGTTATGACAGATGCAGTGCGTCATGAATGCTCGCCAAGCGACCTGACAATGAAGATCTGGACTTCCTGATAAATGTGGCACAAGTGCTAGTGCTGCGTTTAGCAATAATTCCAAAAGATATTTATTGTAAATTCGAGTTTCGGAATTCCCATACCCCATTAGATATTAAAAAAGTTGCAGGAGAAACAATTTACTAAAAATGTAGTAAAATGTCACACAGGGAGAGTTGGAAATCCAATTATATACCGTCGAAATAAATTCCAAAAAGTCAGTAGCTAATAATAATTAGAGTAACATTATTGCGACAGGTAATATAGATAGATGAGTATTTGGTAAACCTTGGCTTTAAAAATTAAAAGCAATCTAGTTTATTCTTCAAAAATTAAACAGACTTAATTTAATACACTAAATTTAATACGAAGGTCTGCCTTTTACAGCGTCGGTACATTGTCACATAAATGTTTGAATTGAAAAAGTACTTACCACATCTAATGTATCAACATTTAGTTTAGGGATTGAGAGTTTTTTTGCAACCGCTGTCATGGTATTAATTTATTACTATGCAGATGCCACAAAACTAACAGAATATATTCAAAGTTTATAAAATCACAGTCACTTATCACAGCAGAATGTTCAAATATAACGTTCACGTGGTCTGAACCTTTTGTAATCAACATTCCGTATTTGGATTTCTTCCTGTCTCAGTTTCGATGTACCCATAACTTTACAACTGATTTCGACCGTAAATGCTTAATTGGTTGTTATATTAATAAGTGTTACACCCTATTTAGGGCTTTTCAAGATATTTGCTTATGCTTGAACGTTGCTTTAGAGGTTTCGATTGGGGATAGTTCGATCAGTGTCGTTCCATGTAAAAATGGGCGCGAATGTCAAAAGACTGAAAGGGGTGTCGCGGACAGATAGTCGGCTAGGTGCGCGGACCGCGGGGGCAGGGGGAGGGGGTTTCTATTTATGACCAACACAAATCAGCGGACCAATTCAATTAATTATCAGATTAAGGTGAGCTATCTGCGTGGTGTGTACTTGAACGTCAGTGTTAACGTATGTATGAAGTTTTGCCACCAGTAGACATGTTTGTCGATATATTTGTCGATAAGGAAACATGTCGCGCTGTCGACAGCGCTCATTTCAATGCTCGCCGGTTTTATTCTGATGACGGATGTAATAACGCAAGATACCTTTAATGTATGTGAGGGTTCATTGTTGACGTCACAGTTGGACTTATTCGAGAAATAGATGTAAAGTAGATTAGCAAGTAATGTTTGCTATTATTATTATTCATATCTATCACGTTGAACTAAAAAAGACTAATTTTTTATTCTTACGAAAACGAGAGGGATTGTATTACAATAACATACTTTGTGTTACATCTAGCAATGAAAGACAATTGGCAATTATACGTATTCAAATGGATACAATTAATTAATACGACTATCGAAATTGTTGTTACTATAATCTCGGTACTGTTTTTAATCAGCATCCTTATTTTGATTGTATTCATTATTACAAAGCTATCAATGCTTGTATACTTATTAAGCTCCTTTTTCGGACCTTTCTTTAGATAAATAATTGAAAAATGAAACGTATTGGACATTGATTTTCCTTATCGACTTTCAATTATACCGACCGTGACCGTCGATGGTCCATGCCAAGTGTTTCACATATTGTTGTACGGCGACGCCTTGCCATTCTCTAGTCAGATATCGTCCCACGCGTGATCCGTTGAATATTCTCGTCTCTCCTGCATAAACGTGTCCATCAATCATTCTTCTCCAACATTCTATTTGTAGGGCGTGCCTTGTTTTTAATAATAACACGCTTAATTCGGTTGTTGTCATTGAAATATTTGTATCTATATTTGTCAACATAGCGATGCGTGTATTTTTATCGCCCTATAATTGTATTGATTCGTATGCCAATGTTGTAAGCAATTGCACAGTTGTTTTCGCTAAAAACTAATAAAGTCCACTGTATTTGTTTACAGTAAATAAGGAACGCAAATGTTCAGTATTTATGAGCAACTGACAGCTATAATTACAAGCTTGAAGAAAACTCCCCTCAATGCTATAAAATATAAAATAATTCTTCCCGTTGATACTTACAATAGGAGTAATTGACTATGAACAAATTGAGACAAAACATTTTAGGGGACGTGAAAATTTCTAGAAGATTAATATCTTTTTAACAATGCAATGCATTGGCTATAACTCAGGTTAGCTGCCAAATCGCGATGGTTCAGGATGCAATTTCGGTTCACCTTGAGTCGCTCTTGGCCTACCTTTACAGCTGTATAGCGATAATTATCAATCATCAGAACGGTTTCAGTGCAATTCTGGCGCAGTGGGCAACTGATTTTCATCATTTAGATCGTCAGTGTCAAAAATGTTAACTGGTAAAACAGGTGTGGTCACTTTCTTGTGTTTTAATATGTTAAAACTTATCTTGAAGCTGTGATTTTAACTATTTATAAACGTTATGTTCGTTACAAAATATGTAATATGCGACTATTTCATTTTATTACTATGGACCATCTTTCGATAGTTTTATTGTAAGTGTATACATATGCGATTTATTTTTGTACTAAAGTTTGACGCTAATAATTATTTCAGAATATAAATAATTATTATTTCATTTCACAGACAATGAGTAACTGGATTTCATTTATTCGTAATACGTTCGCGTCTTATATAATTATAGTACGTTTTAGCGTTTTGTGGCATCTGGCGTTTTAGCAACGAAATTGTTAGAAATATATTAGATATTAGGTTGTACGACTGGAACATGCGGTATTATAAGTTTACGTACAGACCGTTAGTCGATGTTACCGAATAAGTAAGCCAAAGCCGAACATTTATCCTGCTTGAATCGAGCGCTATAGCTTGTACATGTATCGAGCAAATAGTATGAAAATTGTTTGTTATTGTTTCTTATTTCATACTTCACCTTCGATACTTGGTATCCTATTAAATTTGTTTCATAAGTTAGACTTACATATAGTACATAATACATAATACAGTCTTTAGACGGTACAATTTAGTGGTTAAGATCTTACGAAGAAGTTAGTATGATCGGGTGTTAGTTGCACTAAATCACAGCTATTCTACCATTTATTACATACATAAATATATTTTTAATTAGATATAATAGTCATAAATAATGTTGAAAACCAATCGAACTGAATGAATCGGTTCTATTTGCGAAAATGTCATATCGTAAAAGAATCGGCCAGAATTTTTTAAACTAAAATTAATCACTTGAAAATTTCTATGTTAGCCACGTATCTATAATTGTTTTTCTATAACATATAATTTCTAAACATATATTTTTCACACATATTATACCTCATCCGCGAGTTCACCCGGCCTGCCGCGTTTCTTTTTGGGGAAAAAAATAATTGTTTAGTGGGGCATTCTCTGTTATTTTTGTGCACTTAACATTAAATGTGTTCTATACATTCGTGTGTCAAATGTTGGTTTCATGTTTGTGTAAAATATTAAAATGGACGAAGATACTTAATTGGTCATTTGAGACTTGTGTGTTACATGTGACGAAAAATGTATTAAAAATGAATGTAATTATGTGAAAATTTAAAAATCGAACAATGTGTATCGAGTGCGTGAATAATTAATGATTTATTTTCATCATTATTAGTTAAAAATCAATTTTATCATTCGAGATTTAATTTTATTTTAAAAAATGAATGCAGCATTCGTATGTTAGAATAGTTTTTAAAATTAGCGGAAAATTGTTTAAACTTATTTGTTATTGGAAATTCCGAAAATAAAACAAAAGCCATTTTAGTGGAAAACTAAAAAGCTTTGTTTAAAAGAGAACCATTCTATTACGTACAGGTCTCTTGTAAACAATAATTATTACTTGCATCAGCCATCAACTAAAGACATTAGAAAAATTACCGCCGGTCGGCAAAGCGGTTTTTGAAGAAATCATCTGATGTATTAAAGGAATAATAATAACAAAAGATATTTAAGAGGAAAGAAATAAAAAGAAACGGATTTATAATAGAAAAGGACTGTTTGAAAAAAGAAAAGGGGTCTAAAATAGAAAAGAATATTGAGGGATTTGTAAGCAAGTTTTTAATAATCATTTAATACAATTTTAATAAAAATTTAATTACGCTGTTTATCGATTAATTGTAAGAAGTAAGATTAATTTGATTGTAGAATTGATTATTTCAGTATTGAACTGTGCAGCGGCATGACATACAATTAACCATCATCAGAGCAATGGGTGAAATTGAAATATAGAAAAGTAAAACTAAACAAAATGCTTTGCATAAGCGAGCAACGTCCACCTAAAATTGACCAGACCCAAACGATCTCACCTTTTTCTCGTCTAAAACTTCTCCAGGGCGTAATTTGGTGACCTGTTGTTAAAAAATATTGATAATAACCCCCTTACAGATGGTTTTGCCTACCTAAATCTCTGATGCCGAACCTGAGCCACCTGCCTAACTGACGCCTCTAGACTACTTTGTGCGTAACCTCCACAGCTAGTGCAATAGTTATTACGTTATGTGTTGCGTCACCGTCATGTTAATCTTTGTTAGTTTCAGTTTCCAGTGCCGGATGTGTAAGAGAAGCCTTCTTAAACACACCTTGCCATCGAGTTAATTAATGCCTGCCATTGGCTCCGCTCAAAAATTCACGTCCAACCTTCTCAACCGTTATTTATTGTGCATACGTGCGAACAAGCTGTGCTGTTTATTTCTGTGCTCTGAACCGCAAAACTGTGTGCAATATAGCTTTGTGCCTAGTACGAGAAACTGTTTCGTAAATCGAAAGTAATTGGATAGTCACATATAAGTATAGAACTATTTGTTGGGATCCCCCAAATCCCTTCATGATGTTTATGGTATCATGTGAAGTGTGTGTGTTAATGTCTACAGGTAATATGTGAATATCCGTAATTACCACACGCGTTTTTTTTTTTTTACTTAACCGCGTCGGATGCAAATGCGTCAACATATTTAATTTTACAATAGTTAAATCTTTATAACGGCGTTATTTTAACGGATAGCATTCACGTAATGTTCTTAGCGGTTTTGCTATTACCTTCTTTTCTTCGATCACCTCACCAGGTCTTAGTTTTCTATTCTCCTGTGGATTACGTTTTGTACGATCTTAATATCTACGTACGCTGTGATTGGCATCGGTGTTTGGTACAACACTTAGTGTATTCTAAGAAAAACTAGAAGCAGGGAGTGTAGGAGTCTACATAAAATCCATGTAAATCATCTAGTCGTTTTTGACACAAGTCAAAGTTAACTCAAAGCTTTTTCGTGGAAACTGCTGATTATTGGCTTAATCCAAGGGAAATAATCAAAGGTGTCTAAGGTTACGGGTTCGGCTTGAGAGAGTAGGATAACTACACTACAAAAGGGCTCAAATTTCATTGGTTCAGTGTAAAAATCAAAATAAAAAATTCAACAGTTTACATAATAATAATGTTTTATAAATTCATTTCGCTTTGATATTTACACCGAACACGACACGACATACTATTCTACATTTTAATGATATTATTAATTACTACTTATTCATACCTTCTGAATAGTTGAGTCGTTTAAAGGAAGCTAAAGATATTCATTTGAATATAAAGGAATTTAAGTTTTTGATTGAATAAAATATTTCTGATCTATAATGTAAATAAATGAGGATAAGTACCTCGTCGCTGATGATGAGAGAAGGCCTTCTTCCCATTTCCTCCGGTGGAGGAATGAGCGAGCCACGTCTCGCGGGAGGTGCTGGTGACAAGGAAGGCTTCCTGGGGGCTTCGGGTTTGGGAGATTTGTCGCGTATTACTTCGATTTTCGGCGCAGCTGGCTTTTCTTCTGGCTCCTTAATTTTAGGGGCTGCAGGTGCTTGTGGCTCTTCAGGAGCTTTCACTTCAGCTACCTTTGGTTTGTCGGCCGGCTATCAAAAAAATTATACAAGTTATAGATAAGTTTGCATACGAATCGCCGTAAAAATATTATCTATAGAATATTACTACCTTATCCTTTTCAGGTTTTTCCCTAGTAGTAGGAGTTGGTGAAATCTTTTCATATTTTTCCAAATCTGGCCTTTCGTAATCGGGAATTTCGGGCAGTTCTTCTGCCTTCTTCTTAACAGTTGTGGCTTTAGCCTTTTTCATTTCAGCTTCGACCTTTTCTTCTTTCATTGCCACTTTCTGCAATTGAAAAAGTAGTGAAACATACGAACCAAATATCTAAACTGTTACTGTAATACTGCTGCAGCTGCCGCTATTACTGTGTATACCTATGCAGTCAAAACTACGGGGATATAATGTTATACTTATAACTGAATACATTTCGTGCAGGGACCATTAATTAATATACTTAAATGTACTTTATATCAATAAGAAAAATCAAATGTACTAAACCTGCAAATTGACAATAAATTATTTAAAAATGTAGATATTTTACTTACCTACCGTACCTAATCTACTGTACAGATCTAATAAAGAAACAACAACGAACATAACAAGATATTCATTCATAAATAATCGTCAGATGAACATCGAGTGCGTGCAAAATTGTTAGAAGCAAAGCTGAAGCAGGAAGTTTAATTCACATAAACTTTAAATACAAATTAAACAAACAGATTACACTACGTAATTGTTAGTCACAAATTCCAAAGGTACTCAACAGTTCAGATGTTATTTTACAACTACTGAATTTCTAATCACTTTTTTTAATTGTTTTTATATAAGTTACAATAAAAAAATTGTATAATCTGTTTTGTATGTTATATGTTATCTAAAACTACTTGTGCTTTACTAATTTGTGCCAAACTATAATAGTTTTATACAAAAATATTGTGCAAATTTGGTGCTCGTGTTATGATAAAATCAGTAAATTTGTTGTAAGAATTCTCATTGGTGTATTTCTACCTCGTCAGACGTTTGAGGCTTCAGAGATTCTGGCTTATTCTGCTCTTTATCTGCCGTCGTATCAGCCTACAGAATAAATCACATTATTGGCGACCATACGAATTTTGTGCTTCGCATGGGAAGATTTCGTCAGGACAGTAATAGTAAAGAATAGTAAGTGTAATGTGAAGAATAAGAGATTATAGTGTGTGAATATAAAATAATATACAACTATTCTATTTTTCACATAGAGGTATTCGATGAGTGCCGAAGTCAGTACAGAAGAGTAAAGTTTTTTTAAGTAGAGTTGTGTGTACCTGTGGAGATTTAGCCCTTCTCCAGGGTACAGTGTCACGTGTCTCAAGTAGTGTTGTTTTGAATCGGTCTTCCAATTCAGGTGTTTGCTCAGCCTGGTTATGAACGTATTGTAAGTGTGAGTTAAAGAGTATTTTAGATTTATCAGATTTAAAGTGTAGATTGTGTACCTGTGGAATTTCGGGTATAACGTTCCATGAAAACTGTACTTCGTTTTGTTTTGTATCTACTGCAGGTGTTACTAAAATTGGAACCTAATAAATTAAAATTAATTTTAGCGTCAGAGGAATCATATAGAAAAAAATATTGATAGTAGAGAAATTTAATTATTTCACCTCGGTATTGGATTGCTTTCTCCAAGGATAAGATATTTGTCCAGATTTTTCAGGAGTCTCAACATTTTTATTATCATCCAGTACCTGCGCAATTTTAGTTAATTTACAAAAATTTGAATTTATAGTTATTGTAATTTTATTTCACAATTTTACCTGAATTATATCGCCGGATTCTAAATTGTTCAATTTTTCTTTGGGCGTTTCAGAAGCCTACAGAAACACAATAATATAGTTAACTAACTTTAAAAGTTATATTTTTTATTTATATCAATCATATATAATGTCACGTAACATATGTTGATTTTTTTGCATCAGAAAAGATTCGTTAAAATAAATCTACCTTATTGTCGTCACTAGGACGCCGCCATGGATAAGCGTTCTTATCAACCTTTGTGTCAGAAAGCTTTTTGTCATTCATATCCACAGGTTTATCTTTCTCACTGTCCTTATTCATTTCCTGTGTAAGTTTGTGAAATAAAAATTATTCAATGGAATTTTTCCAATATAAACATTAGAATTAACTTATATCTGGAAAATTACGCTAACACTGCGTTCCCGTTTAAATTTATAACTTTTCGATACTTAAAATATAAAAACATGTAGAAAAACTACGAAAAGATTATCGCCGCTGTGGGAATCGAACCCACGTCTTCGATACTTACCTAAAAGCGTAGTGTCAATAAAACTTGTTGTTGTAACAAATTTAGAACTTAATGAATTTATTCTTTTTATGTATTGTGTAGTCTACCTTGGGGGATAAACGACGTGCTGTATTGGTGTATCCTGAGGGCTTAATTTCGTCCTGATTCTGGCTACCATCGAATGGGGAATCAATATTTACTATTTCCTCTGTCGCTTTCTGTTTGAAAACAATGTGTGTAAAAATGAATAGCAAGTTGTTATTGTCCGTGCGTAATGTACGTACTGAAATGGTACGTCGCAAATTGTTCAATAATTTCCTATCTGAAGTGTAATGTAAAGGTCTTGTGATTGTTATAAAACTGATGTGTTGTATACAACCACACATCAATTCCTTTATTCAACAAAAGAACCGAAAAGGCTGAAATGATGACGATATGTGATCTGTACTTAATTTTTACTTCAAATAATATTTACCTCAAAGGAGAAAGAAGTGTGAAGTACTCGTGTGTTGTATGAATGGGAACGGAATTATAATCATTCTACCAGTAGCATTTCATTTTTTTTTTTTTGCTAATAGTAATAACTTGTATACCTCTTTAATTAAACTACGACGACGCCATGGATACGTTTGATCGCTAATATCAGTTTCATTTGTTTTTGTGCTCTCTGTGGCCCGTTCTTTTATATCTTTGGTTGTATCCTGTCACAATTTAAATATATTGAATAATTTTTCAATTCGTCATAACAATACTTCGACTACTGATCAAAAATGTGTTGTACCTCATCATCTTTGGATTTGCGTCGTTGTGTTGGTGCCGGTTTTTGCGGAATATGTTTATGTATAGTTTTGTTTGTTTGTGTTGTAACAGTACTTTCAGTTTCCGATCCGTCTTCACTGCCCTGTGGTAAAAAACCGACCGTGTTGATATATACACGTACTATGTGTGAATAACTAATATATATTAAATAACTATTATATTTCGCTATAATATACGTCTACGACTAATGAATACGACAATATGGTGCTATGTATTATTTATCCAGATAGATTAAGTATTTAAATATTTAAGGTAAACCCCTTGTTTTAAAACTCTTATCTATCATAAATATATTAATGTTTATACAAATAAATAATACAATTTAATGTATTGCAGTAATTTTTCAAGAATTTTACGTAAAAATTATTTGTTCAAACTTTACGAATTATGTCAACCTTAGGGCTGGTATAAAATGGACAAAAATTTACTTCACCGATTTCCTCTTATTTTGATATCTATATTATGATTTTAAACTCTAAACGTACAAGTCTGAATCAGTTTTTTAATTAACACCAAGTTTACGTAGAAGTATTTTTTTAACGACCCGATTGGCGTAATGGATGGTGGACTTGTTGTCTCTTATGCCAGAAAGTGTGGGTTCGATCCCCTATACTGTAAAAACATTGTGGGATGTACAAAGTGTTTTTCTAGTGTTCTTACAGTTACCTTATAGTTTTTTCAGTTACCTAGTACCCATAGTTCAACCTTTGCTTAGTTTGGGACCATACAACGTCATGTATTATATGTACTTAAAAAGTTTATTTATTATAAAAAAAATATATGTTACCTCTCCTTTGCTTGAACGACGCCAAGGATGTGAAGTCTTTTTAGGTTGGTCTAAACTAACGCTCCGTTTTGGTGTCGTTTTATCATTGTGCTCCTAATAAGTACAGTCTTTAAGTTAGGATATGTTATTGTAATGTAATAATTGATTCTGTGTGTGTGTGAGTGTGTGTCTGCCTGTGTGTGTATATGTCTGTGTTAAAATGTATACCTCTGTATGTGTTTTCGTAGGTCGCCATGGGTATTGTTTTTCGGAAGGCTTATCGAAATAATCGTCTGTCTCGTTTTCTTCTTCAGTAGTTTTATCCTATTTACAAAAACAAAACGCTTATTTCCAGGGCTCCTAAGAGTATATTGTAATTATTGACAGCAGGATTTGTTATTTACTGGACGAACAATACGAAACATAAAACATATATGGAATCACAACATTGAAACAAATATATTTACAGCGCTCAATTTGAGAAAGAAAAATCAACATGTTTGATTTAGTTTCGATAAACATGCTTGATTTCTAATAAGCGTTCTTACCTTCAGTTTAATTTGCTCTAACTCATTTACTGCAGGTTCCTTAACGGATGTCTAAAAGCAAAAGGCAGGGGGGTGTTATGAATGCATTTAATTATTGCAAAATATTCTTTATGAAAATTTGCTTAGGAAACAGGGATTTGCTTACTCTCTTTAAGACTCCTACAGTAAGCCTAAGCACCTATATACCTCAGGGAGTATATTCCATAAGGTAGTACTACTACGCTTTGTGTACATTCAGCAAAAGGGGTCTAAAATTTACATAGTAATAACAAAAACAAAAATTAGGACATTGCTCGTGCCAAAGCTAAACTGAGTCATAAAGTGCGGTTACGCAAATAAATGTTTGTTTAGCAAAAAATCTGCTTCCAAATGCATTTATGGTATAATGAACTCATTGTTTAATTATCGATTATCGACTGAATGACCATAATTAATTGTTTATATTGGCGATCACCACTTAAATAGAGTAGGTATTCATATTTAAATATAGTATTCATTATGTATTCATATCTTTTCAACTAATGAATTAACTGATTATTGAAGTCTTTTTATGTATATTTAACTACTATTTATAAGTATTAGTAGAAAAAACGAACCTTCAAGGAAGCCTTCCTTACAGAGGAGACTTCCTGTTGTTCTGAGACTGAAGAAATCGACGATTTCCTGCTTTCAGACGTTTCTTTCGTAAGCTGTTTGAAAGAAATAGGTAACATATATATTTAAATTTTGTGCATTTTTGTTTTTGGTTATCCGCAAGAACCTTTCTAACGTTTATTTAACTGTTAAGTTTATAATAAAACTTAATTTTATATAAACATATTAAATGCTACTAGGTGTTATCGTAATTTTAAATTACATTGAATGTTAATCTATAGATCACGACCTACTATTCGTATTTATTAGATTCAAGTTTCAGAATTTTTTGAAGGCATACCTAAACTGTTACAGTGACATAGAACATACCTTAAGGGCTTTGTTTTCAATAATAGAACTTCTGCGGCTTTCGGTTTTAACTTCTTCTCTCATCTGTAAATAAAAACATATTATTTCAGAAACGTAGAGTAAAGAAAAGTAAAGTAACAACCTATAATTATATACAAGGGCAAAGGCCTCCTCTTTACAGAGGGTATTAGGGCATAGTCCACCACGTGAGCCCACTGCGGATTGGCGTACTTCACATATCTTCGATATAGTCTTTTTTTGTAATTATTTCGAAAATATGCAGGTTTCCTCACAATGTTTTCCTTCACCGCTGAGCACGTGATAATTTGGCACTTAAAATTAATATTTTTTTTTGGTTCCGGCACCGGGGTTCGAACTCAGGTTGCTCGAGTACATTCAATTAAAAGCGAGCGAGCTCTTTCAGGAACTTGTTACGAATAACGCATCAGAGGTGAATGCTCCATGATCTTATTTGTCAAAAAAATTTTTTTAAGTTAGTGAATAATGAAACTGAAATAAATTACTATCAACTGTCAGTAAAATTCTTACCTCGGTCTGAATCGAAGTTCTACGGCTTTCAGTCTGAAAAATAATAATAAATAAATAATAATATTTAATCTGCGAATACAAATATTAAACTATCTGGATGTAAATAATTCCAGTCGTCAAAAATATTTTGACAGCAAACTGTTAATTACATTAAAACCTTGTAGAAAATGGAACATTAAAAACATATAATAACTCTTGAAAAAAATTCAAATGGGTGTATACTGCATATGCATGGGCTATATACATTTGTTTTGTATGTATCGTAATCATGATGATTGTTTTCTTTCTACGTACTCATTTCATTCTACCTTTAGGAGATCTTTTATATTTTTGTGGAGTAATAAAACCACAAGTAAGGGTGTATCTAAAGCATCATCTTCAAATAATTGAATAAACTTGTTTTTTTTATGAGTTAAGTGACCGCCTATATATTGCCACAAAAGGTTGCAAATGTGCATCAAAATAAAAATATGTGCACTCCCCACTTAACTTATTTAACAGATGAAGACTTTTTTTGAGACTGTTTTACGTTAGCAGCTCGTCCGGTCTCTTATTAACGCTAATTCTCCAAATTGTATGTATGGGTATTATTTGAAGATGATTCATTAGATATTTTTTGTGGTAGGGTCACACAAAGTCGGATGCATGTCGTCTCATTTCTACCTTTACTGCGAGATGCTGTTCTTGGTGGGCTACCATTGTCACCTGTTTTGCAACATGTATGGAAGAATTTTAAAATATCTTTATTTTATAACACGCTTTGTCTAATTTTAAGAACAGATAAATAATTATACCAACTCATGTTAAAAAATAATATTATTTATAATATGAATTTTCAAAAACGTCCTACAGTTAAGGGTAATTCATTACTTAAGTCATTATTTTAAGAGGGCTTTTGAATAAAGCACTTGAGGGAAAAGAACAGTAAAAAATTCTATAAATTACAAACAAAAGGCAAAGGCCTCCTCTCTATAGAAGGTACTGGGGCATAGTCCACCACGCGATTTCACTGCACGGGCATCATATATCTTCGAAATATTTTATAATTATTTTCGAAAATATCTAGGTTTCCTCGCAATGTTTTCATGAAACTCTTGTTCGAATTTTGGGACATAGCAGTTGCTATTGATAATAATACACTATATTGATTGCACTTAACGTCTTTATTTCCTTGTGCAGAATCCAGTTCAAGCAAGTTGTTTAAGTTAGCATAATTACCAACTGAACCATTAGGCTATCCGTAAAGTAATACGTGTTGTAGTCTTACCGTAGCTTGTTCTTTTTCTTTCTTCTCCTTGACGATGGGAGTAGGCGAGATCTTTTCATATTTTTCAAGCACCGGGCGTTCGTAGTCATCGACAAAATCGAGTTCATACTAAAACATCAAAATACTCGTATTAGATTTGAGTAATGATAATTGAACGTCCAATGATGTAAATTAATTATATGTTCAAATAAATTTGTACATTTGAGTACAACTAATAAGTATTGATTTAATTTATTTTTATTTTAATTTATTTTTTTAATTTATTATTATTTCTTTTGGTGAAACATTTGCCCTTACTGGAGGATAACATTATCCTGTGTTGCAAGGACATTTTACAAAGAAAAAGTTCATGCGGACAAACACCCAGATCCGAAACAATTATCAGTAGATCACATAAATATACCGTGTGGGAATCGAATCCACGACCCCCAGTGCCAAAACCATTACCCTTGATACGTCCTTAAGTGTTGAATAGAGCCACGCTTGTGCTCTATCTTAAACGACAGGTTTGGCACATACTGACCATCGAGATTCGGTACAGACCGTGACCCCGATGGCCCTTGACTGTATTAATCGGTGGCCCTTTAGAGATATTATTTATACGTACCATAGCTGAAAGAAAACAACACAAAAAATGGACAAGTTTGCATGCGACTTGCTACCATCACAAAAGCGACGACGAGACATTTTCAATCCGTGTGTTTGTGATGTGTGTTTAAGCTATTTGCAGTAAGAGTGCACATATAATGTGTATGTTGTGTGTAAGTGTAGAAATGTGTTCGGTAATATTTTGACATAAACATAACATATACAGAAGGTAAGGAAAAGAAATATAGTGTAGTACAGATAGATATACGTAATAGGTTTTGACACATGACTTTCACAGGTGCTCAAAAATTTGTGTTTACCCCATCGTGTGTTTCCTTGGTACCAGGTTGTGCCTGTTTAGTTTTGTCTGTGGTTTTCTTAACAGTTTTCTTAAGTTGTGGTATTTCGAATTTGCCACCCTGGATTGTCAATGGCTCCTAAGGAAGCAATATAAGTTTAAAAACGGATTTCTACGTTATTCAAAGCAGTTCTTCTTTTATGCAGGTAGCTCTATAATGTTAGATTGGTTGTGCAGTGTTCAAAATAGTGATATTAGACATGCTGAAAGATTTGATCTCGAAAGTGTTAGTCTACTTTTTTAAATTATCTCAACCTTTTCCATTGGGCGTAAACATGTTTCTATCAATCAAAGTGAATCTACTTTTATTAGATTATATGATCTACCTCGTCTTTGCGTCCATTTTTGACGACAGCTGGCTTTTTGACCTTGAGCTCTGCTGCTTCTGATCCCTCCTAAACCGTTAATATACATTTTTAATATTTTTGTAAATCGGTGGAAATTTATCTTATGTATTTTATTAGAACATCGGTTCAAAATTAGAAACTTAAAAGGCTGAGATAATTAAAAAAATAAAAAGACGCAATACCGTTGGCTCTTTCTTAGCTGGTGTCTTGTGCGTGAGAGATGCATCTTCAGGAGCAGTTGTGCTTGTCTTAGTACGAGGCTTGGCGACATTGACAGACTCCTCTGTGTCTTCGCCCTGACCCCATAATTATGTACATAATATGTTATAAAGTATTTTATATCTGTTTCATGAAAAAATATAAAGTAGGAATAGAAAATTAATTCGAAGTATAAGAGATTAATTTGAAAATTAAAGCGTTAAGTAGAAAATAGAATAGAACATTTCCACAATGCTTTATACAAAATGTGAAAAAAAAAAAAAAAAAAAGAATTCTGATGAAAATTAGATAGTAGTCGGTATAATTATTTTATGCGGATTTCATAAAATACATTAGATCTATTCATTTTAGCTAATATTGGTGCCTATGAGTTGTATACAAAATGTGATCACAGTGCTCATGTGCCATCACACGTACGATTTTTTTAACCTGCTATATAACAAAAGTACCTTAGCGATAACAGTCATTCTCCTTAAAATATCTGACGGCGATAATAGTTTAGACTTAGTGTCTGTAGGTGTCATTTCAGTCTGTGGATTGCCGTTATAAATTCGTCAAAGATCAAATTAAACACAAGTAAGCTGTTGAAACTCAACTATAGTTTCAGCCCATTAAAGCGGTGAAAGGAATACGAAATTTTGTGTTTACTTTAATTTTGTATAAAAATCATCATACCTTCTTTGCCCTGTCTCTAGGTGAGGGTTTCTTAACAGTCTTTTCTTCTACGATTTCCGGTTTTTTTACCTTCAGTTGTGCCTCAGCCTCGTCCGCCTATTGCATTGTGTATGTGTTATTTATTGTATAAAACAATCAATAAAAATATTATGTGTTTGTGGATTTACGAACCGTGGGTGTAATTTCTGCTGGTGTTTTGTGTGTTAATGTCACATCTTCAGGTCCCGGTTTCGCAGGCGATTTCGGTTTAGAAAGTTGTACTTCTTCATCTATATCCATAGGCTGAAGATTTATTTCAAAGTATATAAATTGTTCTAAGCATTACACAGAATAAAAAGTTACAAGTACTTTATACTTCGCCGTACCTCCGATGTATCTTTTTTATCTTTAACAGATGGTCGCCTAGCTGTTGCTGCCACTGACGGTACTTCGTCTTCTGGCTTTTTATCGTCCTAATAAATTATTAATTAGCATGAATTTCTGTCTAAGATTTGAAATCGTAAACATATAAAAACTTTAAAGTTAAGATACCTTCTTCTTTTTAGCAATAGGAGTTGGAGATATTTTCTCATATTTTTCAAGAACTGGTCTCTCATAATCATCGATAAATTCTTCTTCCGTTACCTTTAAAACATTGGAAGGGTTAATCGATTCATAGTAAAAATCAAAATAACTAACTCATTCTTAATTGATCCCATCAAACCCTAATTTTTTATAGCTAATTAATTTTGCTGTTGTAATTTTTGAATAAATATGTTTGTGCCAATGAACCGTTTATGTTATTTTTGTAAATACATTACCAAACGTATTAAATAAGAACCAAATACAAAAAATTGTAACCCAAATTTTTGACAATAGAAATATAACTTGAAAATTTATTCAAATCCAATGACAGGATCATCTTCCTCGAAATGTTCTGCTTGAACGAATATTATAACCTGAAACTATTAAAATAAAACGACAAAAAAGCACGTTCATGCAAGACGCCGGAAAGTTCAAATTAGCCCAAAGTGTAACTGAAAATTTAAGAGAAATAATTTGTGTCGTTGTTTAAAATACGAGTAGTTAAAATAGCCACTTGTGTGATTTTAGTGCATAGTCAAAAGCAAAGAAGGAGAAACGAATTAGAAAGATTTTTTTAAATTATTATCCTGAACTACCAGACCACATCGGGTTATGTGTTAAATGTTATGTTGAATGTTTAGTGTAATATTATGTGTGTACCTCCTTTTCTTTGAGTGACGGTCGTTTTTTAGGTGCAGATTCGTCTTTTTTGATAACCTTTTTCTTTGGCTTTTCTTCAGGCTTTTTCTCTTCAGCCTAAATAATGTATGTAAATATTATTTCATTTATTAACCTACCTAATTTATTAAATATTTTGTATGAATTCAAATATTATACCTTATCTTTAGTGACAGGACGTTTACGCAGTGTTGGCATTTCAGGTTCCCCGTCTTTCTCTTTCGGTTTAATTTTACCTTTCATTACGTCTGTCTCATCCTAAAGACAATAGGTGGGTGCTTAAGTTCTTATCAAATGTATATATTTTTAAATTCATTGTCAGCTTGTTTTTATTGGGCTTAAATATTACCTGTATTTCTTTGGAACCACGTTTGGTTTTGGATGTAGGACTGACCTTCTCGTATTTTTCCAGTTCTGGTTTTTCATAATCGTCAACAATCATAGCGTCCTATAAAATTGATACTCGATAGTTAAAAAATTATATTTTAATAATGTAAATTTTAGTGTTAAGTAAGTGTGTTACAGAGATTCCAATAGTATTATTTAATATATTAATAATCCGTATGAATAATACCTCATCTACTTCATTCTGTTTTTTAGTCTTGTCTGTAGCTGTTGGAGAAATTTTGTCGTATTTCTCGAGATCAGGTCGTTCATAGTTATCAACAAACTCCCTATCTTCCTCGGGCTTTAAAATTAACAAAAGAATTGTAAATTTATATTATTTTGACTCAAGACTCCATTAATGAGATTATTTAAAATTAGTGCTTTTGACTCTGACTTTACCTTTTTGACTGGTTGTTTTATTTTAGCTACTTGTGGCTCTTCAAGCTTTTGCTCATCAGGTTTACTAGGAGCTTTCGATAATTTGACTTTCGACAATTCATCTACGGATTCCTCTGGTTTAGGAATACCTTTCTTAAGACTAGGTCGTCGTGTTTCTTCTTCAACCTACACGAACATAGTTTTATAATCTTAATTGTATCTTTTGTATTGTTTACTATTTGTTATCATTAATAAAAAAATATAGTTTTATTTAATTAATTATTAAATAAAACTATATTTTAATATATATATTTTTTATTATTATTAAGTACATTTTATGCAATTATTTTGGAAAATACCTTTTCCTCAGTTTTTCCAGGTTTTGGTTTTTTATCCGAAGCAGGTGCAGCGATGGACGGTTCTTCCTCGCTTTCTGTTTCTTCACTTTCAACATTTTCAGACATTGAAGGTCGTTTACCCTAATATTGTACGAATATATTACGAAAAATTAAATTAAAATATAATACGATTTGTGGAGTAGGTGTGTGTAGAGTAAATATGTAATGATTACCTTAGGTGTGTCATCCTTTTTAGATTTTTTGAATAATGGCGTTGGTGTAATTTTTTCGTATTTCTCCAATACAGGACGCTCGTAATCGTCAACGAAGTCGAATTCATCCTATGTTTAAATAAATTTTAGCACATCTAGGTGTTAATATCACACAAATACAATTATACATATACATATAACAATAAAAATCTAAATGCTCCAAACGTCACTTTTGTACTATGGATGTGACGTTTATTATATACATTTTGTTATTACGAATATGAATTGATTCGTGAATTACATTTACATGTATATATGCTGTCTACAATATAAAATAATATTGATTTTAACTCCTTCGCTAGTGCACCTCTTACATAATCTCCGTTGCGATTTAAAACTTACATTAAGCTTTGTACAAAAACATTTCAAGAATATCAAATGTACTTACATCTGCCTCCTTTTTAGAAACAATTTTCTTTTTCTTAACTACTTTCTTTTTCTCATCAGTCTTTTTAGTGGTTTCTTTCTTTTCTTCAAGGGGCTTTGGTTCTTCTTTTGGTTTTACAGGCTTGAGTTTTGGGATACCTTCAATTTTGGCCTCAGGTTCTACTTCTGCCTTTTTCTTTTCAATTTTTTCTAGAAGTGCTTTCTTTTCTTCTTCAGTTTTTGAAGTTTTCTTTTCTAACATTTTTTTGGCCTCTTCAACTTCCATTTCAACTTTTTTGGCTTCTACTTTCTTTGCCTCTACCTGAGCTTCAGCTTTCTTAGCTTCAATCTTAATTTCCTCTTTACTTTCTTCCGTCTTAATTTCTTCCTTCTTCTTCAAAACCTTCTTAGCAGCCGCTTTCTTTTCTTCGACCACCTTACTCTCTGCTTCGTTTATTTCCATTCTCTCCTAAATTAAACAAAACAAATAAAATCAATATCAGTACCAACTTTTTAACTACTTCTTTGTCAATGTTTAAATATTACATAATATAGGTTTAATCCTTATAATGAAGTTCAAATTCATTTGATAACACAATTATTCTTGCAAAAATAAAAGGCCAATTATTTTTAATACTCTTACCTCTTTTCGTGCATCAACGTGATTTTCTTCGATTACCGACTTTTCTTCAACAATTGACATTTCCTCCTCCGATTCTTCTATAACTGTTGTTTCTTCTTCTTCTTCCTCCTTTTTCTTTTTCTGGAGAAAATAAGGCATTCAGTATCGGAACAAGTAGGCATTTAGCAACTAATTCCCCAATTATAATATATAATTCTAATATTAATTCAATTCAATCTTCATCCAAAATAGCCAACTTTAGCCATCTATAAACATATTTATATAAATACCTTTTCTTCAACAAGCGTTAAATCTGCACTGGATTCGTCTTCACCGAATTCGTTTCTTATTACCACTCTGTAATTTGCGACATATTTCATAGATACTTTTCTGATGATTAGGCGAGCACTGGTACCATCGAAAGAGGTGTTTACTTCGGAAGAATCTCTGATTACTGTTGAATTTTTGTACCACGTACATCTGCATGATTGGTCAGATGTCTTAAGGACTGCTATGAATTCTGCTTCTTCATTTTCTTTTCTTGCCTAAAAATATTACAATTTTTTCATTTTTTCAAAGGACATTAAACATATAGATTTTTTTTTCATAGAAGCAACTAACTTTTAATAGAAGCAACAAACTAAGTCCAAAAAATTTAATATTACACATTTTTTTTATAAATGCTCATAAACCATATCAGTTTGAAATTGCTTAAATAAATCAAAATAAAAGCTACTTACTATACTTCTAAGATGTTTTATAATATGAGGTTTTTCACCCTTCTCCTCAGGAATATCAGTTATTTCCACCACCTGTGATGATGCTTCACCTTTCTCATTCTTTGCGATAAGCTTGTATGATCCTTTATCTTGTTGAGAAATATTGGAAATTTCTAATTTGACTGTAAATTCACCCTGAAAAAGGATAATTATGTGTGTTTTATTTGTTTTTACAATTAATTAAATTTAATGATTTAAACAACATGTGGCATTTACTTCTCTGAGAGGTTCAATGAGCACTGTATGCCTGGAATCCTCTTTCACTGCACTTGATTCCTTATACCATGTACATGATGGAGCAAATTTACTTAATACTTTACATTCGACAATGACAGTCTTCTTTTTAACTATTTTAATGACCTTTGGTTTTTCTTTGATAACTGGAATGACTAAAAAACAAAATATTGTGATGGGTTATATTATTCGAAATAAGTAATATTTTTATTTAAAATTTGGCACAGTCTGCTATAACAATCTAAAGTCATTGTATACTTACTTTCAATATTGAGCGTTAAATTAGCATTGAGCTCTCCAAGTTCATTTTTGATGTTACATTTATATAGTCCGGAGTCATCAATTCCAGGGTCAATAAGTTCCAAAATGATAGTATAAATATCTTCTCTTACTTCAACCCTGGTTTTGATTTTCGACGAGTCCCTGATTTCTTTACCCTCGTGATACCACACAATCGTTGGTCTGGGGCTAGCTTTTACTTTGCAGCCCATAATAACTAATTTACCATTATCTTTGGACTGAATCGTTGGCTTTTCAACAAATGTAGGCCCTTCCCCTTCAGGTTCTGGTTCAGCCTCGATGTTCAAATTCAGATTAGCATTACTCTCTCCAAATTCATTTCTTACGTGACAGCGGTAAGCGCCACCATCCGATGCCGTAGGGTTGGATAAGAGCAATACTAATTCATAAACGTCTTCACTTATAACGGACGATTTAATCTGAATTTTGCTGCTAGCCTTAATGACGGTTGTGCCTCTGTACCACGTTACTTCAGCCGCCGGCTTGGCTTTGCAAACACACCGCATTGTTATGAGTGTGCCGTCTTCATTGGGAATGATTCGAGGTTTCTCCACAAATGATGGTGCGAAACCGTTCTCATCATCCCCACCTAAAAATCAAATGATTTAATTAGTATGCGCGCTGATATAAACACAGTCGTTACAGTCATGCAGCTCAACAAGCTCAAAGCTCAACATGCGATTGCTACTGTATGCGTACATATTTACGTTTCAAGTGATAACCCGAATTTATTCATTATTTTACCTTGGAAATTGAGAGCAATATTTGCATTGCTCTCACCAAACACGTTAAAGGCGTTACACCTATAATTTCCACCATCTTCCCTAGTTGGGTTTAATATTTCTAATGTTAAATTAAAGGTATCTTTTCCAATAGCCTTTCTTGACATCTTCATTTTGACACCATCCCTAATTTCTTTATCCCCATGGAACCATGTAATATCTGGCAACGGGTGTGCTTCTAATATACATTCCATAATCAATAAGTCACCTTCTTGCCTAATAGTTGGCTTTTTTGGAAATCTTGGTGCTTTACCAGCGGGAATTCTGTTTAAAAGATAAAAAAGAACATTAAAATCCCTACCAAAGCTCTTTACTTAAAAAATTATAAAAGAGCTTACTTCGGTTTGTCTCCACCTTCGAAGTTGAGATTAATTTTTGCTACGCCTTCACCGTGTTTGTTTTTTGCTACGGCCCTGTATTCTCCCTTATCAGAATTTTCTACGCCTATGATTTCAAGTCGCGCTATATAGTATAATGTTTGATCCTCATCAAGCGTAATTTTGTATCGATTACTTTCTTTAATTATCTTTTTGCCATGGTACCTGTTTTGCGTATCAAATGTTAGTTATATGTTCAGTCATTTTTTAATAGCATCATCGCAGAGGTACAGTTTCATAGATTTAAATCTTACCAGGTGATGGTTGGTTTCGGTTTGCCAACGCATCGACATTCGAATGTGATTTTGGTACCATCATCCGATTGCCTGATGACAGGTCTCTCCGTAAATGTCGGTTTGATAAAGTCTTCAGGCACGGGGGCTTCGTCGCCTATTGTATTAATGCTTTAATTATCTGTGTCATTACAAGGTCCATTTTCACTAGTTTTGCAGCTTTATTATTCTACGATACCATATCGTTGTCTCATTTAAGATGTTTTCTTTCAGGTACGTGTGTGGATTAATTATATTACGCAGCCAGGTACGGAATATTATATAGTTAATTGAGGGTGTATAAGAATATAGCTTGTAATATAATAAATAAATAATCAATACTTTTTAAATTAAGATTAATTTTTTTAAAACTCTACAATATAATATTCTCACAAATAGTACGCATAACAGTTGCTATTTCGTATATAAATTGTGCATGTGCTTAAGCAATCACGTACGTTTTGCAACGATAAACAATAGAAGTGAAGCATACCAGCATGAGACCTTGATATTTATAGAGGAAAAGAGGAAATGTCATAAAATTGGTGTGGGTTAACATGCAGTGAACAGTCACAAGTGAAAAGCGATATATGATTAAGGAATAGATGAAAATGTATATCAAATCATGTAAAGTGTACAACTTGTGTGGCGCTTTCGAATGCAAATACTAAACAATACTAGAAAACATCTTAAACTGTGACACATTGGTTAACAACTGTTACTAAACGTAGATGCTAGAGTCGTGTGACGTGTGTAGTAGTCGACAACAATGTAATTTATTAGTTTAATGATCTTATAAGCTTTGCTGCAAATTCTACGTGAACAATTATGAATATAATAATTATATCTATGGCTAATGGATTAGTTTCACACATAATATAACTAGGTAAGATAATAATTATAACAAATGTTATAAGCATCTGTATTGCAATTAATTGCAAAAAATAATTATGATTATTATTAAATGTCTATATTATAAATTATAAATCTTTATACTTTAGTACGTTACTTTTACATTGTTAATATTATGTTTAAGTAAACATAGTTTGCATTTAAATATGCATATTTACTAATATCTGTATAAAGTAAATATTTTTGACAGCCTTTATTTTTTCGTATTTGTTGCAAGTTTCAATCTCGTCAAATTATATTTGCGAAGATTGCTAATATTAAGAAAATTTATTTAGTACAATTATCAATATTTAAGTATCAATATTTTTATATAAGGTTTTCTGTGAATTATTTCTATACATCCTTAAGTGTTTGTAAACAAAACAAAAATTAATAGAAGATTACGATTTTCGTTCCAAAAATGACGAAATTAAATGTCAGACACTTTTTATAAATCTTTTTTAATATGTGAAGCAATATGTTATACTTGAAAATGGAAAAAGATATCTCACTGTCGAAGTTCAAGCTGATTGTTGCGTTGCTCTCGCCGAGCTCGTTCTTGGCCGTCACCCGGTACTTGCCAGCGTCTTCCACCGTTACATTGTTGATCTCCAACGAGGCGTAGTACGATTTTCCATCCTTGCTTACTGTCAGCTGTTAAATGTCACAGATATTAAAACTTCACACTTCACACTTTTTGATGACTCCGTGGCCCAATTGTCAAGGTGTTGTTTCGATGCCGTGGTCGCGGGTACGATTCCCGCACGGGACAACTACGATATTTGTGAAACTTACAGTTAATCGTTTCGGATCTGGATGTTTGTCCACGCGAAATTAATGTTTATAAAACTTCCTTAAGAGCACAACAAAAAAACCACTTCTATCATAAAGTCATCGAACTTTTTATAATACTCAGAAGTAACTAGTTCTCTTTGATATAAACTTTAAACCTACAAATTTTAAGTTCAATTAAAATTAAAAACGTAATTTTGTACTGAGAGATGTTAAAAATAATATGATAAACCAATCGAATTTTAAATAAACCATTTAATGTAAGGTGCTTTCAAACTTAATTGTCAATGTAGGAAGTACATATTACTTGTAAAATCACAATTATATAATTGTTAATTTTAAATTTTGAATTTATCTAGTAGTTTTCCTTTATTAATTCCAGTTTTGGGAAAAGCTTTCCACTGCTGGGAAAAGGCCTCCTCTATACAGAGGGTATCAGGGCATAGTCCACCACGTGGCCCCACTGCGGATTGGCGGACTTCACATATTTTAGAAATATATTTTTTGTTATTATTTCGAAAATATGCAGGTTTCCTCACGATGTTTTCCTTCACCGCGGAGCACGTAATAAGTCAGCACTTAAAGTTCAAAACTTCATTGGTACATAAAAACGGGCCCCGGGGATCGAACTCAGGTTGCTCGAGTATATTGAATTAAAGGCGAGCGCCCGGACACTGAGCTATCACGGCTCTTAAAGGTTACAGTAAAGGTCTTTTTATTATGCATATATATTTATTATGTATAATAAATAAAGAATAAAAAGTAATATAATTGTTTATCTATTTGTCCTTACTCGTGAGTAACAATCCCGTATATTTTTAAGCTATTGCATAGCTCTTATCGCGGGCTTTGAGCGCGGCGACCGAATCAAGAAATTCCGTCCCACTCCGCCTACCATGTAGCTCGGCCGAGCGTTCGCTTACCGTGTATGTATATGGTACGACTGTACGAAGCTGGCACGGATGGATATTATAATATAATATTACTAGCTGACCCGGCAAACGTTGTCTTGCCGTATAAATTATTTCTAAGGAATTTGTAGGGTAGAAAAAAATATTTGGGGTAGACCACCCTTAACATTTAGGGGGATGAAAAATAGATTTTGCCTGATTTTTCACCATGGCCGGTATGCACACAAAATTTCACGAAAATCAGTAAAGCCGTTTCGGAGGAGTTCAATTACAAACACCGTGACACGAGAATTTTATATATTAGATAATATTATATTATCATATGATGATGTGATATTTAGAGGATATCAAGTCTCAAACTTGTTTCTTATTTCAGTTACCATAAACCTATAGCTTCAATGATAAAAGTTCATCAAAACCTACATGTACCGTAACATAATAAAAACGATATTAACTGCTCATTCATTTAATAAAAGAAAAAAAAATGTTTTCTTATCGGTCACCACGCTCAAAAAGTTACACTTTCTTTTCTTTCAACGCTCAAAAAGTGTAACTTTTTGAGCGTTTAAAGAAAAAACTTGAATTAATATCAAAGAAAAAAAATATTGCATAAATAATAATTATAATTGCTTAGGTTGATAAAAAATACTACGCAATAGCTTTACCGCGGCAGTGCCCGAGTGCCACAGGTTTTTTTTAATACATTTTAGAAAGGTCTGCCTGCAAGAAATCGCTATTTTAGCGATGAGGCCGTCCTTTGTACAAACCTTTTTGTAACTTTAGTGCGTACAATAAAGCGTATAAATAAAATCATAAGACTTATCAGCTGTTCAAGCGAATAAATAATTGATACGTGCGTATGTAGGTCATCGTAATTCGCAATTTGCTAGTCTCTCCACCTGTCTATGGTTATAGCCAAGTGGTATAATGGGGTCAAGGCCATCTCTTATCACTTTTAAAATTACATTCAATCATACACCATTTAAACATTTTCTACCTGTTTCTTTTATTGATGACAAATATATGCAATTATTACATTTTAAGGAGGCCTATGTTCAGCAGTGGAAAAAAAAATAATTTAAGCCATAGATGCAAAAGCGAGGTCCAATCCAGTACCATCAAAAATTAATATACCTACTTGATTTTGGGAAGTTCCCTTATATACTAATGAAATTAATAAGGGACCACATAGAAGCTAAACCGAACCCAATACAAAAATAATTGTTGTTTATATTAATTTCGAGTTCTTAGGTAAAAAAAAATAATGCAATCGAATTCTGTATCTCCTCCTTTTTTGAAGTCGTTTAATAAAAGAGGAACCAGCTGATCAGAAGCTGTTTGTTAACATTGCCTGCCTTCCCATATTCCACTTAAAATTTCTCTCAAACCCGTAGCAGTTTGACCACCGCGGCGACTTACTTTGTGCCTGGCACCCGGTTTGACCTCCACCGTGTTGTGGAACCAGACGACGCTCGGCACGGGCTCCGCTTCGATGCGGCACTCGAAGATCAACCGCTTTCCGTCGTCCTCCTGCCGGATGGCGGGCTTGCGCGCGAACGTCGGCGCTTTGCCGTCCACTTGTCTGCCGGTCGAGAAGAATTCCGATTCGTCGTTTTCCATCGAGAAGAATTTCGATCATGGATTCGTCAGCGACCCTTCTACGTCGGCAGACAATTCCGTCATCGAAATTCAAACCTGACAAGCTCTTAATAAGCTTCTTTTTTTAAGTGTTTAAAAGTCAATTCCTGTCGTTACATCCTACCTTACGTTAGAACCTACATAATTTCATCATTTCCACATTTGTGACTATCTAAATAAGCCTTTCTTAAATTAAATGTTCAAAATTCAATTCCTGAGAGGCCGACATGCTTGTGTATCCTTTATATATTTCTCGTGAGAAAATTATCGTAAAAGTTTGTATGGAAATTATGTATATACTTACTTCTGTTTATCTTCGTCAGCGGCTGAAATGAAAAAAGAGGCGGTTAGTATAAGTTTCATCGGCGAGAGTTTTCTGTGTATAGAAACGTTCATATAAAAAAGCCGAACATTGCACACATTTCTAGCGGATTATTCGTATTCGAATGTTTATGAATTAGAATAACATCAAACAGATGTAAATCGTATCTCGTTGCTGATTCCCGGAATAGACCCAGGTGTTGGCGGTCTGTTTCGGAATCCAGTACTGATTTCACTTCGTGGTTCGGTAATGATATTTGCGTTAATGATGGCATCGTCATCTATGCAAATATCTAGAGCCGTCGGTTAAATGTTAAACATAATATCTCCTTTCCTCATGTTCCCTCGTTAACTTAGAAATTAGAAATAACAAAAAACGACGGCCAAAATTTATGTTTTTTTATTAATAAAACCATCTAGCAGTCATGTTTTTTAGTATTTAAAATTACTGACATGTTTTATGTAACCACGTTGTTTTTTCTTTGACTGGAAATTACAATTGGTCGGGAATCAAGTGTACAATACCATTTTGTACTTGAATCCCTAGGATTGAACTGTATATATGATTGCCTTATAAATAGCAAAAGTGGTTTTAAAACGGTTTAAATTAATTGGGTCCTCAATATTCGCATTAAAGCTCTTAATAAAAATGTTGGTAGTTTCATCATTTTTGCCCAAATATTATTTTTACATTGATAAGCACACTCCATGTTTATTTATAGAATGTATTTAGTTTCGCGGTATCGCAAACAATCCACGTACGTAGACATTGTTTACGTCGAGTCTTTCGGCGGCCGAAAGTAATCCCGAAGTATAAAGCCCCATCCCAACAGCCATATTGCCAACTTTCGCCTTTTGGCTCGGCGCGTCGGGCGTGGGTTACTGCTCCGGAGTCGTTTTTTGTTGTCAACTATTTTCGTCTATGACTAATGTCGTTATTTGTGAAGGCATTTTTATTGGCGCAAGTATTGGATTACGGGCGAACATCGATTCGAACGTTCGGTCGACACTCACGGCTCGTCCAACATTGAATAGACATGTTGCCGTAAAACAGAATCAGGCTAATCATGTTGGTGATTAAAATATTATATTTCATTTTGTCATCTGATTTTAAAAACCGAAAATAAAAATATTTTTATATTGAATATTTTGAAATGTTCAATATTTTCATCAAGCCTATTGTTTTCTAGTTTGTATGTTATCTCTGTAATTAGTTCTAAAAAATCTTCTCTAATATAACAGCACACTGTTGCGGCCACACTCAAACATGACATTATCTTGTTATTCTTTGATTAATATTCTCTCCTCATAGAATTCTAGTCGTAATCTCGTATTTTGGTAAATTTAGCGTGACTCAGATTGGATCATCCGTCCGAAGGCAGGCCGTAGGCTCATTAGGTAGTGTGCAAGTACAAAATGCTAGTCTATTTGACAAATAACCCTTCTTTGTTAGAGACAGTGCCCTAACTTTATTCTTGCATGGACGTTTATTTCACGCGAACGACGAACACCTAGATCCGGAACAATTATCTATGAGTAACAATTTTTCTAGCCCCGTGTGTGAATCGAACCCTCGACTAGTAATGCAACAAACCTCTGCTTCAGCTTATGCAACTTTTGTAACTTGGGAATTTAGTCTAAATATTATGTAAACAGTATAATGTTTATGAGGAACACCGGAGCAACTTGTATATAGGCCAAAATACTTTTCAATAAATATAACTTACTGCTGCCTAATTTTGAATAACAATTATTAATTTCATAAAGGGTAGTATTATTTTCATAGTATTTACACATCCGTCCGTTTCCGTTTCCGTTTAGAGTTTTCTTTGACATCTGTTTCCATTTCCACTTTTTGTTTGCAGGAGTAGTCCTACTACTACTCACGGCCCGCTTGCGGAAGACGATAGCTTAGTGACTACTCGTATGTTACCGAATGACGATCTGCCTTGAGAATTTTACAAGATACTTACGGCTAAAGTTAAGATTGATGGAGGCGGCCACCTCGCCCATCTTATTCTTAGCTTTAACTTTGTAGAGTCCCGCATCGGTCTCGATCACGTCGTCCAGTTCCAACACAACAAGGAACTTGTTGTTGGCAAGGCTTTGGATCCTGTTGGAAATATTATATTGCTCGTAATTATCGCTTTAGGGAATCATTTCTATTTTCATTAATTTATATTAATCTTTAATGCGTAACAGCGAAGGACACAAAAGGTGGAATTAATATTTATATTAAGTCCGCTTAATATAAACATTATGTAAGACATTCGTCTAGCAGTCGACCTTTGGTATGGTGGAATACATAACTATAATAAATAAACAATAACATTAAGGCTTTATTTATACATCCATAAATATACTTGTACACATATATATCACTATATTTAGATCTAATCAAACATGAGCCGTGATAGTTCATTGTCCGGGCGCTCGCCTTTAATACCCGAGCAACCTGAGTTCGACCCCAGGTGCCGGCACCTATGAAATTTTTAATTGTAAATGCAGATTTATCACGTGCTCAGCGGTGAAGGAAAAAATCGTGAGGAAACCTGCATATTTTCGAAATAATAAAAACAAAATATTTCGAAGACATTTTAAGAGCACTTTTTAAACAAACATACAAATATTCTCATCTCGCATTCTGATAATCTGCTCCTAAGTTAGGGAAGTACGTCCATAAGTAAATCATTCTACATGTTAATTATATTATGTAGCTGTTATTTCGAAATGCAGCAGTTGTTGTAATAGGGATTTCTCGGCTGGCGGTGCCAAGTGTGCCGGTTCTTACCACCTATTGTCTATATTATAGAGCTATCAAGGCTAAATTGGCGAATGAACTCCACACAATAATCACGTAGATCATTGAACTTTAACGCGTCCCGCATCTTTACGAATCCTTTAGTTTACTATTAAAAATATATGAGTACATATTGAAATTTAGGAAATGAGGAGAGCTTGTGAAACGAAACAATATTGAATCATTGTCCTGTATCTACTCTTTGATTATGAATCCTTTCAATCATTTTTAGATTAGAGATATTAGTTTTTTTTTTTCACTATCTCTCTTTCTAATATTTCCAGTGTGTAAACTTTAAACCTATCAACAATAAAAAAAACTATTAGTTGACATTTTTAAAACCAAAGCTCCGTAAGTACGCTGTTTATGTTTTGCCGAAGTAATAATGCTGACCTACAAACAAAAAAAAAGTTTGTAAGTGTTTCATCACGTTGAATTCCAAATGAACTAAAAAATTTGCACTCACTTGAACGTGGTCCTGTTATCTTCTTTCAGCAGTTCATCGCTACGGTACCAGCTGATCTCCGGTTTGGGTGATCCGAAGAGCTGGCACTCGAAGATGAGTTTGTTCCCGTCATCCTCCTGGCGCAGCTGCGGCTTCTGGGTGAAGCTCGGGGCTAAGTCGTCCGTCACCCCCATGGTGCTAGCTGCGGGTCATCACTGCCGTCGAAGAAAAGTCAGTCTCCTGTTGAAGGTCGCACTCCAATCTGTTGACGAGGAATGGGGGGTTAATGAGACGATGTTGTAAGTTTTATTGGTAGAAACAATTTGAATGCGATGTAGTATAAAACGGTTATGCAACGGTAGTTTGTGCATCACAAAACGTATACATGATTGTTTTCATCATAATCGAAAATAAGTACTATCAAAGCATCTTCCACCTTAGTCGTTTGTTAATATACGAAATACAAGTATGATTAATAGATTAAAAAACGCATGGCATAAATTAACACGCGTTCTGTAAAAGCGTAAATAAAACATTAGTATAATTAGAACTGTATTGGCACTATTAAAAATTGTCTTGGTCATACCTTCGGTAATTACATTTAACAGACAATTTTTGCAAGAAACCAATCATCTTCACGTTTCACAAATAGGGAATTAATGTGGAACATGCGACAAACCGTGTCTCATGTGATTTGCTCATGGATCGCTATTACATATCAACATTAACATGTCCTTGGCCATTTCCCAAGAGATTTCTTTCAATTAAAACTATATACGTAAACATAGTATCCATATATTTATAAATGAAAAACGTATTATGTAAGTGGAATATTTCTTATTTGAAAAAAAAAACTAAACGTAACTAATGAAAGATTAAAATTAAAGTAAAGCATAGGCCTATACATGCCCCACAGCTGGACAAAGGCCCCTCTTTCCAGAGGGTATCAGGGCATAACCACGTCACCGCTACTACTAGTACACCACGCGGCCCCACAGCGGATTGGCGGGCTTCACATATTCGAACTTGTGATAACTCGCCACTTAAAATTAACAATTCATTGGTGCCGGCATAGGGGATCGGAGTCAGGTTGCTCAAGTATATTGAAATTAAGGCAAACGCTGGGACATATAGCCATCCAGGGCTATCGTAAATGAAAGATTGCACGTTGTTAACTCCTATGATACCATTTTTTTCGTGATACAGGCTTTCCCTGTGTACGTTTTGTACAAATGCTACATTTTTGATGTGATAATGTTGCAAACGAGCTGGAGGTTCACCTGATGTTAAGTGATAACCGCCACCTATTGTAATTGGCAGCGTCCGCAATGTTGTAATTGTGTTGCCAGCATAATAAAGTGGGCCCGGGCTACCTCAGTGACCAGACCAAACGCAGAAGTATAACTCTTCCACTTCAATCCGGTCTTGTATGATGTCGTGTAGCTTACCCGGACGGACCTGCCCATTCGTTCAACAGAGAAGAGTGTAACGTGGCCACAGTTATCGTCATACATACGAGTATTCATTTTAACATTTGTGATACTTTTTTAAAGCAATGTTAGAAATGTAGGGTGATAACCCATTTTATTTCTTTCATTTATTATTTTTATTTTAGGATCGCCAACATGAGAAACGGCAGTAATAATGAATAAAGGATTTAAAAACGATAAGACAGATTTTGTTTTAAGCTAACAGTCGTCATAATACATACGATTTCTTCTTAAATTCAGAATGCATATTTTCATGACAAATAGAAAGATTTTTAAGTTATTTTCAAAATTTATTTTCTCTCAAATTTCCTTTTTATTATATGGGGAAGAAAACTGAAGTAAATCTTAACAAGTGCTAAATGCCTTAATATTGAGTGTCAAATGTGTATGTGTTGTCACTCAAAGTTATCTGACACTAGTACATCTTTGTCTTAGTACACCTTTGACTAATATTAATACTCCTAGTGTTATGGCAGATTAAAAATAAATAAATTCGAATTGTTACTAATTAGTTGTGTACGAGGAAATCGTCTATATCAAATTGTACTTGAGTCATATCACAATTTGATGCTGTGTGGTAAACTTATTCTGATCGATATTTAGGTACATTAGTTAGAGGTTTACTAACTGCTCACAGTTTGGGCAATTTAAATGCCTACTTTGACAGGCTCAGCGGCCCACATAAAGTGATTACGTTTACATTTCGTCTGGTATGGTAACCAGGACCTACTTTTTTTGTAGACCTGTTTGCCTTTCATCTTTCCCATGAGCGAAGTTCAGTTCGCCATAAAGTCAAAATACTGGCCTTTGAAATTATATATGTTCGCGCAACCGAAAACTGATAACTGTATTAGCCACATAATATTGCGCAGTAGCGCAATGACTTGGGCGATTTTCAGAGGTGAATTTACATTAATTTTAAGGTGAGCTAAAATTTTTATAAACATGATGGATATCCAAAGGGTGTCGCCAGGCTGTATCAGCCTGTTGACAGTTGAAATTTTCCCAAATGATGTATTTCTGTGGCCCCTATGACAAAAAAATAAAAAATCTAATAAAAAATATTTACGTGGGGCTCCCCCCACGTAAATATTTTTCTTATTCAACAGGTTTCCAATACTGTGCACTAAAACGTTTCTCTTGGCATGAGTGTGTCCCTATTTTACTCGCGAACATGGTGCCCCTTGTCTAACCAAAACATACAGAATTGTTATGAAGGATACTTTAAAATCCAGTTGCTACTCCTTCCTCCTTCACTTGCTCTTTTTATGTGAAAAGTTGGCAAGTGAGTATGCGGTTCGCATGATTGTAAATGATTACTGCCTCCCATGGACATTTACAATATCAAAGTTGTTGCGGATCCATTGTCAACCTTTACAAAAGTGGCCCCAGGCTACCTGAGTCACCAGACGAAACGCGAAACTATAATACTTCCGCTTTACGCTGATCTTCTGTGAGGCAATGGTACTTCCTCGGTCTAGCCTGCCCATATGTGCAGCAGTAAAAGCTGCGTGGCCCTAGCACATTAAATTATCCCACTTCAAGTAGGTTGGGCAATCAAGTTGTTAATGGCATTGGATTGTTGGGAATCAACACACAGATCCGGAAAAATTAACCGAAATATAAAACTATGCAAATATTAATCGTCCCGTGTGGGAATCGAACCCATTACCCTCGGCACCGATGACAATAACCTAGCAACTGGGCCACATCCACTTGTTGCGGTTGCCAAAGTAATGAATCACTGCACGCTTGCGAAAATTGGTATATACTATTATATACTCTGTAAATTTCCTTGTTGATTAATTACCCTGATATAATATTGTCATGGTTCAGTAACAGTAGGCTTATTAAAGATTATTTTAGATCAACTGTCATATTGGTGAGAAAAAGTTAATATCGTAATTTAGATGAAAGACAATGATAGGTAAGAGGGTATTTATTGTTCGGTTGAAAAGTTCCCCTTTTCAAATTTTTCTTCAATCTTTTTGCACAGTTTGTTCTTACGATAGGCAAGATGAGAAATAATCACCAAAACCATACAATTTTCTGCGCCAATCACGCAACCAGCACATTAAATTATGTTTTAAGTGATATTTGATATCACTACTATCTATCGTATCTCCACATATCAGTAATTATTTATAAAATTATCTTTTTGTCAACTGTAACTTTAACAGAAGAAATCATCCAAGTCAAGTAAATCTAGAATCGACCAAAGGATTAACAACCTGTAGCGCCAATGAAATCTATCAATCATGAATAGTTGAGCGAGACATATATCATTTGTGCCATTTGTCTAAAGCTGCTTGACTCAAGAGCTTTTCGATACCAGCGGGTGACTCACAACACGGTCAGCGCCATCTACTTTGGCAAGGTGAAGTGTACTGTGGTGTGGGCGTGTTAAGATTTTCACAAGTATAAACGAAACGTCTCGATCTATTTCTGTAACCGTTGAAGGCCTCGGGAGACGTTTCCAGTTGGTGGAACCGAAGCAGGGCTTTTTTATATTCCGCAACTTCCGACGATTACCTAACATTTGAATCATTAAATTAAACGGGTATGACTAATGAAATTACCAATAAATAGCTCATGTTGCGTACATGTGAAAGCATTGAAAGCTACCGTTAACACAGTTATCGAAGCCTGTTATAAAATGAAATCAGTCCTCAGAAATATTCCCGAAATTCGATGGGCCGGAAAGAAATAATAAATTGAACGAACATTAAATGATATCTGATAGTGAAACCAATAAAGTCAAAACGATTAGGTATTTAATTAGACGTACCAGTAGGACTAGAAGAATGTAATCCAATAACGGCACACAATACACTCTAGATGGAACACACTGGAACAAACACACAGGGCAGAATCGAGCAGACGATCGAGAACTTGGCGAAGGCTACTTGAGACCGCTTCGTTGGGCGAATCGGGAGGATTTTGTCGCCGGCGGCGGGACGCGTCGGGTCGTTGTCGAAATCGTAACTAAACTATGAAAATGTTGGCCGGCAGCCGAGGCGGCTGGGCGGAATGCGCGTGGGCCGCTGCACCCGCCGGTTGGATAACTGGCCCCGTCACGAATGACGTCGCTGTTGCAAAGGTGTTTTCCGTCGAAGATGGTCTGACTGGTCCCTAGTTTGTTCTATTGCTTTTGGAAACTGTTCCTTTAATTACATCATTGACATAAAAAGTATGTAATATAGCGAAAGACACTAAATATGCATACAGACGGATGATCCTAGAATCGTAGAACAAAATGTAATACAATTTGTTTATCTACATAATGTGTGTATATGCTGACATAATAAGATGGGAAGGGAAAATACTGAATAACAGATTATTTAAAATAAAATTGAATTCTTGATTGATGGATAGGATATTAAATTAAGAATTTTTGCATCCTATTTGTAATAATGGCAATACATGCTGTTGTGCAATATTATCAAATTTGTATACCATGTACAATGATGAACAAGAAAAACTCCTCTCAAAAACTGTCGGCAAATGCGACTTATATATCAGCGTTGGCCTTAAAATGGGCTATGACTTTTTTTTCCCTAGTTTGGAAAGCCATTGGGGCAATGGCTTTCCAAACAATAATCCAAGTAATATCAAAATGTTCATTCATAAAACTGGCTAGGTCTGCAACAATTTTCTGTCAGTCGTGTAAGTAGCTGTTTCAAACAGGAACCAAACCCAATACA